AAATTTAGAAAGTAAATATTGTATATCGGTAAAATTTTTAAAGACAGATAAGCAATCTATTGAAATATTATTAACTTGCTAGCTCTTGCATATAAATATTACTCACGCCTGTAGTCTCCTACAATAAAAAAAATCCTTCGTCAATATTAATTCATATTAATTCTTTAGTCATTTATAAATCAGTCAACCAAATGCTTCTTTTCTCAAATTATCATCAGCAAGTAAGACATACCTTTTACCTCCTTTTGACGTTGACTTTCTTGGCCCAATCAAATCCATGTGCCACAGCACAATTATCCTTGCTTCTTTCATAGTTTCCAAGTCCCTATAGATATTTCCACATATTTTTGCCTTAATGCAACATTTACACTCTATATTCAATTTAACTTTACCTTTCATAACTATTACCATCATTCTCCATCTCTTCAATGACCCTCATATTTCCATGTCGATGCCACACATCTTTCTCTCTCGATACATATGCTGCCTGCTTTACGTTTCTTGATTCTGCATAATGTGCGTTTCCTCTTCTTACTCCGTTTATTCGAACTTAACACATTAGGGATAATCATTGACTTTGACCACTGATATTAATATTCATTTAGATCAGAAATACAACATACCTTTCAATCTCAATGTATTCTCCATATCTTGTTGTTATAAGAGGCCATCACCTAAATTAATTGTATTCCTTTTTGTCTACCTAAACCATCTCCATTTTTTGAATCTTTATTTGACCATCAAAGATTTCTATCTTGTATGTCGTATGGTTAACCGATCTAGAATCCAATAGGCATATCATACTTTACATATTTGTATTGCTGCTTCAATTTTTTCTCGCTATAAAGTATAATTCTTGGCATCTACGCTGATGATATTCCATGAGTCAAATATTTTTCTACTGTTGCATATGCTTGTTTATTCCTACAGAATATCGTCTTCTCACAACCAAACTCTGCTATCACTACTGAAAGGTGGAAAAACAATGTCTCATAACTTACACTATTTAATTACAACTGAAGGTTATGTAGATACAAATACATTCTTTTCGTGATGCTTACTCACAATACTAACAAAGGGAAGTAATTGAGAGAAGTAGATCCCTTTAATTTAGTTAACAATACGTGTTTCTATTGAGACTGTCAGTCTTATTGTTCCGTTGTGGAACAAAGACAGGCCTGAAAGACCCCGTTGCGGCCTTCCAACGGTCAAATCCTAAGTGCCCGAATGACAAGACCATCAGAATTGTCTAACGTGCGGTATCGTCCTTGCGTATCGTTAAAAAGCTTCCTGTCTGTTGTCTTGACTGGTCCCAAGCACGCGAAGCAATACGACCCCAATTCCACATGGTTAGGCAACGGCATTTGGCATACAACTAACAAGGAGCCTACAGGTAGTCAGCATAAGATCGCGTATAGTCAGTGTAAGTTCGCGTATAGTCAGTGTAAGTTCGCGTATAGTCAACATAAGTCCGTGTATAGTCAGCATAAGTTCGCGAATAGTCAACATAAGCAGCATAAGTCCGTGTATAGTCAGTATAAGTTCGCGTATAGTCAGCACAAATTCTCATATAATCAGCATAAGTCAGCACAAGTCCGCATATAGTTAACATAAGTCAGCATAACGAGCCATCAATGGATATATTTCCAGAAGCGGTCATTTTCGATAAGGTCACCAACGCGCGGGTGATCTTCGTGCACGTTATCTTGAGAGAAGGGATTCCTGCTTCATCATCTTCGGTTGAAGGACATTTCTTCTTTTTAAGAAGAGTGATTCGCGGACCAGGGAAACATGCTTGTTCCCGCTTAACCAATCAGGGCACCTCCGTTAGCCCTTTGGTGGGCTCCCGATTTTCCTCAAATCGCTCAGAAAATGGAGTCTGTGAGGGTAATAAAAGTTATTATCAATAACGATGCCAGTGTGAAATAAAAATATTAAACTGCAATGTTTTGTTGTATCCTTTATTCCATATGTTTTTATATCCTTTAGTTCTACAATTTGTTTTATATAATAGATTAATACATACTAATTATGAATAATTATGAATAATGTTAGTGACAATTAACAATGGTTGATTAATCATGACGTCTTTTGTAAATTAAAAAATTGGTCATCTTTTCAAATTGTAATATATACATAGTTAAGTACCCTAATTAACTGACAAGGAAGAAGAAGGGAGAAGATAGGGTAATACAATATAGTAAATATTTTCAATGTAAAATATATTTCGTCTAGAGCCTAAACAAAATGTGACTCTTGCAGTAATGACAGTGAAACGACACTGCACGGTTGCGCCTATGATCAATTATTAGCGTCGTTGGTAAGGTTAATTGCGACTCCTGCCAAATCGCATATGACCATAATCGTCGAACTGCTCCCGTTTCCCGAATCTCATGTGTCCATAATCGTCGAACTGCTGTCGTTTATTTAAATCTACAGAATCTTCGTCCTCGCGAAACAAATTTTCCATACTATACCTATGCAGAAAAATATGGTTATAAGTAATCATAACAAACCATATAATATATAAAAGAAAAATTTGTATAACAAATGTGGTGCAATTTATAAAATTCAATTCAGTCAGTGTATTGCTAGAACGGAAAGTCGTGAGAAAATAAAGCGATGCGAAATGTAACTAGTTGTTATGCATCTAGTAACTTTCCTTAATACTGATTAACACGTTGATTACCACGCAACCTTTCACGATTCCGGTCAAAGAAGCCAATTTTATTTAATCGTGTTATATTATTAAGAACTTTATTTATAGTACATAGTAATAATGAAAAAGCTTAAAAAATGTTTTTCTCTTTTTTTTTTTTTTGTTTAAAACATGTTACGAATTATCTCGTAGTTGGTGTTCAAGATTGTTTTAAAAATTATCACAAATCATAAAAATGTTATTGTGTACGAATAAACTTGTATAAACTTTTTCTTTTCGAATTATACTAGAGTTATACTACGGGTTTCCTCGTAGCTATACAAATATGACAAATAAGGAAGGGACGAGATAACTCGTAGTAGGCGTCCTGGACAAGGAAACAACCTACGAGATATCTCGTAGTTGGCAGTCAACGTGTTAATTATGTTTATAATGAAATTATCGACAATTTGATAGAATAATCTAATAAAATTATAAGTAATGAATTTACAAGAGTTCTTAATTTATTTATGAATGTGTATAATATATATTTATTATGTACGCGACATACTATACAGGGTGTCGTATTTAAATCGACCCATTCGAATACCTTCGAAACTATTAATAATACCGAAAAATATTTTAGGCAAATGTTAGACGGTTTTGAAAGCTATGAATTTGATATAAGAAAGATTTTCCTAAGAGAATACGTAGAGGACGTGTGAAAATCAAATTTTTCTCCTTAAATAGCGTCATATATTCTTTAATACGCTAAATTGGTGCAAATTGTCATTTCCCGTGGAAAAATATTATGCCATTTGATACAACCAAAAATTATTAATTTAAAAGACGTTTCAATTTTAATGTTAGTAGCAAAATATCTTGTGAAATAATTATCTTTCGCCACAAGTGGTTTAGTATTTTTGTAGAAAGCAAGACAATTGCATCAATTAACGAATTAAAAAATTTATAGTTCGATTTAAATATAAAGAAATATATTTTTCTATTTAAGAAAAATGTACTCGTATCAAGTTATGTACTCTCTAAACCTATTCAACTTTTGGATTAAGATTTGATATAGGATTTTTTACTATCATCGACAATTTTGGTAACATTCGATTTATTACACGAATCACGTTGCACGTTTCATTTCGCAAAATTGTTTAACCGTTTAATCGTGTTCAGTACGATAATTGCAGCGAATAATTTTCATTAGACACATGTTGGATTGAAGAAATTTTATAGCTACCCTTGTAACGGCGAGCGACTACGGAATCTTCGATGCACATTGCTGATGAGTTCCGGGGCTGTTTCACATTTTTCAAAGAATAGCCAGATGACTGCCATCACGCAAGTCAGAGCAAAAGCTAAATTCATATCTGAAAAACAGAGAAATAGTTGTTTGCTAATCGAAAATCAGTTAACACCGGAACTACCAAACTAGTCGAAACGGTTTCAAATATTTTGCTTTTGTAGTTGCTGAAAACATGTAGCTATTTTTGGTCATAATGTTCGAATTTTGTATTAAAACGCAATGTTATGTACCACGTTATTTTCATTCTAACACTGTAATTATTGTTATTCGCGTATACTATATTTAAACACAGCACAGGTCTGTAGATCTGGTGTTAATTAAGAATAATCAATGGAGATTTACTATTTTGCTAATTAAGTACAATTAAGATTACGATTAGCTGCATTGAAAAGAGATTCGAGAACTTGTCTCTTTTTTCATAAATCAATGGAACAATACTTGAAAAATATTTTTCCGAAATTTCAACAAATACCGAAGTTTTCGTAAAAGTTTGGCAAAATTTGTTTAAAAATTGAAACGAAGAAGAAATTTTTAACACTTTAGTGAAATGCAATAAAATCCGAAAAGGTAAATGCCAAGGGATAGTGTCACTATACTTTAAACCTATTTTCCTCGATATCACGAAGCCTAAAATTCCAAATAAATTCCTCAGTGATTATTCCTAAAATTTGCATTCTATTTTTGTATTTTAATACACTTTCAACAAACGCAAATTGAATTTATCAGTGAAAAAGATGCATTTTTTCACAAACGATAGAAGCATTTAAATATTTCGGTCCTCCTCTTTTTTCTTCCTTTCTCTCTTTCTTTCTTTCAAAAAAGATATAATTCTAAAGCAAACGATCTAATGATAAATGTAAGAACATCTTTTTAATGACAGTGACAAGTACTATATTTCTCATCAGTAATAATTTTATAGCGCGACAAATTGCATTTTCTAAATAAAATTTTAAAAATTTAAAGAAAGAAAATTTTTCTTGCACTTTGATTATGCCTCTCCATACCGGGAAGAAATGTAATCCAATATGATTTGTATGTACTTCTTCTCCCAAAAACTTTTGAAATACCACTTACTTGTGCTACTGTTACGCGGAAACCACCCTTAACGTTACAAACGGTAATTACAATAAGGAAGAGGTACACTATGTTACCGTATATGGAACTAATTTCTTAAGGTGCACTACAGGACACTGGTCACAAAATCAACGGTTTACGCGTTATGGTAAGAAGAAATGGACGAATGCGAGCTGGTGGTTCACCTGTGTGGTAGATGACTGGAAATCGGCGGAAGAATGCACGGTCCACCGTTTTCACGTGGCTTTTTATACGAGAACTCCATCATCCCCTAGATCCCGGGGGAACGTTGAGCTCTTTGAATTTTAATTCACGTAGCTGTAGTCTGATAAACAATTTTCCTGGCTGCGTAGACACCTCCTCTGTCGACCGTTCAATATTCCAACATGGTATCCGATGATTGGCACCTCGAATAACTGTATTACCGTTTTACCATCTTTTCTCTCTATAAGACAGCAGAGGCCACTTTATCAGCACTCAGACCGCCTCAATTCGAGAAACTCTGAATAGTGTTGTAAATTGCTTCTGCCGATTTGAATGAGTTTGGTATACGACTTTTATTGCTCTCGACCTGTCGTCCATGGTATTCATTCATGGATTGGACAGAAGTGTATAAAAATATTTTTTTGTCCCGGTTAAGGGATGATTGATACAGACAGTCGGAGAGATAGATTTTTAGGTTAGGTATGTATAATATATTATACGATAAGATAGGATCGTACTCTGTGATTCCCGGCGTAATTTTAAAATAGTGCGGTATTTGGAACTTTTTGTTAACTAGGGTTCAAATATGGCACTGTTTGGATCTACAATAGGTGACAAAATGGCAACGCACGCTGTAATTTTTAGTACTCTTCGTGTGATTTTTAAGAGGAACGGAATTGATCATTTTTATTAATCGCTATTGGGATACTATTCATACGGAATATGAATACTGTAGTATCGCACATTTTCCACTATATACATGTGGGATTGGAATTAGTACGGCCCTGAAAGAATGTCAAGTGTGCTTGGGCTTAGAATAAAAGTGACCGTGTCCAAGAGGATTGACTGCAAAGAATGTTTATGGTAGAGTCGAGTGAAAGTTTAGAGATGCGTCCAGAGTGGTTGAAGTACCTGGCTCATCGAGGTTGCGTGGGAAAGGGGTATGATTGGAAAGGAAAGCCTGGATATGGAAAAGGACAGAATGAATGCTTTAAATAAGGGTGCAAGGGCGCGAGCAACTCCAGTCTTGAACGGTCTCCAGGAGTCTTTTGGAAGTTGCTAATAGTGTGCCAGTATGGCAGTAAAAAGTCAAAGTCGAACGTGTCCATAGCGAATCCCTCTTGTTTCATAGCTATAAATCTACGTATAAGCTTATTTTATTCCATTAAGAAGTAAACAACACTATTTTAGCCAATCCATCCAACCCGATCCTACATACATGTAGCTTTATGAAGGTTATCGAGAGAACAAGTATCGAAGATGCAAAGCCCAGCTCAGCTGGGAAGACCTTGGATGATGCGTCAGGCCCTTAGCATGACCATATTTGGTTATGTCAAGCGAAACATCGGAAAGCTTGTGCATGTGGGGTAAAAAGTATAAAGTAAGCCAGGACCGATTAGAGGATAGTTAATATCGAGCTAAAGTCGAAGACAATTGTCGTTGAGTTGAGTTGTAAGTAAAGTTAAGAATCGAAGTCGAACGTAGTTGTAATATTGTAATATTGCATTGAGCGTTGTAGTAAGTCAAGGAATAGTTCATATCTTTGTTGTCACTCTCACGTTTTCATATTATTATCACCAATAAATATTGTGAGGAACGTTAACAAACGAAGGAGTTTGAAACTATTTCTCTTGCCTGAATGTCGCTCGGTTTGTGGGAGCCTAATTAACAAGTCACCTCTGAACTATATTAGTAGTCGATGGCTCTCGACGTGATTTCTAATAAGCTTAATTAACCCAGAATTATAATCTCATCACGAGGCTAACGTGATTCTGGTTTCGTGTAACAACGATTGGAATAGCCACCCATAAGTCTGGGTTTAACTTAGGCTATCTGATGTAGGCTGTGAAACATTTATGCAATATTTACGTTCTCGTAGAATACGAGTTTCGAGAATTTAGAAAATATGCTCGAACCCATCGAGTCTATACTACGGAATAATAAAAATTATGATACATTTAAATGAAGGAATGCATGCATATAATATACGTATAATACGTTTTTGGACTACATTATGAACACTTCAAAGTATGGAGATACAGTGACCAATAAATAGAAATATTGAAATTAATTGAATTGGTTAACATTGGAATTTCCAAACTATTGTAGTAAAAATGACTTTTTAAAGGATTTTTTCTGATATTAAAAACATGCAGCTATTGAGTATTATTAATATAGAAACGTAATTATAGTTAATATGTATTTATTCATGTTCATCGTGTCACTTTAATTAATAATAGTAATAATATTTAATAATAATTATAATAATACCATTATTGTGCATGTATATCATATTTGTATATTACATGTACCTATTTCAGATTTAAAGTGTTAAATGGACCATGTATTCCCTATATTCAATGTATGAATGAAAATATACCTCAGTACATATTTATGCTTTCATAGAAACTTGAAGAAGCTCATCTTGCTGTGACATTAAATTATCACGATTCAATAAAAGTATGTCTTATCAATATACTCACTTTAACTGGTTAAAGCTTTTATTGAAGTCATACTGTCAACGTTACTGTTAACTAGTCATTTTCAGAAAGAACTAGATGTTTGACAGTGTTAATTTGACAATACCAGACCATAACAGTTACTTGTATTTAGTACTAATTTTATTTAATAATTACTAATTAACGTCAGTATAAAGCATTATTAATATTAAAATCCATTTTTCAAGTAGAATTAGGGAGTGTAACTAGGAATTACTTAATTCCCTAAGAACTGTGTTATCGTTAAAACCTGAAATCTATCAATATCCAATTTAGCTTATCAAAAATATTTACTCAAATTATTCAGAAATAATTCGGAGTTAGGATATCGATTAATCACCCGAAATAAATTTCTTTTCATCTAACAAGAGAGCATTCTGATGGAATTTTTGAGAAAATATAATTTTCAAGGAAATAACAAATAAAGGGATCTGAATAAATTAATTTAGAAGATACTAGCTTATAATATATTTTTTTAAGGGGAATGATATTTTGGAGAATAGCTTATATAGATAAACTTGTCATGAATAAAATGTACGATTTTTGTCTATATAACATTTTTACTAACTTTGAACGCTTTCTTAGATATGTATAATTACTGTTAAATAGAAAGACACAAATTAAATACTTTTTTAATAATACTTTTCCCGATAATATTTTATCAAAATCGATTACAATTTAAGAAACCTTCTGTGCAAATAAATACTTAGATTTAACGTACAATTTAAGAAGACTTAAGAAGACTTCAAATTAATTAGCTAATTTATTACATAATTATTATCACAGAAATGAAATTATATTTGAATATCGTTATTATTATTATGTATTATTTTCAAATAATATATTACTATATCAAAGAATATATGTATCTTTGTAATGGTTAAAGAAATTTTCTTTGAATTTTCTTTTGGCACTTACTTAGCTTATCTTACATTCAACGATACAATAGTGATCGTAAATGTAATTTTTCACACATTGCTTCGTGTAATTTTAAATTGCTTCTTTCCTAATTTAGTATTTCATATTTATTATTTTTCTTTTCTATTTATCACTTTTCAATTTGTTAATTTTAATATTGCGTGAATTTTGAATGTTAAATATTATTTAAAGTTATTTATTTTCATTAGAAAAATAGATAATAGTTCTACATAAACATTTCAATATATGTGCATTGAATGTAGCCTATGTATGTATGTGAATGTAGTCAATACATACAACTAAAATTACGTCGAGGTAGTATTGTCAAATGAAATACAATTATGAGAACGTAATTAATGGTCTGTCAGCAATAGTTAAAAGTATCACTTATTGCATGAAAAGTGTGCAATTAATTTTAACTTACGAACTTAAAATTAAGTCCTTAGAAAATATTGATTATTCAGGATAACATCGTTAGATTTGTAAATTGATAAAATATATAAATTGATATAAATAAAGAATAAATTATATAATTAACAAAAATAAAATATTATAAATTGAAATCCATAGAGCCACGAAAAGTCATAAAAAAATTTGCTTTCGTAATATAATATCAATTTCTCAAATTTCATAATTGCTTAACATTTTTTAAACGTAATAATTTATTTTCACTATTGCGATGTATTTAATACGATAATGTAATATAAAATAATACAAATAACGTAACATACAAAAAGAGGTAAATTTGATATAGATACGTTGCTTTTTAAATTGAATTTCAAAGTTGAAAAACTAAATGAACAAATCATTTCATAAGTCATTTCATAAAAATGATTACATAAATTATTAAATCGTTTCACAAATTATAATAACATAGAATACACGACGTATTTTCAGATTATCCACTCTTTGTTAAAATACCGGCTACTCGTGAGTAAACGTAACAGTAACCAGTTTACGCCCTCGTGTTAATCCACCAACGCCCGTTATCTAAGTTCACGCAATCAGGTCTTCCGCTCACTACAAACCTCGTAACCAACACGGACAGAATTTCTAATCGCGAATATCGCCACACAAAGACATCGAAGCGGGAAACCAAATTTCACGTAACTTTGTACGGAGTCATGGTCACGGATTATGACAGTTCCCGAATGGCTTCGGTATTTGCAGTGCTTCCAAGGTACACTATAAATCACATAGATGTCTCTTTGGAGATCCAATCGTTTCCCATCTTCTAACCCAAATTCATCGGTCGTGTCGGTCAGTTGTTTCCCCATTTTTGAGGAGCGTGTGACTATTTCTCGTCGTTTGGTGTTCGGTTATTAGCAGTGATCATGACCGAGGACGTTAGTGTTATGATACAAAGAGGCCTGTCCGAATGGTGGAGCGAGGAAACCGAGTATATCTTCCAACGAATCGAAAGATGGGCCGCGTATGCGAGAGGCTACAACCGACTGAGGTCTCAGAGGTTATCCAGAGGTCGCTTGACCATGCAAGGAGGCCAGGAACGACGCTGGAATATCTCATCCAACAAACTGGTCATCGACGATTCGTCCTGGAGCCCACGTTTTCACACTCTGAAGAAGTCCCGACGAAAATCTCGGCCAGAGGAAACCAAGATCAACTGTTGCGGGACCTTCAACTACCAGTCGAGTAGCAATCTGGACAGCTCCTGCTTAGAAACCTATAGATACGATCACAGCATTTATTTCAAGACGATTGGTGACATTAGAAATGGCAAGAAAGAGATCAGTGGCAGCAAGGACGCACAGGAGGATCGAGTTTCTATTAGCAGCGAGGAGTTAGTCGAATGGGACGTTGAAAGCGTGTCAGATTTTATCGCGAACCAACTACTGGAAGACAGATACACCGGCAATAACGACGAAAACGTTTTCGATTCTTCGGAGAGTCCTAGCCAGACCGAAAACCTCGACTCTGTCACTTGGCACAACGTAGACTTGTCTAAACTTGAGTTAAACGGGAACGAGGTTTCTGTTGCCACCATCAACGAGGAATGTGATGATAATAATTTGACAGTCTGTGAAAACCCGGAGGAAAGGAATAATAATTATGTAGGGAGCGAGGAGTCAGTTACAGATGCGAATTTGGAGAATCAAATACGGTCGAATCGCGTGGTCGAGGGTGAAAATAACGCGGAGAAAACGCAGGAAGAGGAAGAGGAGAACGAGGAGCAGGGAATAAAGAGGTTCCTTGAAATTCGAAGAACTAAAAGAGCGTATAGAACGGTTAAGCAGCTACCAATAGTAGGTGACAACGAAGTGCTTTGGCCAAGTGTTTTATTGAATTATACCAAAAACATCGACCCTTCCAATTCGCCGCATCATTATAATAAATTACGGAAATAAATTATGTCATCATTTAGTCGTTATGATCGATTACGGATATTAAGTAAAATTAAGTTTCACAGATGTTTAAATGTTTAAGTAACATTACACGTACCACACGATCACCTTTATCTCACTAACCACATTTCTTTTTTGACAGATGTACACTGGATGATTTGTTAATCACGATTTTGTTAACCGTATTCGTTGCGATTATATTTTGAAAAATAAATTTGATTTGTACATATCTCGTGCTGTGAAATTTATTTCTAGATTTAAAGAATATTTGTTTTTAGATTTCAAATGAATGCTATGTCTTCCGTACTCGTACATTCGAAGTATTCCATTAAACATCGAGTGAAGCATCCAAATATTTCAATAAATATTAGAAAAAGAGCCGAATTTTTCGTAGATGAAGGAAAACAAAACAGAAACAGGAGAATGAGTTATAGTCAGCAGCGCCGTCTCTAAAGATCACGGAGCCCAGGGCAACTACAGATGGCGAGACCAGTTATCCATTTTGAGGAATTAAGTAATATTTTTATATTAATGATAAGAATAACGAGTTCATGCTCAAGTAATAATAAACTCGACTAGTACTATTATAATAAATAATCTATCTAATATCTAATAAGAATTATCTAATAGCAATTCATCGTATAATTATTATATATTTAAGATCGTATTGGCAGAGATCGACTAGAATAATATCGCGATACTTAACAGAACAAAAATAAGCTTTATTAATAAAATAATGTATCACAATAGTAAATATGCAACACTCTAACAATTTTCTTCTAACCGACTTTTAATACTTCTGATTTAAAACTCTGCTGACTTCAAACTGACTTTCGATATTGACTTTAGAACACTGATTGATAGTGCCTTCTTTTGTTGGAATGTATGACAATACTACACTAATCGCGATACCTGTTAAATGTATTATGTACTTCTTCGACCTGGTCACGTGGTATTCCAACGAGTTTAATACACACCGTTTGTTTTCTTTGTTCCGTCTTCTCGATCTGATCACAGTGCCGATATAATACATTGTATACAGTTGAAGTGAAATCTTGAATATAATAATGAAACTTAATAAACCAAACATTAAAGACTAAATTGTTCAACATCTTTCATACTCAAGATGTCTTCTTTCGTACTTCAAACACACAGGATGCATTCATAAACTTTCAGTCGCTTCTGACACTCGACTTTGTCATACATGTAGGAATAGAATGAGTGCGGTCTTGCAGGCCTGATGAATGAATGTTTGGGACATAGAACGAAAGTGACCACGTGCAAGCGGACCGAATGTAAGGGATGTTCATGACAGCCGAGTGCGAGAAACGAGTGAAAGTTTATGAATGCGTCCTGTGTTTGAAGTACCTGGCTCACCAAGGTAGCGTGAGAAATGAGTAATCAAGAAAGAAAGTCTGAGTATGAAAGAAGACAGAGGGCAAAGTTTAAATAAGGGTGCAAGGGCGCTGTCGAATCGGTTTCAGTTTGTCAATTGTAAGTTTCAGTTTCAGTTTCAGTTGTAAGTAAGAGTTAATATTAGCAGTTTAAAATCATCAGTATTGGAAGTCAGTTTTAAATCAGAAGTTTTAGAGTCGGTCGTAAGAGAGTTGTTAGAGTGTTTATTAATTGTTATTGTATTACATTAACCCTTTGCAGACGAGCGTCACATATATGCGTTCAACGAAAACAACTGATAGTCTCTGACTGAGTCGAGAGACTCATAAATGTGTTCCACTTAAACGCGTTGCTATGGCCGAGAAACACAAATATGCGCCCGCCGTTGCGGCCCTAGGACCCTCACGTCCCAAGATAAGTGCTGAACTGTTTTATGTCCTTATTGTCAGCATCGCTATGAACGAAAATCGTGTTTAAGCAGAAACGAGCGCTGGTAGTTTTGAATGACTATCGGCGGCAGCGGCTAGGCCCCATGGATAAATCAGTTATAGCTGGAGGTATTAGCAATTGACAATACAGTACTGAGTATAGCCATCACCGCAGTACTACAGCAATCGTATTAATCTATTCTATGACGATCTAGATGGTTTACTCAAAACCGCTCCGTCCGCAAAGAATTAACATTAGATTTACGGAACCCATCAATTTGACGGATGGGTTGCTCCAATTATACAATGGTAACAGATTTAGTTAACTTATATTAAGACTATTAATATTGTAATTGTTTTTAAATTAAATTAATCGTTAAAAAAAATGCCACGTGATTTCCTTTACCTGTCAATTTGACAGGTGTCAAATATGTAGAAATAGGTATACAGATAGCGTCCGTATACCTAGTGTTAATGTAGGAATACTAGGGTTTGAGAGTAAATGCAAGGGAACACTTGAACCTACCTAGCTGATGATAGGCAATAAACAGCAACCTATGTTCAGGCCAAATGTTTAGTTTTTTGAGAGATAGTCAACGTGAAAGTCCTAGAATAATTTAGTTCACGATAAATTATATTTTTATTATTTACCACCGTCGTTTTACTGCCACCCAACAATCCTACACTCTTATGTAAGAAGGATTTTACTAACTAGTCGCTTTGCTCCTTGGTAACTGTTTTATTCCTTCAGTACGCTGGTCGGCTATTACCCCAAAAACGCATTCATCGCTGTTTTATAGGGTGTGTCCCCTCTCCGTCGCCTCGTTCTTCACGTGTCCGTAGCCTCTTCGGCTGAACTCCGGTTTAGACGCTCCAGCTTGGCGCCTAAGCACCTCCATCTGTGGCTATTATCCTTGGGCCTCGGCGATGCCTTTGTGATGACAGCCCACATGAATCACCAATAGAACTCCAAAGTCCAAGATGCAACCCTGTGACGGCAGCCGACACGATGACTATGACCGATGACTAAAGCTCTAAACTCCGAAATACAACCCCTTTCGAACCGCCTAGGATAAGATAACAGGAATGTATATATATCCCGACCCCAAAAACCGAATAAAGTTAGTTTTGCTCCAACTCTATATACGTTCACTTCTCTTATGTTATACCTACTCTACGGATAGTATCGCGTATAGAGGCCTAGTTTATTCTTCATCGTTGCAAGTTAGTCCCGTGACACCTTCCTAGAACTCCAACGAAGGGCTTTCTCCCGCCGAAAGACAATGGGCAACGGTGAAAGTTGCCCACATTTATTCTTTATATTTGCCAATGAAGCAGTATCCCTACATTTCTATGAAATTATTCATCGATGCTCATTCTAATGCCACATTTACAACATGATTGAGTAACTAGGGGAACCAAAATACTTGTAACTCACTCATTGTTTGATGTGAACGTTGTAGCTATTGATGCTGTAGTAGCTTAGAAACAGTTAGAGCGATTATGCCTATCATGAGGGCCAATTGTAGAACTACTGAATTATAGGTATATTCAAAGTATTCCATAAATTTGCAATTTAGCATCTTGAATTAAGTCACGTTGGTCACATAATAGTTCGTGACTAAGAAAAGAAATTTAATTTACGTTAATCTCTACACCTTACATCATTAATCTCTATTTCTTTATACCTTGACAAAGCTAACTGCATTATGTAATAAGGTTATGAAAATCCTATGAACAGGTGTTATATAAATTTGTCACGATTTTATGCTTTCCATCGAAAATTAATTTTTCATTCTCCCTGAAAATAAACACGTACTCATAGTAAGATCCTTTAAACGAATATGCGTAATTGTAAGGGTTATTGCTTTTGCAAGTATTGTAAAAAATTCTTAATTTATCAAATGAATTGTAGTCGTGATTATTTAAAAATGAAGGTCACGAGTAAATTTCATTTCTTAATATTGATAATTTTTTGGTAAAAATTTTTTTTGGATAAATTTTTAGTAAAAAGGGACATAAAATCCAATGCGTTAACAGTAGGTCATCGTATAATAATTCTAGTGCACTATTGGTTTGATTAAATTGAACTGCACACGAAGTAATTAGTTTTAAGTCACATAAGCTATACTGTAAACTATAGATTATATTATTATCGTTATTAGATTATTAATATTATTAAATTATTATTAGATTAATATTATCATACTAGTATTCGATTATTGATATTATTATATTGTTATTATTATTAGATCATTATATTTATATTATAATTATTGTACTAATACTACAATATTATAAATCCTACACGAAATTATAGCGATTATATTCTCGTTGGTAAGTTATTTCGCCTTTCAATATATGGGGTGTCTCAAAATTCACGCAAAAAGTAAATTTGATAGAAAACGTGGGTCTTTTTCTTATTAAAAATTGTAAATATTGCTCAACAATGAAGACACGTGGTTCTTTCCTCTAGCGCTCTATCTTTAATAACCCTGAACTGTCAACTGTCACGCTGTCTTTTCTTTTTCATTGGTAATATTCTATCGCACAAATGGCGCACAATTAAAGTCTTGCGTAAAATTTGGGACACCCTGTATATTCAAAGCACTTTAAAACTATAGGTGAAGCAAAGAATTTTGAAAAATTATGAAAGAAGCATTTCTTGTTTTATACATCTCTAAATGCAATTTTCTCATTAGCAACAAAGTATGAAAAATGAAAATTACCCGAAACACAAACTTATTATTTACAGGTTACTCAAATTTTTAAATAATTCGCATTGATTTGCGAATTTCAAGACCTGAAACAAATGGAGAAAAACAATTTTACAAATACCGAGAAATGTTGTAGACAGGTTTTATTGCCACAATTTTATTGTTGAAACTTACCCACGACAAAACAGCAGGAGAAGCAGAGTGTCGTCTAACAGTAAGTCAGTACTCTACTAGTATTCGTCATTTTACAAAAATAAAAAATAGTGAAAAGATGTACTTACAGTTTGGTTTCACAGAAGTCACATGCAGTGGTTTAGACGAGTGGAGATAGTTGCCAAAGTTACTTCAGAAAAATAAACAAAAGTATTTCGATTATATCTTATATACAAGGTGTCCAACCTAATACAAAAAAGAAAAAAATATCCGAAAAAAAACATTGATTCATTGAGATCATTTTGTCGGTTTTATTTCATTGCTTGCATCAATTGTTTCATTGTTGTCAATTTTTCGCACTCAAAGTCACGTGAAGGTCATCTTATTATAGGTTCTTGGAGTTCTTTTCGAGCTTCTTTGTAATATAATATAACAATAAAAATATATCTTTCCATTTAAATAAAATTTCAATGACCTTGAAATTTCGAAAAATATGACCTAGAAAAAGATCATTTGTCTATTATAATATTCGGCAAAACAATGGTGAAAAAATTATTCTCCTCTGATCATACTTTCTGTCATAACAGAGAGGCGAAATATTTCAGATGCTCGGGTGAAGTGGGACACCCTGTATAATCGAAAACGTTTGGGACAATGGCTTGATAGAGATGAACACATTTGCGAAAAAGATAAGACAATGACACTTAAAGATAATAAACGTTACACGATAACGCATGGGCTCATGTATTCAAAACTTACCGTCAAAAACTTCGAATATTGCACTCGAGACGCGACTCTCAGTCGCCATTTAATCAGATTCTAAAGATCGATGTTAATTAATATATGAAATTTCAAATTACCCAATGATGCGTGGAATGTCGAAGTAAAATAATTCTACGTCTTAATTTGTATACGATTTCTTATTTACTGTTTTAAAAATATCGTCAACTTTAGGGCAGAAATGCCTCGAATTACTATTTTTCTGTAACGAAAAGAGTCGCCGAGGTTAAAACACCAAATTTTATAACAAATAAAATCAATTTCCTTATCTTATATCCACGGTTTTCCAATTTTTCGAAGGTCGAGACGTTAATACGTTCGATGCTTGCAGTATTTTTGGTGCATTGCAGGGCATGATAAACTGTGGTACCGCTGCGGGCGGCGAAATTTCTAACTACGCCCCTGCTTAGTACTATTAAGCTCCAAACACATTATCGGCCCGGTCACGGTCCGTGTAATTAACACTAAACCCATCACGACCGGTAAAATGATCGATACGTGGAAAAATGAATGGAGAACTTCAAGGAAAATTCAATGAAGGATAATACATATGACAAAAGAAATATCAAAAAGTCAGACGAGCAAAACGATGACACTAAATGCAGAATTTTTTGTGAAAAATTTAAAACAGATGATCGTTTAGGCTGCGATAGAATTAATGTTAATATTTTCATATTTATTTTTCGAATCTTAATTGGTTTCTCCTTACGGATTAGTCGTGGATATTATATTTAAATGAATATATTAAATATTTATTGAACAATATTATAACACAGGGTAAAAATTATCGGTGAAATATATCTAATTATGTTTACTCTTTCTTACGATATTCGTCCACACGTGGACGACGTGAATTCAATGATTTCTGAATTACCACTTTCTCATTTCTTCTCTTTTCTTTCATACATTACATGAATATACACAGTCTATACTACACTTCATTCATTACACGCATACATGATCCACTCATTACTTCTTACATCAATATATATATATATTAAAATCTATGTCAGTCATTACCACAATGTATTTCGCACGCGTCTAATTTGATGAAATTTATATGAGATGTAGCCATTTTGGTTCTCGAGACGTTCTAAGAAGTATGTTTTTGATTCCTAATCTCGGGGACTGTCTTTGCCTCTTTAGTATGGACGACGGCAGAGAAAAAAATACGTGTGAAATATTTGTTTGAGATAAATTTCATCAAATTCGGCGTGTGCGTGTTGGATATGTTCCTTCGTTAGATTCATATGTAGCCTGCTTCATCTATCACGACAGATTGACAATATGATAATATATTACAGGGTGATTCACTTGGTAGTGGACTGAAAGGTAGTAAGGCCTAGTTGGAAAACCCCAACACTTGAAACTTTACAGCTCATGTTATATGTATACTCATAAATGTACTCGCTGTACACATTTGACGGATTATCGTGTAAGGACCCCTAATGCGATGTTCAGCTGTTTAGGTGGCGATACTACTTCTGAATCCATTAACGAATCACCCTCTAGAATATATTATAATATACACTATAATATACTGTAATATACTATAATTATATGCTATTATATACTATAATAATATACTATAATATAATATATAATATTATACTACAATAAACTATAATAATATATTATAATATACTCCAATAATATACCACGATATACTATAATAATGTACTATAATTTTATGCTATAATGTACTATAATATGCTGTAATAATATACTATAATTATATGCTATTACGTACTATAATATACTGTAATAATATACCATAATTACGTGCTATAATGTACTGTAATATGCTGTAATAATATACTATAATTATATGCTATTACGTTCTATAATAATATACTACAATATACTGTAATAATATATGCACTATAATAATATACTATAAATTTAATATTAAATACGCAATATCCTAAGTAAAATACACGTCAAGCGTTGTATTTAGGAAAATAATATTTCACTTGTTCTGTCTAATGAATTTTTATAATCCACACGGAAATGGCGTTCCGTTTCGTCGGTAAAAGCCACCTACAGGACGAACTGATCCTACATCGCGCATGCACCGACTGGCGGGGCAAGCCACACACGCAAACACGTAAGTTCGTGCAATCCGGCTGCAAATCGATCGGCTTCTCACTTGTTTCGAGAGTGTAGTGCGTAGTACCCACCGAAAATTGAATCGTAGCACTCATTTGACGTTTCAATCGAGAATAAGAAGTGCAAGGTAATGACGGAGCGTTTGGAAACGGTGGTTGTAATAGCTTGCATGAAGACCCTGTTGATGCTGTTCAACTGCTTCTTTTGGGTAAGAGAACCCATTCCTAATCACGCGAATCACCCTTAACACATATGCTCGACAAAGTTTGCTTCTCACAGCCAGAATGCCAACTGTTGCACAATATGTCATCGTCTTGTCGTCGTGCTTTCCTTCCAAAACTTATTTCCACCGATTTTATTTACTCTCTCTTCTGTAAATGATCATTTCTTGCAAATCTTTTCGACATTTTGCAGATCGCTAGTGATTGAAACTGTTTCGAACCCTTACGTTTTTGTTCTCGATGAAGAGTGCCGTTAATGCCATAAACGTAAATCAAGTATGTTAATAATTTTTCTTCGAAACGAGTATTTAAACTGAGTATTTAATCAAGTAATTCGTCGAGATATTAGCAAATATTTATTTCCTTATGTACATGCCATCGTTGAGATACTATAGAGGATCAGTACGCAATAATTTCATTACGATTAACATTTTTCTTAATACCTTCCAGCATGCTTTACTCAAATATTCAAATTCAGTTCGTTTCTTCTTTAAAAATATTTTTTCGCGAGATACTTTGAATAGACTGAGAAATTTTATTCTTTTAGAGCATAACTTACCCGTATATAATTTCGCTATATTTATTAGTCATTTTAACGAATTGGCATATACAGGGTGTCTGAAAAGATTGGGACCAGAGTGAGACTACGTGTTACTGAGGTCAAGTAGATCAAAGTTCGTAGTAAGTTAGTACAGTAAGTAGTATAGTGTACAGTATAGTATATAGTATAGTGTAGTAAGTAGTATAGCAGTATACTAAGTTCGTATAAACTTATGCCCGTAAAGGCTTTACCAAAAAGATATAAGCGTTTATTTATGGACAAAATTCGTCTTACAATTCGTATACGTAATACAAATTCTCGATAAGGAATTTTTCTCTTTTATAAGTGACACAAAAAGATCATAAATATCTTTGAAGGCTTATATCTTTTTAATAAAGCATTTTTGGTCATAAGTTTATACGAACTTTCTTCGTCTATTTGAACTCGGTAACACGTAGTCTATGTTTGGTCCCAACCTTCTTGGACACCTTGTATATATACGTATATGTAATCCATGTTTTTAACTAGAGACTAAATCACACGATACGTCACTGGATTTCTAGGTATCTATTTTAAAATAAATTCAAAAAACACTGTAGAAGGATCTGGTTCTCAACATAAATACAATAATAGATGTGTCACGAATTGAAAGAATTGTGTACTTTATCGAATTCTTTTAGAAATTTAGTAGAAATTCAACGCATAGTCTTTTTCATTAGAATGCAATTAGATAGCAGATATCTCTGTCTGTATTATAATGAAATATCTCAGTTTATTTGATAAGATGATCATGCATCGACAGGTTGAGAATAACTTTTCATATTGGCTTGGTCTCTGCAACAGTTGCACGTCTGTCTGTTCTGCAACAAGTCGTAAGCATTCCCATGCTTAAATCGTAGAAATCTTGTTTATAATATTTTAATAAAAATTCGTAATTTATCACGTTTCTTAAGATTTACTTGAGAAATATTTATGTTAGAAATTATTGCACTTTTCTCTAACCTAATGCGATAAAAAACAACGCAAAATCATAATTTGCCATGTTAATTGCAATTAGAAATTTGGTATCCATTTCAAAGATTTTAATCGCTCGTGTATTTATGTGTAATTTGAACTTTTCATTTAATTTTGATTATAATATTAATATTAAATTTAATATAGTATGTATGTTATAACTACATATATCAGATACTACATATTTCTTTCTCTTTTAAATATCATGTATCTGTATATAAAATAAAATGTTGTTAATGTTTCCAATTTTATTAAGAACATTTTCAATGAACAATATTTTGCATTTTCGTATATATTTTCTCTATTCTCCTAATCTGTGAACATATTTTCCCAATTTGCATATTACCGATACAAGATATTGAAGACTAAATATACGAAAATAAAATGTTGAAAAAGGAAAGAAAGGTCACGCATGTGATAAAAAATGTTCAAGTGAAAAATGAATATTTTAAAGTGTACTGAAAACGCGTGCGAAAATCGAAAGAAAAATTCAGATGTAACACTAAAATTGAAACATAAAATTTAGAACTTCGGATATTTATCCCCTACGAGAGTATCTAATTAGATGTATAGCGTTACCAACCGCGTGTGTAGATGAAATATCAGGCGTCTTAACGAGATCGTACTTCCTGGTAAGATAAATTTTCCTCGCTATCATTAACTTATACATTCACTCTCCAAAATGAAACATCGATCTTAGTAAATGAATATTTATTGCAAAAGAATTCTTAATTCAGCACTTTCATCTTTAACCTGTTAATTGAGTTGTTCTTATAAATCTGCAAACTCCATCCAACATAAAATTAAAAGTTAACAAAGGTGAAGTATTTTTAGCTAGATCGACCCTAGACCTTTGAAATATGATTATGTATATGTACACATGCATAATACATGTCGATGTCGCACACATCAGTGTATATGTATTAGACACGAACTCTGGATGAATTATATTCAAAATACATATTACAAACATACCCGACGATTTAACTCGTCTTTTCTAATTGATAGACTAACGCTAAACTTAAGTCAATTTATACGCAGTCGGAACTCGATAATTCGGAGTATAATTTGTGATCATTTGTGTAGGGGCTGGGATGGCATTTCGAAGGTTTCGGGGATACTCGGGTAACGAAAGTATACGAGTTGTTCGGAAATGTCTTTGGATCTTGAGCAAGGTATCGAGTGATTGGTCTCTGAGATCTTACGTATTATAAATTTCCACTTTTAATCCTTTGCTGTCCGGACAGATTTCGTCAATCGCTCATCCACTTAGTACCGTTTACTTTGGAAAACATTTTTGAGCTTACTAACGTAACATACTTATAAATGGGTGGATGTATAAAATAAAAGTTTAAAATTTTGTAAACATTATTTTTTATTGTTCGCAGCTTATAATTTACCATTTACCAACCACCGGTTTTCTGCCGCAGGTTTCGCGTATATATGTAGTCTCCCTTCTGCCACCATGAACAACAGACGCTTCCAATTCCTAGAAAAAAAGTTTTCTCTTATCTTAAACGTTGTGTCGAGTGACGCTCGACATAGGACTTGCTGTAATGAAATGCTGTGTCGAGTGACGCTCGATATAGGACCGCTAAGAGGTAGAGAGGTCTAGCTATTCTAAATTGAAGATGCCTGTAAATATGCCGCAAACAGTTTGAGTATAGTAAGCTTTATTTTGATTTAGAGAGGTCTTCTCGACGGAACGAAAAGGAATGAAATATTCGTCTCATAGAGGTTTTCGAATTATCGAGAAATATAATTATCACGAGAAATATAAAGTTAAGTAAAACAACAAAAGCGATGACGTTGAACACAGACTTTTTAATCAAAAATTTGAAAGCTGCCATTTGACCAGCCACGATGGGTTTAGTTACCTATTTTCTCACAACTCCTACGTGCAGTAGTGCTTGAACAAGTAACCGTGAATCACTATTCGCGACGATTTAACACAGGTGTGGCTGCGTATTTTTATGAGGCCACTTTCTTGCTACGCTTAGGTCAGCGAGACTTTACGCACGTTAAGTGTGTAACGAGCTTGAATTGACAAATTATAGGTGCCTCTCGCCGCTGTTAACCGTCACAGCAGAGATAATTATTGTCAGTTATCCGAAGTCGCAAAAGTTTAATTGTCCGTAAAAGAAAGTCCATAAAGACGTCTGAATTGTATAAGATCAGATCAAACTTACCGAAGCCATGTTAACATGACGTGACTCATTGAAACGTATTTCATATTCTTGATTCAGAGGTCATAACTATCGATCCAAAGCTTGTATTTGCTAATCGTCGTATTGTGGACCTATATTGTAGGTGTAATTGCCGATACTGAGATTATATTTGGCAATCCAGATCCTGACATTGCTAATACAGATTTTATAATTGGCAATTCAGCACTTGACAATTGCTCATCCAGGCTTTATGTTCGACAATCCAGGGCCTACAATTGCCAATTCAAAGTTTGTAATTGCTACTATCCACTTGACAGTTGATAATCCAGACTTTATATTCGACAATCTAGATCCTGTCATTGCTAATCCAGATTTTATAATTGGCACTTTACACTTGACAGTTGCTAATCCAGAATTTATATTCGACAACCTAGATCTTGCCACTGCCAATCCATATTTTATAATTGGTATTCTACACTTGACAGTTGCTAATCCAGATTTTTTATTCGATAACCTAGATCTTGCCATTGCCAATCCAGATTTTATAATTGGCATTCTACACTTGATAATTGCTAATCCAGACTTTTTATTCGACAACCTAGATCTTGCAATTCCCAGTCCAGATTTTATAATTACATTTTGGACTGAACAATCGCTGATCCAGATTTGGTATTTCACAATCTAGATACCAAAGTTGTCAAACTTTGTAATTAACTTTATAATTATTTATCACTCAAAATTTTACGGTTATTAAACCAAATTATCAATTCGGATATTACAATCGCTAAGCTGAGTTTTAGGATTGCCACTCTAAATCTTGTGACTGCTAATTTAGACCCTACATCTGCCAATTTAGATCTTACAGTTATCGATCGAGACTTTACAAGTGCCGATCCAGGCTTCACAATTACTAATATTGGTTTCATAATTGCAGGTTACGTGTCAAAAGCGATGCTGCAAATACTCTACCATCTTCAGCCTGTTTCTATACAATCTTTGAATTTTTCTTGAAATATAATTCCCGAAACACGTCGATTTTTATAATACCGATTCCACGATCTTACTCTTACTTCTAACAGTTAGAATGCGTTATTACTTAAAAACTCAAAAGATGCAAAGATTTGCAAAATAAAATTTATTCAATCGAAATACTTTGCAGTAATAACGTGTTTAGATTTAAAAGAACTTGCACTTAAAAATCTTTGTAAATTTTATGATACGAGCATCTATCGTTTGGCCTTTAAGAGATTTAAATTTTAAAGCATTTCCTACCTAGCATTAGCGACATACTTGGTTTGTTATCAGTGTTCCTGCTATCAACTTCCTGTATGTATAGAACATTATCATCGTTGCCCTTTTTGCTCAAAAAATCGTTAAAAATATAACATCTGTTAATATTAAACTTAGTTTTTCGTTAAACTTGACGAAAATATTTTTGTGCTATACTTTAAATTAATATTAATTACATATAATTAAATTTATATAAAAGAAAATAGAAAATAATATTAATAGAAGAAAATAGAATAATACTAATAGAAAATAATACTAATATTTGTTGCGTAATTAAAATTTAGTAGTAAATATTTTCATTTTTGTTAATTTTTTCATTTCTTCATTCTTCCTTGCTTAATAGGACAGAGTATTTTAACATAATATAGTTCAAAGGGGAAACATCTCGCTAAGCTTTAATATATAAACTTTTTAAAAAATAGATCAAAACGAATTTAAAATAAATTAAAAATAACGTTTTAATCAATCTGTTTGAAACGTTCAAAGCATCGGCAATATTTAATTCCAAAATTATATTAAAAAGCTGTTTTGGTAGTTTGAGATTATCTGACAAGATATTGAATTATTAAATTACTTTCTTATAAAAACGGAAAATCTGATTTATATCTTTATCTAGTAATATTTATATGTGAAAGTATCTCGTAGAATTGTGCATAACGTGAATAAAGTAAAAGTTAAATAAAATCCATACTTAGTTAATTTAACGCGTTGACTGCCATAGTGGTCATCAATAAGCAGCGCTTGTATTCTCAGTGGAGCCACGATGGTTACCAATGTTCGGTGATACTAATTCTTTAATTTATATTTATTTTCTTCTAACCAATTTTTTAATATTTGAACAACGTAAATAAATAGAGAACTTTGAATAGAAGACATCAATAATTTGCACAATTTTTCTTTGTGTACTATATTGTTTGATAATTTGTCATTATATCCGAAAAATAATGGAAATTTTATCGTGACCCCCTAACCTAACCATATAAAAAGTGAGTGACAGTCAAAGTATTAATAAGTAAATTTAATATGTAATTAATGTAATACCTTTAAGTAAATTTTATTTTCTGATTCAAGTTTTGATATGCTTAAGTACAAATAATTACAGAAACTAAAAATGGCAATTATGACCATATAATTCTTCAAATCAATATATTCTAGATAATAATTTAAAATGAATTTAAAATGGACAATATTCTAACATCGTTACTTTTGAATTCACAGTTCAAAATGTATTCTTTCTCAATTTATAATTTTCTTGGTTCTCTATATTATAATAGAAAAAGCTTGCATATGTATTTTTACTCGATCTATAATTAGTAATAAAATCTGAAATTATAATTTTTATAATACATAATGATATTGATTTATTATTTACTGTGCTATAATGAGAAAACTTTGAAGCTTCTTAAGCTATCAAAATTTATTTTAAAATCTAATTGACAGAATAAGAAATTAGGTTGTAATTGAATTTTATAAATTCAAATCTTGTTACTTATTCAACATTAATCTCTATAGGAAATAACGACAAAATTAATTCACGCTTAATATATTAATAAATTTATTATTTAATAAATTAATGTTCAAATAACTGAGAAAAAAGTTCTCAAACTACCATTTCATGTTTATTACGAATATTACTAAATTCACGTATAAGAGAAATTTTCTTGTATCGTTAAAAGTTTATCATTCTGTAAGCAAGAAATGAAATAACAAATTTAAAAAGAAAATTCAGCATAAACAGTCACTAAGTCAAATCAAATTATTATAGTTAATAGGTACTTTAATAGCTACTTCTATTAATATATTCCATTATAATGGAATTTATAAATTTATCATAATGATGTAATTATAGATTTCACATCTCTTTTGTATTTCTTCATTTATACTCATGTATATTGATATCGATGACACTGTTCAGCGCGAATTTTAATCTGCAATATCCATTAGGTAATTGTTGTAGAGTTTTAATTCTCGTGTGTCTGGTTCCCTTCAACAGATACTAACCCAAACGTTTCAATTTATCTCTCATTCCCATTCATTGAATTATTTTTATCTCGATAACAGTAACCAATAAATTTTAACTTTTTCTCTAATCTGATGTGCGACTGTTCTTTAACCCATTTGCATCCAAGCGCGGAATAATCCGCGAGCCACGACAGTCGTTTATCACCGAGCGCGGAATATTCCGCGAACTACGACTGTCGCCTATCACCGAGCGCGGAATAATCCATGAGCTGACTTTTTCCATTACCAGTTGCCGAATATTCTTCATATGCCACAGATCACGTTTGATCCCTTTTGCGAGCATCTCATCTCCATCGGTTCATTATATTCTTAACAAGTTTTATTTTTGTTGTGAAAATCTTTTTAACTGCCATTATGAATAGGTGCTGATAGGCGCGCATGATACGGGCTAGTCGTCAGTTGAACGTCGCTGATGCCTGAACACGTCACCTTAAGCAGAGCCACGATGCAAATGGGTTAACGCTGAGTTGATCGTGGTGGGTTTGCCTTGACTACCTCTAGATTGAGACAGAACTCCTTGGTCGTATGTTGGAACCCGGATTGACAACGTTATAGACCGATTAATCTTTTGTAATATATTTCGGAACACTTCTATATACAATACGAGTTCTGCAACGAGGCTACGTCGGAAAATACAACAACTATGTATCGGCGGAGAAGAATAAAAACTGCCTTCGTATAGTTTTCGGAGGTGCTTATATATTCTTACTTTTTGGAGGGATGAAAATGACAATTGGCTTCAGGAATGAGTAAGATGTTTTGAACTCTGATGTTGGCTTGCCTTTATCAGCTAGGTCCCTTTAATAACTTTGTAAGAGCCAGTCAAAGACCGTTGGTCATCCAACATAATATTCTGGAATATTATAAATACTGCTAGAATATTCGATCAAATTTTGTTGGAATAAAGCATAGTCGTGCAATGATGGCGTCGGGCCTGCTAGCTATTGCTAGTAGTAACTTTTGGGCCTCAAGGACCTTCGCTATTATGCTACTGTCAAAGAGTCATTTGCTGGATTTGGATTTAAAAGTATTAAAATAACTACGATATATATGTAGGATTAAGTATTCCTGGAGTTCGTGTTTATAGCATAATTCTTATTTTAATTTTCGATCATTCGATTAGGTTAGACATACCTCGCCGCTCACTCAGCGGATTAACACTAAACGAACCGATACTTTACACATACTTATTCTTACCATAATGGGTCATATGTTGTCTTGTCTTCTTTGGATCTGAAAGAGAACTCTCCTGTTTCGGTAGTTTTGTAAGTTCGTGTGTGTTCTGATTGATTGGTGTAAAATGTAAGTGGTGGATATGTGTCCTACTGATTGTGAATAATGTTGGGAGTATGTATTTGCTTCGACGTCTTTCGCTCTTAATACTATTTCCTTTGTCAGCATCCTTCACTGCTCGCAATACCACAATAATGTTTATATGAATCGTCTGTTTAGACCTTTGGGATATTGATACTCTGCATCGGTATTTGGGTACGAATTCAACTCCAGCACTACATGGACGTCAGTGACGAAAGCAGCTGGCACGGATTGTTGGCATTTGCCAGCTTGGGTGCAGTTTTAACTTTGACAGCAACATTCGCGTGCTGCTGCATAACTCGAGAACAACCTGCCCTATTGTATCTGGTAAGCTAACTTGCACCTTGTTATTCCTCGGTTTACATCTACACCAAGGTATCCTGTAACGAATTGCCTAACTGGTTCCAGAATCTTATTCGTTCATTATGAAATACCAACACAAAAAAAATGTCGTTGACTACGAAGAAATCAGTGAAATGATCTTAATAGAACAATTTCTTTTTTTTGTAGTATCTGATGTATGACTTCGAAGCTATTTAAATACCATTTCGTCACTATTTCCTATGTTTAGTAATAACAGAAATAAGTCAAACGGTGAATTCAAGAGAATCAACTTATATATGTTTTTAATACGAAACACATATGTGCGTATAAAATATAAGAACATATAAGTTTACATGTTACAAATTTGTATTTATATATAAATTTGATATTGCACGTAAAAAGAATAAAAAAATAAATGATTATAGAAATGACTATATTGTCAGGTAGCCAATTTCTTAAATAACATCGCAGAAATGATTGAGCTTTATGCACGACTCTTACTGTCAAGGGCAGCATCAGACATGTCTCACACCAATTTCAACGAAATTAGTCGAAATGATACGTCTATATCTGCAATAAACGTATCTGTAATATTAGCCGTAGATATCGAGACACTTGTGAGAAAATTAGGTGCAAAGTAAGAGATTCCCAACATCAATTATGTCATTACTATTGCAATGAATATGGGGCAATTATTGTAAGGTCATTCGTTATAGGATATCCCACTGTATACTGTTTACTCGTTGACATAACATAATGAACTTCACGCAATTTTATAATAAATTGCGAGAATATAGAGTAGTGTCTGACAAATGTAAATGGCCGACAAATGTACCGTAATGGTCGTGACAATTAATTTTCATACACATTACACAGTAACGCCCCCATAATAGACCATAAATGTAACCATATAGCGTGTACTAAATATCAGTAATATAATACTAGGATAATAATAGGACCAGTCTCGCTTAAACAACCAACCTAATCGGACGTGTTTACGATAAGCGAATTCTAAGTGTGATTGTGTGTGCTCATTGTGCCTGCTGGCAAGTTCAACAAGGCAAATGGCAGAAACAGACAAAATCCAATTTAAAATTATTAAAGACAATGGTAAATTTACCATATAACACACCTGGGGGCAGCCTAGATATACGGCCTCTGGAATGGGGGGATAGTCTTCCTCCCCTCTGCGACCCGGGCCAGGGAGGACCACAGACAGCTGGGTGGGGGCCCGCCTGTCCGGGAGGCCGTGGTTATAGCAGATCGCGGCGCGCGGTGGCTGCGTGGCGTCGATAGAAGCATGGGGGGGGATGCGTGTGTTCGCTTCGGATCCGCGTGTATGCTGGTTGAGTGAGGACGTGGTGTGTGCTTCCTAATCGCGCCCGGGGGGAACCTGCGAAGATGTGTTCCGCTGGGGCACCCTGGCAATTGCGTCGACTCGCGAAGTCCAGGGTACTCCATTGTCGCGGTAGGATGGCCATCGTGGGGGTTAGGTTAGGTGGACTAGAATCCCACATAATCCCACCCCCTCTCCTAGGGGGTCGGGCATCTTTCGAAGATTTCCCGAGAAAAGAAAAAAAAAAAGATGCCTAGATATACGGCGGAACAAATGGTCAATACGTTTAGTGTCCAACCCGTTTTGCTTGCCGCTCCGTTCAGGCCCAGACTCGGCCGTCAAGTGGGCCACCGGCGGCGGGCGAAGTGTTCATAAAACTCGGAGATACTGTACCAATTGTTATAACAGGAATTCCAAAACGTTAGGTTCAAAAATGGCGAAGAATTTAACACCAATAGTTAGCACCTTTTGGTTCTAGTCTGGGCTGGACCCTGAGGATCAACCGAGCCCGAACGGAAACTCTAGCGTGGCACTTAACGTGTTAACCGATATACTCCTTTCCAATGCATTTAGCGTACTAACGCAGGATACCGATGAAACGACAGAGTCCATGGATATTACTGTACCAAATGCAGTTACACCTAGACCTCCTCCCATTCACATCGAAATTCAAATTATTGAACCCTTACGTGTACTTCCTAAAAACACAGCAAATAATAACTACACACTAAAACAATTAAAAGATAATCATGCCAATGTCCAAGCAAATATAACGGAAATACATAGTAGGGTTGTGCTAGCCCTAAAAGAGAAGAACGCAAACTTCTATACATACCAGCTGAAGAAAGACAGAAGCTATAAGGTGATTCTGCGAGGTATACACCTCAAAACAAATGCTAATAACATTATCAGCGTACTGAAAGACCTCGGACACCAAGTAAAACAGATTAACAATGTAGTTAAACACGACACCAAGCAATCGTTACCGCTTTTCTTTATCGAATTTGAACCTAATGAGAATGTAGCGACCATCATTCTGACCCTCGCCACTAGAGTGATTCCGACTTCGAGGACTTTCTCGCAAGTCCTCGGAAAACCTCCAGTTCCTATATATATATATAACTTCTCGACCCTTCAATGGTATCCCAGTGTCTAAGGCAGGGCCTGCTAGGGTAGCCTTACTGATGAGTCCGTTAGCAGGCCCGGGACGAAACGCATCCTTTCCTTTTCCTACCGTCCCTTCTAGCTACACAACCACAGAGGATACCTGGGACCAGCTGACTTCAAATGATGGTAGGGGAGAGGACCCCCACAAGAACAATAAGGATATATATAAAATTAACAAACTCCTTAATACCATCGTTACATTCGTACCACCGAAAACCAAAAGAGACATACCACAATGCATACGCTGTCAAGCTTACAGTCATAGAAGGAATTACTGCTTTAGAAATCCTGAAAATCCCAAGAAGACTAAAAAGAAGGAAAGCATCCGATAGATCTGGTACATTTTAAAGACTAAAAGCTCACAGTAATTTTCACAGTTGTGTAAAATATTAATAATATATATCTAAATCCTACAAAATGTACCAAATGCTCACGTGGCAAATTGTACACTTGCATACTCATTAATAAAGCGAAAAAAAACAAACAAATTCTGCATGTGTAAAATATGCTGGCATGCACCTCACCTCAAACTGCCCAACATCAGGCAAAATAGACGAAATAAGATGTTACAATTGCAAAGGAAATCACCCCACCAGCTACAAAGGTTGTATAAGAAGAAAACAATTACAACAGAAAATATACCCTACACTTAGGGTAAAAAAAATCATAGACATTGCCTCTTTACCAGCTCAGACTAACATTCGAAACAGTATCACTAACAATACACACAGTCACCCGACCCCAGGAACAATATCCCACGCTGACATAACACGGAACAGAACGCAATCTCTTACATGACGAATCAATATCAGAAATATCTGAAATTAAAAAATTACTGTTACAAGCTGCAAAAAACACTGAATCCATTTCTACCTTGATACTCGAACAATCACAACTGTTAAAAGAACAATCAAAACAAATCAACTTGACAATTGATAGAGCTACTTACAGAGCTACATCAAAGATTATCAGAATTAAGAAACACGCATCTATTCGTCTCTCTCCGAATTAGAAAACACGCTTTTAATCGACCCTCTCCGAATGTCTCGCGTTCGTGTCGTTCACAAGCTATATTCATGAGGATTTATCGGGGCTTCTCCACTCAGGACTTTTCCTATGTCGCTGAGGGTCCTATTTTTATGTCCGTTGCCAAGCTTAATGACGTGATTTTATCAGTTGCTAATTGATTGATGTGATTCAGCCAATTTGCGATTTGCCCCCGTGAAAATTACATCACCGTGCTGATTCTTGATTGTGAAAATACTATTCTGTATACCTCCATTTTGCCCCTCCCCCCTTCTTGAAAAGACCGCGTAACTCAGGAAGCTTGCTTCTTAAAATAGCCTTCCATAAGGATATTAGTCGATTTTCGATTTGTTTTCTAAAATAAGATCCTCCATCTGCATCATGCCCGGTTTCCGATTTGTTTTTCTAAAAATAGCATCCCACAATAAGTTACTGAAAGATTCTGTTTGCAGTATGGCGCATTCTTGGGTATCATGGCATTACTGGAATTCGCAATTGGCTCCTCCATTTATATTCACCGTTCCAACTTAAATGAAAAATTCGATCGTGATTGGAATAAAACCATGGCCATTTATGGACAAAACCAAAAGAAGACCTCTGACATCGATGCCATACAAACTACCGTAAGCTAATATATGATAATAATTCAATTTATTATTTACACTATTAATCATAATATAATCAGTCACCTAATTATTACAAATTTCGATACGTATTTGCATACATTCACCGAGAAGTATCATTTTTGTTTGTTCGATTCACAGTTTATGTTTAGTCACGTTTAAATTACCTGCATTGCTTCTGTGGGGGTTAAGGTTCCGCCACTACGCCTATGCCAGATGACCGGATAAACTATGGCCGAGTATTTTCCTGTATTTCTCTCCGTAACATACCAACAGTCAGTGCAGGCTAACAGGAAACGTAAGGCATTGTCCTCGGAATGGCATTGGCTGTCGTCAATATCGTTCGGGGATTAGCCTGGGGCCTGGCAGTTAGTTTGCAAGCTAGACCTCTTCATTCCTTAATTTGTGACCCCTTCAGTCACCACTACTTTCCCTCGCAAGGGTGTTTCCTGCGTAAGTGCTTTTCCGCGCGCGGATTGGCAGGCATTTTCCTTTCCTTTCCACATACTCGATAGTCTTTAAAAAGTTTTAAGGACAGAAGGCCGAGTCAGTCTGACTTCGACCTTTCAAGTTATAATCGCTGGCCCGGGTACCGAACTTCACCGAGCTTCTGCCTCTGCAGAACTAGTACACCCCTGACGAGTATTGTACCTTATTAATCGTCGCGTCAATAAACAAACGTTACCGCACTTAATTGAGGGAACATAGTTCTTACACCCACAACACTTCTGAGAATAGATATAGAAGTGTCTTAAGTATGATTATTCAGTTTGAAAGAGCGAATGTGTCGTATCGATAATGACTAAACATACTCTTTAACCTCTTGCACTACCATTTTATGAAAAATTATACATCGAAGTAGCGTTTAATTTTAGTTAGTTATGTTTATTCCGTTCGCGATGAAATAAAAATAAATTGAATAAAAGTTTAGAAATTCTTTGAACTTGTGCACGTTGAAATGTGTTGAATATAATTACTTTCGCGTTAAGAATAGTGTAGGACTAATGCTAGATTAATCCTATGCAGACAGAGAACTGTGCGTCTAATAAATGATTCCTTTTTAATAACTGTTGGGATTTATTAATAAAGTGGGGACGTAAAATACAATGTAATCACAAATATTCACAGCACACACGTGACAAGTACACGTCGGTCGCAATAGATCTCACGCCATATGCAACAGACGATGATCGTCCTCCTGCGCACGCTCATCGCGCACACGCACAGGGCCGTATTATTATTTAGCGCAGTCCCCGTATCGATCGCATATTGATCGCATATCTTACAATAACAAAAGAGATTTATTTAACTAAAATATTACACTAGGTTTCTCTCAACTCTAACTCTCAAAGCACGATCGTCTATTCACTACGTCTCTACTACACGCATTTTGCCCCGCCCACACCCTTGCACCCTTACTTAAAGTCAAAACTCTCTCTTTTCACGCACAGGCTTTCTTTCTCGATCACTCGATACAGTCATAGATATTCCGTCAAAATGATTCTTTCGCGCTGTCGTTTGTTCTTTCGTCCAAACTAAAAATTTGATTATTCTTGACACATGTTCGTCTATTTTATGACATAATGCCATATTTTATTACATAATGCCAACTATCCTTGTGACGAGCACATCTCAGCAAACGATGATGCAGCTAACAATAAAATATTATTCCTGTCTAGGAAACCTACTTTTCTGTTTAGCATGAATTATGATAAGAAAAACACGGGATAAGTGTCACTATAAATATAACTAACAACTCCAGTATTACCAAGAGAACCAAAATCGATTATTTCAGGCCTTTTATTTTTGCAGTTACTGAAAATATGCAACTTCTTTTGGAAAAGTTGATGTTAATCTATATTCCAAATATAGTAATTATGTGTACTAATTTGTTTTCACTATACCATTTCGATTATTATTGTTTTTATGTATTTTATTTATTTATACATTACAGATTTATTAAGATGAGATATACTAGGTATAAATTATAATAGATACACGTTACAGGAGTAATTCTAATGTTAAATATAATATATCGAATTATATTTCTTATTTTGTTTGTTCAAATTCGATGCAATTCTTTCTGCTAAAATAAATGATTTATTTCAAATATTAAATATCACTCAAAATATTATAGTTATCATTTTTCATACTCAAGGTTAAGTGAAGGTCATAGCAGTATAAGTCATTAGATAGGTCTTAACCTCAGTTATTATGTCAAGATGATAAAACAATTAAATATGATAAAACTACGTCGATTTAGTATCAATAACCTTGACATCTCGAAAGATTGACCTTGAAAACAACTATTCGCTTACTATAATGTCTATGTCTTCGATCCAAATAACATTTTTTCATATCATCAAAACCACGTGAAATGATTCATATTATAGAGTATAATATATAATTGCATGCAACACAACGAACTATCATTAGGTCTATATTAATCAGTATCGTTATTATCGAATAACATACCTTTCGTTTTATAGTTGCAATGCTGCGGTAATAAACATTATACTGATTGGCTGAACACAAATCCACCACAGGAAATTCCGCGATCTTGCTGCAAAGTACAAGATGATACGTGCGACACTAATAACGAAAATGATATTCACACTCAGGTAAGATAGAAACCAGAACGATATACTTCTACGTAGAAAAATTCCACGAAAATTCTACAAATATTTTACTAAATGGTATTTCAGATAAAAGTTATACCATTTTCTATGTACAATAAGATTCCTGAATAAAAAGTCGCGGTTTATAATTTAGAAAAGCGAAATGATTTTGAAAACTCCAATATATTAAAAAAAAAACAAAAAATTAATAATGCTATTCGAATCTTCGTTTAAAATCATAAAAGACACGTGTCAATCTCTTCTTGTTGTAATCGGTTACGAGATATTCCGCTGTCAACTTAAGTGACACCCTATATAATGAAACGATGGATTTGATAATTTAAATAAATTGATTTGGAATCAAAAATGCCTATCGACGAAACAAATTCCGCGATGATTCAATTTTCCTCGTATTAATCCCAATTATACAATTTTGTCAGAAATTGTAGATATTAAGTATGTCATTATTCCCAACAATTATAAGTAACACGAATTTCCACTTGTTCACTTCGTTTAAAAATTACTATAAGCAGAATGAATTCTAACGAACTACTCTTTCAAATAACCTGTTCACATTAGTAACATAGTAAAAAAATTTCTTATATAAATGGCATCAATATGTACATTTGAAATTAAAAATCACGATAACAGTTTGTCCCTTTTAATTATTAAACTGTCTAATAAAATATACTTCCCGGTAAAAAGAAATAGCATTTTTAAGGATTTTTAAGAAAACAAATCGTCCTATTGCCATATCATTTGTCAATAGTAAAATTATATCAAAGGAGTGAAAATGACTCGTTTCGAATATTTTATTTTCACAATTTCTGAGAACATGTAAACTGCTTTTACCAAATTTATTACTTCCATTCGAATCGAAATGTAATTGTTTATAATTATTCATAACATTACAATTATCTTCATTCGCGTAAAATATACGTAGTTACTCATATAAGTCGGTGGTTCTAGTGTCAAAATTGAAAAATTTTACTTGCGTCAGCGCAAAATTAAGTCTTTCGCTACGGCGGGCGTCGCTACGAAGTCTCTTCCGCAGAACGAAGCGACGTGTCAAAGATGGTAACATTACGTTAGATGGATGACTAACGATCCGTTGGCCCTTAGTCACTAGAGAGGTCCCAAGTAGCTAATAAACGCAGACCAATTTCAGAATCCAAAAACAACTGACACATTTCTACTTTCACTAAGGGCCAATGGTCATCTTCACCCCACCAAAAACTAACATTATATAAGCACCTACAAAATTTGCGAAAGGCTAGTTTTTTTCCTCTCCACCGACTTGTATTTTTCCGACGTAGCCTTGTTGCTAGAACCCGTATTGTATATAGAAATCCGGGTTCTAACACGCTCTTCTGATCTTACTTAACCCTTTTGCTACAACGAGCGCCTCCGTGAAGTCTCTTCCGTAGAACGCAGCATGGTGTCAAAGATCATGCAGTTTTTAGCATACGGTCTTTTGACGCAAATCTTTTGAAGAGAAAAAGAAAAGGAAGAACTGACCATCACAATAGAGCTTGCAATTCTTTGCGAAGAGAGCTAAGAGGAACGATAGCACTTGTCTCAATTTTTTACTCAATTTTTGTGACCGGTAGCTATAGTCACCCTTCGTATGTAGATGGCATCTCGTGGCCGGTGACTATAGTCACCCGTAGTAGCGAAAGGATTAAAGATACCAGACACGTGTCTTATCATTTTGTCTCGGAGTGTACACGTTGTTATAAGTTCCGAAAAATTGTAGTTCAGGATAATAGTACTACCTTCTAATAATAATACTGTTTTATAGTAATGACAATAATAACCAGCTAAAATTCAAATTTTCAGGGCTGTTCCTTTTTCGCCTTGTATCTGGTAAATAAGCAGTTGATAGTGGTTGCTGGAATTGTAATTGGCGTCGCTTTCTTGCCTGTCATAGGCGCTTTCCTAGCGTGTTGCTTAGCCAGCAACATCAACAAAGTCAAGTACGAGCAAGTTGCTTAGAACTTGCGACGGAAAAACTCGCCGTGCCGTCGCAAAAAATCTGGAAAAACGACGTTCCGTAACAATAACCTGCGTTCTATGTCAATTTCGAAAGTTACAGACTCGCGTGCCCTCTCGCAATGAACGAAATGTTTTACGTATAGTTGCTGCATCAAAACCATTATTTTCCTTATCACGATTAAATTTGCAATGCTGGCGTCGAAGTGTTATTTCTATACGTGTATAAAATGATTAACTCCTCGCACACGAAAATTTTTTCCTGTCGAAAATTTATAACAGAAAACGACATTGTTTTACTAAAAATCGTTGACATATTTTACAGTACGATGAAAGTAAAATCACACGTAAATTTATACATATGTAATTATTTTATTTCGATATTTCGTGAATTTTTGTCTACCTCAAATTTGAGAATCGACCATCGGTGCTTATAATTTTTATAAATGACGGGGGATATGTTCGTAAATGTCTAGCTTTTGTTTGCTTGACAGTTTCGTTTATCATAGATATTTCGTGTCACGTCTGCCACCTAAACTTCTCGTTCAAACCTTGTGTATAGTGTTATCATTTGTTTTATATGCACCGGAAACGTCAGTGGCCTGAATGGAAAGTACAGCGTGGAAATAAGCACACGAAACGCGATATTTAATTACCGTTCCACTTCTTCTTTTTGCTACTTCGGATTTTATTAAAAGAAAAAAATTAGGTTAATAAGTTCCTTATGCATGTTACAATCGAGTATTATAATTTATATGCTGCCGAAGTTATTAAAATAACTTCCTCATTGCGTACGAAACGAGAAAAATACCGAACATTTATCATTTTCTGCTATTATCGAATTTGCATAACAGATTTCTATAAAATTATATAGCTGTTCTTTGCAGTGTAATTATATGAGAAAGAAAAGAATTCTAGAAAAAGAGGAAGTGATATCGAATAAGTTATAATATGATAATGGATGCAATTACATAATGAAAGAAAATGATAAAAAAGACCAAATTATTAATATCGAGTATGGTATCTGGTAAATAATAATGCGAGTTTTTCGGTGTGTTTAATTAGCATATTGTTTATTATTCTTTTTTCTCTTTTTTTTAATCATGTCAGTGAAAGTTAATGACGCGTGTAATTTATGATTCCAGTGTTTCCTTATAAAATGAATTGCACGATATAGTCTCACTCAGTTTAAATACTACTAAAAAGCGAATAAAACTCTTCGTTCAGTTCGTCAACAATTAAAACGCTCAACAGAAATTTAGTGCATATTATACTTATCTTTTGAAACATATTTTCGTAATATAAATTAAAATACAATCTGAATAAATGAAACAGATCTTATTATCCGTTAACAAAAGTTTTAATTGATAAAACATAGCGAAAATGTTTGAATGCAATTTCAAGTAACGTTAAAGATCTATAAGCATATGTTATATTTTCAATTTAATAGAACAAAATTAATATCATCGTATGTTAAATATATGCTTGCATTTTCTTCTATATTTTACATAAACACGTATTTCATATTTTCGTATTTATGCATCACTTAAAATATAACTATCGTGTTAATTCATTATCGATAAACTATAGGTAATCAAATTAAATATGCCTATTAATAAAAGATATAAAGTAACAATTTAACAATCTTCAAAATTTTGAGGAAGCATTCGTGCAAATATATTATTTTGTCATAATATAAAACACAAAATAAGATCTGTTTCATAGATATAGATATGTTTAAGACACCAGTGTAACATATTTTTCACAACTTAATCCAAGTATAGGTATAACTGGTAAGAGTTTCATTGATTACAGTGATATATGAAAGACTCAATTTTAAATCTTACTCTATTAAACAAAAATATTTACATCGATTAACAGATTTTTCTTTAGCTCTGTACGTCACTGTATTCATATTTTTTAACAGCACAAATTTTACCATTTACTAATTTAATATTAGATATGCTATTTATATATATATAATTGTTTCTTCTGCTTATAATAGTTATTAGCTTATTCGTTTTAATTGCTTACTTTATCTTACGAAACTTTTGAATGCTCTTTTACAATTTTACATCTTCTAAGGACCAGAACTTCGTCGTTAATATTTAAGTTTCATAAATATAAAAAAGGAATCTGATGTGATTGCCTTTTAATATATACGCATATGTATTTATCTTATAGCATGCATTTATCTCGTAATGTTACTATGTTGTGTCACAAAACTTGTGACCATTACTTGATCGTACTTCCAGTACGTGAATTACTGTGAACCTTTCGTGGTATACCTTTTCAACTAAATTCTACTATACATGTATAACATTGTATTTCGATGTTAGAAGATAAACTTAAATGATATACTTTTTGATAATATTAATTGTGACTTTGCCATCTTATGGAGATGCATTAGAAATATCTTTAAGGAATGTTTTTATTATCATTCTTTTGTACTCCCGGTGTGATCTATTAAGAATTTTATTTCATTATTTGTTGATGCATATGAGCGTTCATTGGAAGAGAAACGTAACATGCATTGCTTCTGTACAATTAAGTTATTTAGTTATTTTAATCATAAAATATCGTATTGTTTGTTACATTTTATATCAATTTATATATCGTACATCTTAATTAAATAATTTATGTAAAATGTTTTCTGTTATAATAATAAGAAAAGAATGTTCGATTTCCTTGAAATTTCCATTGTGTTATGTTAAAGTTCTATTTTACATATAACCTCTGTTTAGTTATAATATATAAAAATTCCTAAATAAGGAAACATCTAAATTTAAACAATAATCGATAGGTATATATGGGAACATCTTGCTAATACATACTTAAACAAGGAATCCTATAACTTTATATTATTCCACAATATTTTCTATTTTATTTAATATCTCCTTTAATATACCATGAGTATACTATCATTATATAATGGCAATGTCTAAAAGAAACTATTAACTAATTAAATAATAATTTGAATGGGATATATGTACTTCAAGCAAGATATATTCATAACTATAACGAAATTATATACAAAGATTGTATACGGTGAAAAAAGGTTTTAAAATGGAGAATCGTGGTAATAGATAATAATTCAGGAGGAATAAAATACCAGGTTACTATGGGGCAGCAGACTAATTACAAATGGATAAACAAAATTCTTCGGTTACTCGCTAAAGTCAATTCAAAGAGTTAATTTAATTAACAATAAGAAGTAACAAGGGCCGAAAACATATTTCCTTCGTTGGTTAAACCAAAAGATTAATTTTTAAAGGAAACGAATAAGTTTTAAATATGGAGTTTTCTGAGTTAATCCTGAAATTCGTTAAAATTCAAAAAGACAATCACATAAAATTTATAATATTATATAAGTCTTTATTCCTCTAGTATTTAATTTTATTTTTAATTATTTACAGATTACATATGTACGTGTAAAAAGCTACAAACACGTTTTTGTAATCTATCAAGACAATAACAAATATTTTATCGATATTTTATAAACATTCGAAACTTTTCAAATATTGTTCATATCGCTTTAATAAATTATTATATACTTAAATGAAAATTAATTAATATTCGCAAATAAGTGGATAATATTTTAGTCACCCTATTAAAATAAATTTTAACTTATGATATCCGTTATATTCTATCAAGAAAGTCTATCAATTATTTTTATATGAAATATGAATAAGTATGTCGATTATTTATTATCAATATTTAAACAGATAATTCAGAAATATAAAACTTTTAATAACTATGTACTCGAAAAAAATTTTATTGATTTTATAGCAAATATCTGTTTGAATAAAAATTATAACGACACTTAAATAATTAAAATAGATTTATAAATTCACAAATCTCGATAGTTTTTAGAGAAAAACGTTTGTAGCCATTTATACTGCTTACTTACTTGTAATGAAATAATTGTCGTTAATATTTTTTAATATCAATTATAATTTGTGATAGTATAAATAGCGAGGAAAATTTAATTAGGTCCCTGACATTATGTACACCGATTGTTCATTTATAAACAATAACTATTTGCAGATTAATAATACATATGAGTGTGTAAAAACATATATCTACGAGTCAAAACGGACATAACTTTACGAATCGTTATAATTATACATTAATAATTAATTATACGTAAAATATTTATTTTTTGAAAATTTTTCAAAATGTCAGAATTACAGAACCTCGAAATTATTAATAATATCTTCTTTTTCTTGTTGTTACGAACTAAAGATATATGTAATAATTCTCTGTAAGTAAATGTTATGTTGTTACAGAGAATTATTTTCAAAAATTATATTGTGCAACATTTATATATGTAGAATATTAATAGATAATTTATAATCGTTGAATTCTTATTTTGTTAAATTATATATACATATATACAAATATATATACATCTCAGAAAAAGTAAAAAGTAATAAAAATGTAATTAACGATTAACTAAATTCTTCAGGAAAGAATATTTTGAAATATTATTTTTATAGTAACCTTACTCTTTATGTGTTAAATATTGTGGCAGTCCAACATCAATGAAAGATTGTATTCGATTAAAAATTATTATTAATATTCTGTGTATATATATACAAATATTTCAACTTCAAATGTTTCTTTTCTCTAAAATGTTTAAATTTATTATACTCAAATATTAATCGTCAAATGAACAAAAATGGATGTCAATTGTATGCTGTTAAATTATACCAGTGTGATAAGATTCATTTTGTGTAGTTCTTTACCGAAATTTGGGAAATTACTTCCACTAATCTACGATATGTGTGTTCTAATCGTTTGAATGTCCCGCGTTACGATCGTACTGTTTCTAGTTCATATTGATAGATGTCACTGCATTGGTCCGCGATATTTCGTACTCTACCAGAGTGCCTACTCACGATCAGTCATAGTTGAGATAAACAAAGTATACCGCTTGACATTTTACAGTATGAGACAAAACAATTGCGCGGCTTTATACTTTTCAATAAAATTTTTCCTATGACTCCTGGCATTCAAACGGTTAAGGTATATAAGAAATTTCTAAAACTTCTATTCTACGTTCTCTTGTTGCTCTAGAACTCTAATCAAAATTCATACATAAACTATTAGATCTTACAAAATATATTTATTTATTTATTATATTTATTATATTAATATATAAATATTTAAAAGTGTGTATACCTTTACATATATAAACATATATACTATATTTCATTTCAGAAGATCTAATCGTACACACGTATATTTTAATTCTGTTACAATTATTAATTGAAATTTTCTATTTGACCATTCAGTTATATAGCATTAACAACTGATTAATCAATACTTTATTATTATCATTGTTTGTAAAGTATGTTTGTTCTCTTACACTCTGTTAAAATGTACATGTGTATATTTTACACATATTTCAAATATTTAAATAAATATAAATGAAACAAGAATCTTGACTCAAAATTCTCTTACCTTTATTATTTTTTAAATTATTTAATTTTTCATATAAATAACTTAGAAATTATAATTATATCATTATTTTTCTATTATATCATAAGCAATTAAAAAATACACGGAATGTTTGAAAAATGCAGATCAATCAAACTTTAATATAGTTCGTTAATATATAATAATATAATAAGTAGAAATAAAAATAATCTACGAATGCTTTATTTTGTAGGAACATACATTTCAAACGTAAGTTGTAGACGCCTGTCAACAAGCAACCAGCTATACATTCACCATTTTTGTAATTTTCCAGTGAACTTTTGAATAAAAAAATTGATTTAAAATATTTTTGATGTTATTACAAAAAAGAAAAAATCTTTTAAAATTACTTAAGTGTAACAAATTGTTATTAACTCTATTATAATCAATCTCTTCTTATTGTACAATTTTAACTTACTAAATGAAAAGGATTAATTAATTTATATGTCTGTATCAATGTAATAATTTTTTAATTTGAAAATCTCCCACATTTCATTATATCGTGTTATCTGCATTAAAAATACAATTTATCTAATGTGTATTTATTAAATTTAAACGTCCAAAAAATTTCCATTATTATAAAAAATTAATTACTTATATATATATTATAATAGCTTAAATATTTTTGTCTTTCCTTGATGTTACTTATAAGTATTTCTTATTGTTTAAATATAATAATGTAACAAAGTATAGGTTAGAAAGCAAAACATATTTGATTCTTTAAAGTTCTTATGGATATACTGATTTAGTGTATTTGAAATTCCTTTAACCAAAGATATAATTTATATATCTTTATATAATAGGAATATTATATAATAGGAATAAAAAAATGATATATGAATTATCAAATTATATTACAAGTAAAAAAATATATCATTAAGTATAGTATAATATTTCCTCGGTACTATTTATTAAGATATTAGGTATCAGCTAATTGTAATATTGTAATATTGTTAAAATTAACAACTAATTTTTTTTACATTTCTAAATATTTAATATATGACTTATATTATAAAATGTTAATACATTTAAATTTGAATAACATTTGAATAACTTATAACTTTATATTAAAAATGGCGATCAAGATTTATTTATTTTTAATTTTGTAATTTATATCCAAAAACTATTGAAATGTATTTTAATTATACATGTCTTGAATAATATTAGTCTTCTGATATCAAATTGCATAAGTAATTTATTTTAAATTTAGTTTTATTAATTTGGTAATCTTGAAAATACTTTCTTTTAGTATTCACCACTAGAGTGCATTGAGGTTCCGTTCTTTTCTCTTCGTCATGGCGGTGAGTATGATGTTATTATTTTAAAGGCAAATGTTATAATCTTCGAATATCAAAGGCATCAAATAAAGAATAAAGATCTTTTATATATTATCAAGAAAAAATCATTACTAATTTAACATTGATAATTTTATTTTTCATTAATATGATAGTATTTGAAGTTTTACATATGACAGTTGAACAAGGTTTGTGATCAGCATGTACTGCGAATATAACCTAAATCTGTTCCATAATGTTTATAAGAGCCTTAAAATACTTGTTTATACATACAAATTCAAGAAATTAAAATAAAAAGGTTAATTACTTTGACATCGTAATTTATTGTCATTAAATAAGTAGAGTATGTAAACATAATTTATTTTTTTATACAATACTTAAAATGTGCAGTTTTTGTTAAAAGAAATGTATTTATAAACTAATTTTCTTACAGGAGTCAAAGAAAGCTCCAGAAAAGAAAGTTGAAAAGAAGATTGAAAAAAAAGTGCGGAAGGAACCAAAAGATGCTTCCAAAAATGTTATGCGTGAAGTACGCATTCGTAAACTTTGTTTGAATATTTGTGTCGGTGAATCTGGTGATAGACTCACCCGTGCTGCAAAGGTATTTGTTACAAATATATTTTAATTCTATTTTAGATTAGATTTGTTATAATTACTTTGTATTCGTTTGTAATATTAATATTTTTACATATTTTACTTCATAGTAAAGTTGATTTTACTCTTTTTTATAGCTATATTATTGTGGCTAAAGATTGTAAAACTAAGAACTTAATCTTTAATTTCTATTATAGATTTTTAAAACTTTTATAGGTACTGGAACAATTAACTGGACAACAACCTGTTTTTTCTAAAGCAAGGTATACTGTGCGTTCCTTTGGCATTCGCCGTAATGAAAAAATTGCAGTACATTGTACTGTACGAGGCGCTAAAGCAGAAGAAATTCTTGAACATGGATTGAAGGTAATTCTACCTATTATTTATGTATAATATTAATAATGTTTCTTGAAGTATTTAATTTTTTTTTTTGTCTTTTAAGGTTCAAGAATATGAATTGAGAAAAGATAACTTCTCTGACACAGGAAATTTTGGTTTTGGTGTTCCAGAACATATTGACTTAGGAATTAAATATGACCCCAGCATTGGTATTTATGGCTTAAACTTCTATGTTGTACTTGGACGACCAGGTTATTTTATATTTTTTAATAATATCAAATTATTAGATTTATGCACATTTATCATAGTTACAAATATATTCAGTTGTACCTATATTTCCTAAGTATGTGCTAGAATATAGGCTGCATATTTGCAACCCATGCCCACATATCATACTGGGTGTGTTACTTAATTGTAGCTACAGATTATGATATCCATTACTTATTACATTAGCATGTTATATTATAATTTTTTATTAGTTTAAATTTTATATTTATATTTATCTTAATTAAAGTAAGTGATATATAGCTTTCCTATATACATTATAATTCTAGAAATTGAATTAAACAATACTGTATTAATAGATAAAAATTATTTTATATGTAATTTATATAACTTATCTTTATATAGGTTTCAATGTAGCTCATAGGAGAAGGAAAACTGGAAAAGTCGGTTTCCAACATAGACTTACCAAAGAAGATGCAATGAAATGGTTTCAACAAAAGTATGATGGTATTATTTCCGCTGGAAAGAAGTAATGTACATATTTTGTATTTTACAGTTCTTTCATAAAGATTTTAAAAATAAATTATCTGTTTAATAAAATTTTATTGACACCTTTTTCGCACATTTCTATTACAGTCATGAATACACTTTATGTATAAGAAATATATTAGTAATGATAATTTATTAATATTCACTTAATTTTGTTACTAATATTTTATAGATATATTAGAAATAAAGAATTCCTTAATTTATATTTATTAGTTACCAAAAATATAAAAAAAATTTCTGTAAATTTAAAATCATTAACAATGATTTTTATTACAATAAGATAAGATAGTTTATAACAAATATTTATGTATTAAAAAATTGGAGTCTTATAGATTTTATTAATAATCGAATTACCAGTGCACTAACACGACTAAAATATTTTGACACATTCACGTTTCTACAATGTAAGAGTATTTTATGCACAATCAATACTTTTGATACTAATGTATTTGTTTTAGTTTAATGTTTAGCTTTTCAGATAATTATTAGACCATTTATGAAAGACATACAATGGCTGTAAAAAGTATTAATACATATATTAATTTTATACATTTCGTAAAATTGCACTTCATTAACTAATTTTTTTTAACTATTTATTGACTACTCATATAATTTATGAAATTAATTTTAAAAAATTGAAGTGTACTAGCAATACGTGTTCATACAACTTTTATTTCATATAATTTACAAAAAAGGTTTTGATGTAAACATTGTACAATTATTTTCTCACAATAATAAATTACGATTGTTTTTTAATAACTTTATCAGCACCAGTAGTATTCAAAATACAATTTTATTTTAATTTAATTATAAATTTACATAATCAGTTTAAAAATTTATGGAAATTTTTGAGAATTGTAAATAAATGAAGAATTAAAAGTAGAAAACTTGCTATCTCAAGGAAAACAATAATGATTCCATAATTGTTCCAAACACGTGAACACAGCTAACTAATACAATATATTGATGAAATAATAAACTACCAGATTTTTATTGACATTTCAAAATACAATCACCTTCCTAGTGCTGCAAAAGTAAATATTACAGATAATATTGTTTTTATCTCACTTACGTAATTCAATCATCTTCAGATGTTTTTATAGAATATCTGTGGCATTACTTAAATTATAAAATTATAAAATACTAAATTTCCTATAAAAATGTTTTAGAAATATTCTCTTGCAGGAATAACACAATTACATTCTGTAACAGTTTTGTTAGCTCAATACCCAAGAGTTATAATAATTATAAAACCAAAGATGAAATTTTATTAAGTATTAATTAAAATGTTTAATTTACTTTTTCATTACTAAATTTAATTAAATTATTTGTTTGTCGTTAAAATTTTTAAATAAATTTATCAAATATGGATATTTCTTGCTGGTATATTTCAGTTGGTGTTTTAATTTTTCTGGTTATTTTCAAAAATTACCGGAATTTTTGCACATGATATATATATACCAGATATGATCAAAAATATGTATGAACCTGTTTTACAAAGACAAAGTTAATAATTTTATGAACTTTCACAATTTACAAAGTTATTTGAAACTGATTAGTGCAAGATACTTTCTACATTCAGTGTAGTCATAGTAGTAATAGTACAGTAAATACAAAAAGCTTTGTTATATCAATATATAATCCTATTACTTTCTGTATATGACTTATTTATTTAAACTAATTTATTTATTACTGCAGAAAATTAACATGGAAACTGAATCTTTATCAAATATCTTGACTTAAAAATTTAAGCTGAGTTTTAAATTATGACAAAAAGGAACTTCATAGTTGCAGTTGTATATACTTTCTCTAGTGAATATCTTACGAAAATATGAATACTTATTCTTTGACACCATAATTTTGTTACACATTTCTGTTTTGTTTATTTTCAAATTCTATTTCTTTCTTCTTTTTTTAAATGATATTCCTAAAATATATTAAATACAAATGTTAAATAATAAAAATATTGAAAGTAAAACATACACATTTCTATTATGAACACATGCTAAATATATTTTCGGAAGTAGAAACCAAATGATGTATTAATATATTTAATCACTATATTCTTTTTATTATTATCTGTTTTTGACAATTTTCCATAATGTGAAATTACTAAGGGTATCGGAAAAATGTACATCATTATACTATTTAGTTTTTTAACTTTCATACAGAAGTAAAAAATGTATGATATAAATTTGTATAATAATTCACTAACTAATAAACTTCATAATGAAAATAGATAATTTATTTAGAATAATATTCATTACTTATATTTTTAATTCAAATGATACAAAAATGCAATTAAAAATCCATGTGAAATAGTGAATATAAATTTTTCCTTTTAAAATATTTTACACTGAAAATTGTTACACTATTAGTATGTATAAACATGTAATATTATTAATAAGTATAAACATATTAATTTATAACATGAGAATAAATTTATTTTCTGGTACCCTTAATATTATCATAAAATATAATTTTAATAAAATCTGAAGCATAAAGTTAATTATTTTGAAACTGTATTATCTAATTACAATAATATTAGAATACTTAACAGCAATATAGCACAGCATATATATTTTTTCTTTCTTACAATCTGTGGTTTATATTTAATAATTTCTTGCTATTTAAATTTATCTTTGGTTTTAATTTAATGATACATATATAATTTTAAAACATGCGAAATAGAGTTATAACAGATATATAAGAAATGTGCTTCTTTTACTTTACCTGTGACGTCCGTAAATAATTACACTATAATCCTTGCTCATATCTACCTAACATAACATAGTCAGGTAGATAAAAATACAAGATATTTCCCTCAGTCTCCAAATTATTTCTTTAACTGGACGCCATATTCTCATTGATATAATTGAATATTTATTTGTATTATATTCTTCTTAATAACAGTTAGACATATGTATACATAAATTTACATAATCTATGTTCAAAAATTCAAATTACCTTGTAACTTACAATTAATTAAATAGAAAATTTATATCATGATAAATTATACAAGTAATACTTTCTACTTTCCACTATGAAATTAATAAATCTTCTTTCCCTTATCACCGATAGGTAAATGTATTTAATCTTTTGCATTGACATGGATAAAGTTACTATTTTTCATGTAATTACGTATTCTTCGATGTTTAGTATATTAAATATATGAATTACATATAATATACTTATTACATGAAACATATATTTAATATATCAAACATGTAATAATACTAATGTGATGTTATAATTTGTACAATATGTTACACAATGTAGAGTGATATACATTTATAAAAACAGTTAAATATTTATTATGATAAAAATTACAATTATTGTAGGTACTTACTGTGCAATATATTTGCTAATATATTGTCAACCAATGATTTCAAATGCAATGCAAAAGAATAAATCATTTACTGCAATTCATTCATTTATACATATCTATATGTACATTTTATATTACTTCTCATTCTTGACATGTATTTATCTAAATTAATTACATAAAAAATTAATCAAATTGTATGAAAAAATGAATGTTAATAATTTTTCACATATTGTAAATGATTCACACAATACTTTATATATTGAATTGTGATAATTTGTTTTTAAAAATAAAATATAACAAATACTTTTATAACATTTTTCACATTTAATGCAAATATTTTGTATTTACTATTCATTTCGATATTAAGAAGATAAATAATTTCAAAATTTATTTTAATAATTTCAATTTAATAATTTTTAGGAATGAATTCAACAAATTGAAGATGTGTATGGAGTACATTAATTTTAAATTTAGAAAAAATGAATTTAAAGTTTATTTTAGACTTTTTTTTATAAAATATGTATTAGTAAATTGCTTTTAAAATACAAACATTTTATTGTTTAAGGCAGAATTTAAAATATTGTGATGCTATATTTAAAATTAAGAATCCATTTATAAAGAACATAATAAATTAGTAAATGAAAGTATTTGTATAGACTGACAAAGAAGTCATTTAGTTTCAATAATTTGTTATTTTCAATTATTTAATGTCTATTTTTGTTATTCATACTCAATTTTATTAAATAAATTATATTAATGAGTTTAAATAATTAAAAATTATTTAGGCCATATTTTCTAAATGTGAACTCAAAACCAAATTACTGAAGTTAAATATTTGAAACTTGAGAATTTCAATACTTCTAAAAATGTGTCAAATGCAAATTTATACCTTAAAAAAAAACATAATAAAAAAAGCATGAAAATCAAATTCAATTATAAATATAGCATTATAGCATATAATGGTATTATATATATTTATATATAGCAGCAAAAACATATGATTCTTCTTAATTAATCATTAGAAAACTTCAAATATTATGAATAAATTATAAACATAATGTACAATATTTATCTTTGTTTTAATGTTAAGTTTTTATATTAAAAAATTATTTAAATTTTCATTTCTATAAATAAAATGATAAAAGCAGTCAAAGAATACAATTTACAACTCTTTGATATATAACTTAAAAAGTCATTTTTATGTTAATATGTATAGGTGTTGCTAACAAAATATGAAATATAAATATCTTAATTGTAAATTTTGTCTTGTTTAAAAAATTAATATTTGTAATATTTAATTTTAATCTCAAGTTATTTGTAGTCAATCCTTTTATCATGTTTAATATTAAAAATCTAAAACATAGAAACTGTTATTTGTAACTGTTTTAGATTTGTTATTTGTTTAAAAAAGTATTTGAAATATTATATATTTACGTAATTTTTGAAAATACCAAATACATTGAATATCACTTAAAGTTATACACTTTGGTATATACATACACATTTTTCTTGATAAAATATCCTTAGTAGGTGCTTATGATGAAAATAATTTGTAAATAAATAGTTGGGTTTATAATTATGTAACAGGTGTATAACGGAAGTTCGATTTATGGAAATCAAATTGAATATATTTAAAAATACCGTATTAAAATCGCTGGACCTTAAAAATTATACAGTTTAGTGAAACTATAATAATTTTGGAAATATCTGATTTTTTGTACTTAATGAATTTGTTCCCGATTAAAATAAATTCTATAATTACAAGAATCGATTTATTATTATCAAGACGAAAAGAAAGGAAAATGCAAGAATTACTTAACCACAATTTTAAACGCTATAGTTAAATTGCAGAAATTCTTAACAGAAATATAAATATGATACCATATATTATTAAATGAGTCATTTTTATAAATTAGTTAATATTTATGTATCTGCATCTGGTAAATTTATGATATAAAAAGATCAAGTAATGAAATTAATATTAAAAATGTTGGATTAACCATTAAGTTTGAAAAAGAATTTGAAAGACAATGTGTTTATTTTAAATAAAAACATATTAAAGAAAATATTAAAAATCGCAGTACAAACTGGGATAAATAACTTTAAATTCTTATTGAATTTAAACTAATAAATAAATTTCTAAGAGCAATAATAGAAGCGCTATCCCAGTTACTACACCGATGTAATCGTATAATGTATAAACCGATCGAAAAAAGAAATTAGATTACACAATATTAGAGATAAACAAAAGTTAATAAATGTAATGAATTAAAATGTCAATAAAATTTTTACTTACTTTTATTTATAACTACGTATCATTTCATATATATGATATTAATTAGCAATTCCTATACGATATTTTCTGATATACGTAATTTATTTTTACATATAGGATGTTTAAATTGTAATTATTATGTGTTAAATAAAAAATATTAATATACTTATGTACAAATTATTTTAACCTATATTACATAATAAAAGCGACGTAAATATCTGATAAATATTTAGGTGTATATTTTTAAGTGAAATTCTCTGTGTTCATATAATTCTATTAAAAACATGAAGAGTTTATATTACTAAAATATGAACTCTTTATTTTCGTTTCTATACTGGATAAGAAATAAAATGAAATCAAAGTCTTTCTTACTATCGTGAATGAATCAACTTTCTTCATATATTACACAATTGTTTGATATCAAGATAAAAGATTTATGATACAATTACTATATAACTTATAAAAAATGAATAAAATTGGTACAAACAAATGTATGCAATGATTCTTTTTATTTGAAGTTATTAATTACTTAATTAAAAAAAAAAATTAATATAATACAAGATATGAATATTTTATATCTGATTTGAATTGAATAAAATTTCGTCAGTTAAAAAATATATATACCAATACCACATGCTATAGTACGATATATACTAACATCAGCATGCAATTCATAGTTTATATGAATTGATTTCAAAGGAAATCTAATTCAAATATAATGCATACCTGATCACATATTCTTAGATTGGCATTCATTAAGAAAAAGATGTGATGAATCATCTCAAGATCCTGTATCTGTTTGCACTGAAATTTAATAACTAAAAAATTTTATGTGTTACTTTCTAGATGATCGATATATTTTGTCAATATTGTGCTTTTCAGCTTCTGTAAATCCTAAAATGCTTTCAATTGCATTCAGGTGTCCATGATGATTTTCTTTGTCCGTTAAGAAATAGTAAATCGCTGATTTTAGGAACTGCAATGTAATCTCTGGATCAAGGGCACCTTGATTATTTCGTGCTTCTATGATACGTCGATACATTGCCTGTTGAACAAATAATATTTGCTAATAATTTCATTAATAATTTTTTCTCTACAGATTAGCTTAAAGTGCTGTGTTTTAAATTTTACACATTCCTTGGTAGTGTAGTATACATATTAGATCAAGGTGTATATGGAAAAAAAACAATTATATTTATAAACATCAATAAATATTAATTATTAAATATTAGTGACATAAATTCATTTTACATGAAAAATTATATTAGTGCAAAATTATCTTGCTTCTGTTTCAGGATCTAATATGATTGTAATGATGTGATCTGTATGCAATGGTGCAAGCATGTGATGCTTAAGCACGTGCAAACTTACATCAATTGAAGGATAATAAGAGGCTGTTTCTTTCAAGTGCACAGAATAGTCTCTCCAAACCTAATAATACTGCATGATAACGGGAATTAACTACATTTGTGCTTAACAATTGGCATGCAATCGCTGTGGCGAAGCATTTTAATAAATACATTCTCCCATAAATATTTTCATAATATAATTTATACATAAAGACACGTGAAACCAATTCTTGCCACATTCATAGTTTGAAGTCTATAACAAACTTTTACTTTTAATTATTTTTAAAGTGATAGAATACCTTTCATATTTATTATTCGTTCTAAGTTTATATTTCTTATAATAAACTTTACTTTATAGAGATAAAGGAAAATTATCAAAGACTTGAATTTTAGAAAAACTAAGTGCAATCAAAGAATTGATGTAAAAATTAATTAAAAAATGATTAATATATTTTTAATACATATTTGATTGTTACATTAATTTATAAAAAAGCTTAATACGTTAACTAAAATTATTTATAACATATTTAAGTCTTTATTATGTGACCGACATACTATTACTATACAACTATTTTGTATACACTACTTCTTTAAAAAACATAAAAAAGTACGCGTTTCATACAAACTATTTATACTATGCTTACACATTTATTTTATACTTATTTTCATGCTTGGAAAATAAAATATATATACAGCTTATAAATCTTTCTCAATATATAATGAAATAAATAATTATTTATGGAAATTAATTAAAATATATTATATACAAATATTAAGGAAATCTTCTTGTATATGTTAATAATAGTACTCATTATTATTAAAAAAGATAATATTACTCATTCAGAAACACTAACAATAATGTTACAACAAAATATAAAATAAGAACAGATAAATAATAGCAAGATTTATTTAAATAACGAAATTGGCAACATTAGCAATTATGCATATTTTTATTCTTTGCTAAAGGGAAAGATGCAAATATTCTGTCAACATAATTCTTGAAATTATAAAAATCCACTATTTCGCAAAACAACCTTAAAAAGGCAGAAATAAAAAAGAAAGAAGGGTTTGTTTGTGCATTTGTATGTGAACAAATACAACATTTAATGCTTAAGAAACAGTGGATGAGAATTGCATCACGTGGCGATTCAGCAGAAATACAGACCTTACGTGTGCCAAGGACCCAGAGAGAAACAGCCTCCTGAGCACTTAATAAACATGGGCTACGATCGGCTGAAATGTGAGGTTCAGGCGAGTAGCTTGTGTCCTGGAGTGTGAGCGGCGACCAAAAAAAGTGGCACATCATTAGTACAAGAGATTTGTGAACAACAAAGATGCACAGAAAGTGATGCACGAACAACAGTGATTCCTAAATTGTATCTTTTTTACTTTGATATATTTGTTCTTTTTTTAAATTATTATGATTTTATGAATAGTAAAAGAACCAAACCAAAATTGCGAAGAAACTACTAAAAATACAAAATATTAAATGGTACTTATATATAGTTTTAAATTACTATTATACTACAAGCTATAAAAGATTTTGTTAGCACTTTAAAATATTTTTAGAATTTTATTTGGAAGCAGTACTACAATTATTTACCTATACTACACAGTTTAAAAAAAAAGAAAAAAAAAGAATTGCTGCATACAACTGAATAGCAATGAGAGTATATAGAAAGAAAAAGAAGAAAATTGGGAAAAAATGTGACAAGTAGTTAATATCTACAAACAATATATAAATGACTTTTAGTTTAATAAAACATATCAAATGTTTTATTATATAATCTATCATAATCTATCAACATATCAAAAAATTTTATATTTAAAACAAAAGTTATCTCTTGTATTGTAAATAGTACTTATCTAATACTCTGTATTGTTATAAATAACAGAATACATTGTTTATTACTAATATATCTTAGTATTATTATACAAATTGTAATAAAGTTTAGTATGTTATATTTTAAAATTTAGTATGTTACATTAAAATGAGGTTCATGCTATTTGATATATTTATAAAAATAATGCTTTAATTATAAATGATACCAGGCATAAAGAATTTGATTTCTTTTTTCCAATGTGCACTGTGTATAATATTACTATCATAATATTAACAATGTATAAAGATAAATATAATAACTAAAATAAATATAATTACCTTGATATTTTCTAATTCTGCTTGTGTAATTGTTAATTGTTGAAGTAGCTCTGCAACAGTAACCTTTGGTGTTGTTTGATGTGCATATTCAGATATCTGTAATAGTAAATATAAAAATATAGAAATGTTAATTTTAAATTTTATTTATATATCTCGAAAGTATTAAAAATTTGCATAATTGTATATATAAATTAAGAACACGATTGAAATATTAAACTAAAAAGGCAGTAGACTGTTTAGGAACTTTTGCTACTTTTCTAAGAAGAAACATAATTTAATATATTGGAAATCTATTTACAAATAATATAGAAAAAAAAATGTAAGATGTTCATACATTAAAAATAATGATCCTACACAACATACCTGATCAGAGTGTTCTAGACGTGCTGCTTCCTGACCTTTGGCATACATTCTCAGGTACATTTGTTTATTTCTCTCTTCTTGATCATTTAACAAAGTCTTTTGTTCAGTAAGTTCCGCTTTCACAGATTCTAATTCTGCTTCTAATTCACGAGCTCGAGCTTCTGCAGCATCAACAGAAGGCCGTACTTCACAGTAACGTGTATTTACTTCAGATAATTGATTCAGTAAACTTTCCACCTGTAATTTAAAACAATTCATCATATGAAGTGTTTAAGAAGTATCTTAATGTATTTTATATATCTATATAAAAGAGTTTTTATTTATTACTTTTTTTATTATCTTCTTCTGTTTTTTGTAATTCAATTTTATTTATTTTAGAACAAAGGTAAATACAATAACAAACTCACAGAGTCGAAATTTTAAAATTGACTTTCTTTTTTAAAAAGTATTTATTTCACAAATACTTCATGCAAATATGAAGTTATTTTTGTTATTATATATTTCAATAATTATTGAGTGCTCGTATAAATCAAATATTTCCAAAACATCTAACTACAAACGTTTACCAATGTTAACATATGATATGTTACGTATATTTCGTATAAAATATACCTTATCATTGTGTTTCTGCTTCAGTTCCTGAAGTTCGTCAACATGTCTACGATGCATTTCCTCGATTCTACTTTCATAAAGATTCACCAACTTGCGTCTCTCTTCATCTCTTTCTGGTGTTTCTGTAGTCGACCTTACGAATGTATCGGAAGTATTGTCTTCGGGAACTTTAATAGGTGTTGTAGAAATATGAGTACTTTCTGCTTGCACCTCTGGTATATATACAGAATCTTTCGAATGGACGGATCCGTCTTCAAAGTGACCCGAGTCCGCAAGAGAAGAAGGTAAATTAGAGGGGGCACGTTTTTCCGGAGTGTCCGGGCTTGCGATTTTCTGTAATACACTCTCGTCTGGTAAATCTTTGCTTGGGGATTCTGGTGAAAAGGGATTATTTTCTCGTACGGTGAGAGCATCGCTACTATCTGTCCTTTCATCTGGACTATTCAGAGAAGCTTTATATAATCTTAGTTCCACTACTTCTTTCGTTAGTCGAAAAATTTCCTGATCCTTTTCTTCGATTTCCTTTCGTGCTTCTTTCAACAAAGTCTAAACAATAACATGATATTGTTAATAATGTACATATATTTTCTATTACTAAAATACTATGCAAAATAGATATTTTTTTTCTTTATTATGATGATAAGGAACTGCAGAAAGATACTTTTTATCAATATGACAAAACGATAAAAGACACGAAGTAAAATTTTTTTACTAGTATGATAAATTCTACACGTTTTTATTTATTTACTTCTCAATAAAATATTAGATACGAATATACTGTCGGAGAAAAATATTTTGTCTCACCTGAAACTTTCTAATTTGCCTAGCTGCTCTTTGGGTAGGAGTAAGATACTGTTCATTATCACTGGTATGGTTAGAACAATGGACAACATATTTCCGAGATCTGCCAGACCACGTGGTACCGTTGAGAGCAAACGTAGCATGGTCGCAGGCGCTTGCGGTACTGCAGGCACTTCCATAACTTTTTACACTTTCCGCGTCGCTGTCATCGGCAATTCCAGTGCTTGATCCTCCGGAGGCCGCGAGTCCAGGCCGCGGCCTCACCGGGGTCAATGAAAGGCTCTATAAAATAGAAAAAAGATGATGTCGGTTTTTCGTAATTAAATATTTTTTCAGAATTATGATTTAATTAATTCGATCACTTTTTAACTGATTTCATTATTACTCGTTAGAGATTAATTGAAGGCGTAAACATACATTGAATGAATGCTCAATAACGTTACGCGGAAGTTATACTTTATTCATGCAATTCAGGTTAAATCACTCGCCTAAAATATAGTAAATAATTTTGGTATAAGTGATAAGTAATAAACAGTTTGGAATTATTATTTTTTTTTTTTAGATTTATGACTTACAAAATTATACACATCTTTCACAGATATGGCCTATATCATTATAACGGTATTTTTGCGTTTTTATAATTTACTGTGTATAATTTCATGAATTAGGTTTTAATTGTCTACTACTTCTGGAATATATTATTTTTCGTAATTAAAATTGTATTTTTTTTTTGTTATCGTATTGTATTAAATTGACTAAAGAGTAATGTTGATACTTTTAAAATAAACTAGTAGTTATTTACTTTAAAATAAAAAAAAGTTTTATTGAATTTTGATCTATCACTATTTACTCCTAATGGTAGTTGCGTAATTTTAATTAATGCGTTGTTATAGTTAATGCGTTAAGATTTCGCTTTGTATTGAAAACTAAGAGAGCACTACCTACTGTAAAAATCCGGTACTACTTATTGGCTAATCTAATATAAAAAAAGGATATAAAAATTGGCTTAACTATAAATTATTTTAGTGGTCACCAAGGTCTTCTATTTTATGCTAAATATTTTTTATCAACATCAATTAATTTATAAGAATTATCAGAAATTCCATATTTATTACACTATACAGAGTAATTCAAGATGTATATTTTTTTCCTTTTCTTTCTTTGATCTCATAAAAGACAAATTGGAATAATGATTTATTCCCTTTGTTACTCACACATTACATTTTGAAAATTTTTACAATTTAGATATAATGATCATTACCTTTAAAAAATAGAATATATCGATAGAGTTATATTTTAAAAATAAAGAAATAAGAAAAATTATTAAACTCTTGCAATGAGTAAAATACTATTAAGATATAGTATACTTAAAGTTGATACTTACTAAGATATTTGAAATCAGATTTCCCAAAGATAATATTCAAAATATTACACATATTAGAATTGATATAAGCGTCCAACTATTTTGTCTAAAATAAATATTCATTTTGCAAAATAATTTAGAAAATTTCACCCCATTTTCATGTAATATGTCATTACATATTTTCACTTTTTCATTTTTCATTTTTATTACTTTGTTGATTCGTGACAAATGTCTCAATATTTTTATAAAATGTAATTCAACGTTGCGAGATGAATTATCTTGCATGATAGTGAAATAAAATAATATTCCAAACTTTCATAAAGCTGTTATAAATAATGTAATATATTAAGAAATCAAGTGTTTAAATGAAAAATTTATCGAGTACAGAATTGTTAATAAATATCGAACACAAATGAAAAGAATGGACACCATAATTGGATTAATATATTACGTCAAAGTCACAAATACATAATAATAATTAGTACAGAAGAATTAGTAAATAGCGTTAACGAGATAATTAATATTTCGGGTAGTTAACAGATAGATGAAAAATGATTTTTCCCACGTACAATTTCTATTTTGAAGAATCCCTAATTTGTGAGATTTTTATTTAAATACCACCTCTGTCCACCGCAATCACGTTACTGTTAAAGATTATAGATAAAATATTCACATCATAGTGTCACTACAATCAATAAATATTTTCAAGTATACATTAAGATTGCATTCAAAGGATTAAACATAAAGTACATTCTATCACTTGTATACCTGTTTGACCTAAGGGTAATTTACCTTAGGCTTAAGGAGAAGCTTTCTTGCTCCCTGACTAGGAAGTCTGGTTTGAAAGTAAGACAAAATCAAAGACCCCATTGAGCAGAAAGATATGAAACTCTTCTTTAAAGGCGAGAAGCTTGTCGAATCTGCACGAGAACAGTTTTCAAATAAACGTGAAAATATCTTGTAAATTACATATTTTTGTAAATCAATATTTCACTTGTAAAAATTTTCAAGATAGAGTTACTTTTTCAAAAATAATACCCATTTTATTAATCTTTATACACAAAGATCATTCGTTATTTTTTTATAAAAACTAAACGATTTGAGAACACAAAAAGATTTTGTCCCCGATACCTTTTCAAAATTAATAAAAAAAAAAAAAAAAAGGGAGAAATATTTTATTCCATAACGTTGCGTAATGATGCTTCGTTATTCCAGCTCACACGTAATGAAACGAAAATAGGATTAATATTTACGGTTGGTAAAAATTACACGAATATACGAATATCTAATTATGAGAATAAGATATTCTTAATAGAATTAATATTAATGCAGATATCGACGTCGTTTTTGTTGAACACATAAACTTACTTGGAGCTTATTAAATTATTGTTTAGAATGTATTTAAAATATGAACATACAATCACAGAATTGATAATTTAATAAATTATAAAAATTATACAAATGCAAATTGTACCAATATATATTTTATAAATATTAAGACAATATTAATTTTTTTCTACATTATAATTTATCAATGATGAATAAATTCCCATATTTCAATTGAACATATTTTTAATAGATTTATTGTTTAACATTTCAGCAATAACTATACGATAATTATATAATAATTGCTACGGAATTATTTCACTTTAAATGTATATGCCTGCTGATTCATGATTGATACGTTTATAATTAATTTGTTTTCTAAATTTCATGCAACCATTTAATGAACCATTTAGAAAAGTCTGTTGAAATTGTTATAAATTATTGAAGATTTAAACAAGATAAAAAAATATAAATCCAACTATAATTTATTAAGATAAACTGTAATATTGGTGAATTTAAGATAGCTTACAAAACAAAGCTCAGAAATTTTTTATAACAAAGTTAAACCATAAAATGTTTCATTATAATTCTGTATTATAGCATATTATATAATACATAATTATAATATATAATATGCAATATATATTATATTAAATTTTGTATGATACACATTCATAAATCCAACTATAATTTATTAAGATAAACTGTAATATTGGTGAATTTAAGATAGCTTACAAAACAAAGCTCAGAAATTTTTTATAACAAAGTTAAACCATAAAATGTTTCATTATAATTCTGTATTATAGCATATTATATAATACATAATTATAATATATAATATGCAATATATATTATATCAAATTTTGTATGATACACATTCCAAGTCAGTTTTAATATATATATATATATACACACAAAATATTATATACATATTAAATGGAATCTATCAATATATAATATTAATATATAGAACTTAAAAAACATTTAAATTGTAAACTACAAAATGCTCGTAATGAAACATAAAAAGTGTTCAAAATATTTATAGTATATGAAACTACCACAACAATATGAGCAATTCAATTGTTAAACTGATTAACTTCAGAAAACAAAACATATAGGTTTACTTTTAACACGAAAAGCTAAGCATCGCTCGAAGTTTTATTCAACATTAAAATTAAAAAATGAAAAAATTAGAATTAATCACTTCAACCTGTAAATGGCTCACATATACTACCAGTAAAGACCTTTGATACCTCAACGCATATCTAGTATAATTCATACGAGTCTTTGTTTTGCTTTATCGTTGATCAAATTTCGTCCCAATAAATGACAATGCATCACAAATATCAGATATGCGCAGAACATCGGATCAGCCGTTAAAATTGACACTCACCGCTGGACAACTGCGAGAATTTTTATTGCATTGCAGATCCATGCGTGAATAATCGGACAAAGGTGGGAATCGTTTTTGAGCCCAATGCAAAAATAGATATAGGAACCTTACTTGATTATTCCCTGCTATTCTTACGTCCGAGAAAACGTAACCTGATCCGACGATACGTCCATTGGGATTAAACCGTCGATAAATACTGAGCACGATCGTTTTTCTTGCAGTGTTACGATCTAGGAGCAACGAAGAGGTTACGTCTGCGCCGACGCACTGAGTGCGAGAAGGTCAGAGAGTGCCGCCATATTTCGCAGCCTATCTTGAACCCACTTGAATCCAGATACAGTTAATAATTCAAATTTTGTCTAGCTAAGCACCAGACTTCTTTTCATGCCTGCACGCATCCCTCTTGCTTTTGTGTTTGACGTTTCTGACGCTTCGAAGGAAAATGGCGCATATGTACATATGTTTCACGTTTCGATGATCTTTTTATTTATGACTTATCGGAGAAAGAATAAGTGAAGTGCTGTTTATTTAATAATAATCCAACTTTTCAATTTCAATGATTGCACTGCAGGTACTTTATGAAAGGTAATATCGCAGAGGAGCAGCTTTGGCAAACTGCCTATATATTTACCACAGCATTTGATTCGAATTTTATGACATAAAGTTTATTGGGAAAAGATTTGTTTCCTTCCTTTGATGTTTTACGTTATCTGAATTATTCAAAAGATAATATGTTAATTGGATAAAACATTATACAATGCACGCTTAAAGCCTATTAGGGAATATGAAGTTTGTAGTATAGTATTCAACTTGAGACTAAAGCAAGACTTCTATGCGTATGTGCCGAGGCTATGTTTTTACGAATCTTTTATGTTAAAGTTATCGTAGTTTAGTCGTTAGTACGTTATTATTTAATTTTAGTATTTTTCGTGAACATTTATTTTTAAGCGTATTTGTTGTATCGCACTGAAATAAATACTTTTTGTAATGCATATCACGATTTCGTAAAATGAAAAGAAAACTTATTAATCAATATGAATTATTGAGATAAATATAAAATATTCACGAATCTTAAAAAAATAAATAAAATTCCACCTGTTAAAAAAACAGAATGTTGCATTTTCACTTTTGTAATATCTTCTACGTTACATTTGCATCTATTCCATATCTATCACGTCTACATGCAGCGAATAAAAGTATTATAACAACCATAAATAACCATAAATTTAATAAATGTTGTCCAAGCATATTCGTTTTATATTTCAGTCGTTATTCCTCTTTATCAGTGTTACGAATAATAAAATGATATTTTATTGCCATTATTACCTGAAACGATAAATTTTCACCACTGTTGTATCACTGACTGTCTATCAATTCCCTGACATTATCTTAAAAAGAATTTGTTTCATACCTTCCTCAAAGACATACCTATACATATCTCTGCGTCACTTTCTTATCACCACTTTTACTTGTAATACCTTTTGCGTTATATTACAGATCGTATAAGGACAGAGTGCAGCCCGAATAGAGTCAATAAGGTGCGATTGTCAGCACGCATCTGCGATCTGCATCGAACGAAGGATACGGCGTAATATTGCGGAAGGACGTAAGGAAGCCCTTTCAAACATCTTTCACAAGGTAGAATGTAAATAAGACACGATACCATGGAACACGCGAAGATTAATACTCACGAGAGATCGTTGTCGGGGTGATTCGGTTCCATTCTCCGTGATGACTGGAAAAGTGCGATAGTCCAGGTGATGGTGTTGCTGGTGGTGCAGGAAGTTGGAGCGACGATACTGCTGATAGGATCTGCTCAGAGCCGCGTTGACCGCGGTACTGGGTGGTGGTGGTGGGTGATTTGGTGAAACTCGTTCACCGCGCATGCGCATACTAGCCGAACGACGCAGACCTGTAGGCGAGGGACGTGGAATACGCGAATCCCATGAAGAGGATACCGAGGGTGACGAAACGGTACCCGGTGCACTTCCTGTCGTGTAAACCACGTTGTTATCGGCATTGACCTTGATCGTGGTGTTATTGTCAGTACATGTTGCTGGCTCTGACGGTGCCAATTCTGTCGAGGGTGGTTCGTTGGTGTTGTTTACGCAAGCCGAGGAACCTGGGTGCATCGATTGCGGGGAATGCAAGGACCTTTCGCTACCGTGACGAGCCATCCTATGGGTCCAGCTTATCTCATCGCCTCATGCAATTCCTAAGACAGAAAATCAAATTTCGTCCAGTTCTATTCGGTGAAAAATAGTATTTTGTATCACTGTCGGTAAAGTTGAAGAGATTTGCTATATGGTATTCGAGGTATGCTATATTCGAAGTATGCTATATGATATTTGTTTTGTCGACGTTACAAATTATGTTACTTCGTAATAATGATTTAGAAAATTTGACTTGGCTATTTTTAAATTAAAGGTGAACTATTAAATATGATGCGAGTTAATGAATTATGCTGTCAAGATTGTCAGCAGATTATTGGATGATCAAGATAACGATTTTTGATAGCCGTTTAATAATGAAAGCAAATGTATTATGTAAAATATCTAACTTTTTCAAGATGGAGTTGATTTCAATAAAATTTTCAGAGGAAAACCTTAGTATTAAGTTCGATTAAATTACATTGAGACAGTTTCAAAGATAACACCGAAGTAAAACATTTCCACCAACATTGTATTTAATATATCAAAACGTAACAAATTATACGAAATTTTGTATTAATTTACAATTATCATACTATATATACAGGGTGAGTATTTTATCTAGACTTTCTGGAATATTTCAAAAGGAACCGAAGTTATTAGAAAAGTGTTCTAACAAGAATTATTTGGTCTAAAGTGGGACATAATATGCAAATATGATACCGGCGATATCAGATTAATTATTTTAAATAGAATGCTATATTTTTTTATTCACAACTTAATAGTGCTTATTAAGACAAATCCAACGAAATGTTATTATAAGCATTTTGTGTTGTCGGAATTGATAAAACAGTGACAAACCGTGTAAAGCGACATCGTTGAATACGGAATTTTTAATTAAAATATTAAAAACGATCATTTAAACCATGGTAGGTTTAGTATTAAAATCGGGAATCACCAGTGATCGTTTCCAAACATGGCACACGATAGTGCTGCCACGTGACTACTACTAACTGCGGTAAGCAATGCTAGAATTAATTAAAGTATTTAAATTAGGTGAATTATCTAGTTGTTAAAATGTAGACAATACTACGATGCTGTGAATAAATTATACACAATTCGCAAGATAGCTAATGTGTTAAAACTGAAAGTGAAATAAGGAATAGAAATTGAAAAATTTTATTCCATATCTTCTTCCTTCAGAATAATAGGTAATTCTAAAAGTTACTTTCACAAAATGAAATAAAATAAATAGCAACATTTTCATTATTTTAGCAACATTGAAAAATAATATGAAACATTATTTTTTCTTCATTATAAATGTACCTTGATAAATATTAATAAATTCATTTGCATTATGGAAATATATTCTGGGAGAAACATATTTCATTTACATCTTCTAGAGTGTAAAATTACCCTTGTTAAATCATTTTATTAAACCATATAAATCAACATTTTTAGTTATAAAATAAACTTTTTGTTAATTTCTTTTTATTTCAGTTAACATACTGTTTTTAATTAAAAAATATATTACAATCTTTTTATTTAAGTGTATATGCAATATATTACGATCTCCTTATTTATTTATCATTAAACTACGCAGTTAAACAGCAGATTACTTAAAATATTTCATATAAGAATAAGAAAATTAAAATTAAACTGAATATATTACAAAAGTAATTCACCAAGCCATCTAGAGGATTAAAATAACTAGATTATTTTCAATTTGAAAATATAAGATCTTAGTATATATATATATTAGTAGCGTATATATATTTTGTTTGCTTCTAGAACAAACCTACTGTATACGATTATTAAACATGCCAGTAAAAACTTGTAAAACAGGAATAAAAATTAGTAGAATAAGGAAAATAAAATGTAAAATATTAATTTTTCCTTATTATCATACAGAAAGTACTCGTCACAACTTTCTCAATTTTATAATATTTTACCCAGAATGAATGCAGTTTCAATTACGAAGGAACCTATGATACATGGCTAAGGTAGATGCTCTACCATATATAATTTACTTTTAAGTTCATTTTAAATTTCCGAGGTAATGCGAATTAATTTGAATGCTTAAGTTAAGTTTCAAAGTACCATATAAAAGGATTATTACAGTCCAACTCAAGGAAAAGAATTATTTCATTTAAAAACAGATATATGATAATAAAGAATTATGATAAACGAGAGAATATTATAATAGAAGAAATAACCATTTTTCAGAATATTATTATTATTATGTTTACGCACAATATTTAATAACATACGCTAAATTCTATATAATATGATTACTTTGTTATTACATTGTCGTGTTTCAGATTTTAAGATGAGGCTATTTAACTGTACAGCAGAATTTATCCCGTTTGTTAAACGGGATCATACATGATTATAATAGGAGCACTAATGTACAGTTTGTGAACATTTCAAGATCTCCATTTAAAAGCCGGAAATTCACTAGAATTTTACAGTGCATCCAGTTGCAGTATTTGCAGAGAACGAGTCAGCGATGCGAAAATATTCATTAAAAGTAGAAACTAACGGCAATGCTTGTGCAGACTATAGCATTGTTCACCTATGCAGTTTATAAGTTTGAGTTAAATATTGTACCACAAATTTGTATGAAAAGAAAGCTTTTGATATTTCTATTTCAATGCGAATAGAATTAATTTGTTTTATTTTCACACAACAATAGAAATAGAAGTAAGCAGGAAAAGAAAAACGAATATAAAAGAAACCTAAGTATACTATATAGCTTTGTAAAATCAATATAACCTCAAATTCGTACAGCACCAAATGGAAATGTTAAATAGGAAAGAAAATTCCTAGAAACAAAATTCTATTGCTATTTTAAATATTTAAATTTGTTAAATTTATTTTAAAATATAAATTCCAATATTTATGAATTAATTTAATTGACAATAATCTTTTAACATAAACATAACTTATCTAAATAAAATAAAATATATATGTACATTAATATTAATATTAATTATATCACTAATTTGTATTGGTAGTTTCATATATGTATAACATATAAATTTGCTTCTATTTTAGCTATCACTGAGAGTTCAATATAAATTATAATTGCACACCAACTTTTTATAAAAAAATGTTTTGAAATTATATATTTCGCGTTATAATAATCCATCAGACAACTATTGTAATGTAAAACAATATTTTATATTTTTTAAATAATAGTTAACAAAAGCTGCCATTTCTTAAACAGTGGTGGATCCTCTGAGCTATTGCCCTCTTTACAAAAGAATAATTAAAAAAATAATTAATATTTTATATATTTTATTTAATCATGTACAGTAATTATTCTGAGTTTTTATATAGTATAAATAATTAATTATTGATTATTATTTAAAAATTATTATGTACAAAACCTCCTGGATCTGTCCCTGGTTTTTAAATAAGAAGTTTTCTACGAAAAACTTTCTCGTAAATTCTAAATCTACCAAGCATATCACGCAGAAAATGGTTCACTTGAAGAGTACCGACCTTGTAGCACAAAAGACTTATTGCATTTCATTATTCGTTTTAATAGAACTACTTATTTCCTTCCGTAACAAATTCGTCCTCACATATATTGGCTCCATACAAACTTACAATGTTCACCAGAACTAAAATGAGTACAACTTTGACAATTTGTACATATATATCATATTATATGTGCATGTACGTTAAAAAATTATTGAAGTAATTGGTTTCACTTTTATTCTTTATTAATAACAATTTATCTTATTTTATTTTATCTTATTTTATTTTAGTACTTTTATATTTTTAGATAAAAAATATAAAAAATTAAAATATTAGAAACTTTTGAGAAAATGATTTAATTTCGAAACAGCGTAAGTAATTTATTTTCGATATTTTAGTATTTACTGAGATCGTATGGAACTTTCTTTTCCACATGACTGCATTCGAGATATTTTCTGTATTAAAGATATATAAAATAAATACACAAACTAAATTTTCTATTTTCGTACTTAGAAATTTTTATATACATTATTTTTAAAATTACTTAAAATATGCAATTGTTCTTGGAAAAATTAGTATTAACATCCATTTAGATAGAAACGTAATTATGCATACCTACTTATTTTTACCATACTCCTTTAATTAGTATTATCTATGCATGTTATGTTGAAGTCAGTTCTAATGTTAAAATAATTTCTAATATATTCAAAGATATGTTAATGTAACAGAGATACATAACTAAGAATTAGTTTCCTTTCCCATTTATTAATTTCACCAATGATTCTACATATTCGAAATACTAAAAAAAAAAAATTATGAACTCAAAATAGGTTACTTGTCAAGTACTTTGAGTATATTATGCTTCCCAAATATTTTCATAATGCATTTTCACGTTCATAAAAAATTATGAGAAAGTACGTAAAAAAGTAAAATATAAAGTGTATTTTAAAATAAAAGAATATACCAATTTGACCTTCAAAATATATACAATTTATGTCACGATCTATAAACGTAGAATGAAATTCCTTGTAGCCGAATTAATGAGGGGATATGATCGCTCAGATAAGCGAATTTACGGCTAGAAAAGAATGGAACACTTATCTGTTCATGTGCTGTTTACCTTATAATGCTGCAAAAATAATATCCCTGCCAACGGCGAAGAATAAAAAATATAATCTTTTTAATTACTACAATCACTTTTGATTATTATCCTATACCTTTCCTGCTACTGCATCGAACAATTTTTTCAATATATTAAATTGTATTAATTATGTCCTAGTTAAACGACCATATTCTAACCTTAAAATCATTGCGAAGTGACAACGCCTCAATGTTGTATGTTTCTCCGACTATTGCGTTACTTTTACCATTTTTTCATTTTTATTCAGCTTTTAATGTAATTCGTTCTCTCTTTAATGCATTACACACGAGATTTTATAATCATGGGTTATATAAATAGTAGATGATATTCAATTTTCACAATTTTTGAAATAATTTAAAATGTTTTATACAACATATTATGTAAATGTATTAAGTTTGAATAAGTCAAATGTAATTGGACGGAGATGTTAATAGTTACTAAAGAAAAAAAAAAGAAAACTTTCAATCTACTATAAAAGTTGTAAAATAGTTTCACTATTATGAATATATTTATATAACATTCTGTATTTAGAATTATAAATCGAATGAAAATAAAAACATGAAATTGATAACTTATTTATTCAATAATAAGTTTACTGTAAAGTACATACTAAGTTATCAAAAAAATTGTAGATAGTATGTTAGCATAATTCTCTATTTAAATAAAAAGATAGCTGTATTAATTATTTACAGTCTTAGATAGAAATGTCTATTAATACCTATTATAGAAAATACGATTATTTCTTGTTTACTAATCTTCAGAGGTGAGTGACATGCCCAATATGAATGTTGCGCGCGCATCGTATTCGCGCAAAATTCAAAATGAAAAATCCTATATACTCTTTAAATAATTATTGTTTAGAATAAGTACACAATATAAGTTCTTATAGCATAGATACGAATATGCAGATAAAAACTAGCACTACAAATTAAGTTAAATATTAAATCATATACATTACTTATAAAAAAATTGAATGATATAAAATGTCTAGGTTTATTTTAAATCACATTATAATTGTGCATTAAGTTAGAAGAGGAATTATTCGAGTTTTTATTCAAATTATGTTACTATTGATAATTATTCAAATTATACTAATCAATTTCACTTGAACTTTATCTACAAAGAAAAATATTTTACAATTTGCGTTTTTGTGATGTTATTCGATTAGATTTACTGAAGGAAATGTCTGCTTTGTCTTAAATAACGCATTCAAGCATCGTAACGGAGACAAAGGTTATTAGGTTTGTGTTTAAGTGGTCAACGGATTTAAATTGTCATTGTTATTTCAAACATTGACTATTTCGAATAAAAGCATTCATTATCGCCAACGACGTCAACAACATGACGTTCTTAAATTACATAAAAGTCTTATTTTTAACTATATCAAACGAAACTAAGGTTAAACGATTCGACGTATACTTTTCGTTCATTATAAATTCATTATATTAATTATATTAAGTTCATTATAAATGAATGAAGATATGTACAAAGTGCTAAGGAAACATAATCATTAGTGTATTTACTATTTCCACAAATATTTACTACTTTTTATGAAAGGAATTGCTTTCTAAAACGAAAAAAATATTTCCAATTTCCTCTTATCAAAAATACTTTGCTTCGTTAAACAAAAAGAAAAAGAAAATTACATGATAAAATTTTAAAATTAGGTACAAAATCCATATAGTTTATAAGAATATCGTTACAGATCTTTCATTATTGATGTGTAAATAAACGCCGCGTTATCAACAGTCTTTTAAAAAATATTTGATCATATTAATCTTTCCATGGCCGGCAATTTATGCTTATCATTTTTTGTAATATGCTCTTTAGGTTCTTATCGCGTACCTGTAAGATTAATACAACTTCAGTGAAAGGCAAAGTAACTTTTTCATAAATATTTTTACACAATACCGCCACATGTCGATTACGAAAGTCCGAGGAATGCGGAATTCAATCATTTCATGATGGCGCACTCATTCGCAAAATTCTGTCGCACAGTTAATATTTTCTAAGGTGTAACTGAAATTCGTGTGGTTCGTGTCATCGTATTGCACTCGACCAACACGAATTAGAGCAGGGAAAGGCCTATTGGAATAAAGTAATCGATCATTTGGTGTCCTATTTCAAGAACATGCTGCGGCATTATGCAGCGTCCACACCATCCTTGAAATTGTTAAAACAATATTGTTCCCTAGCATTTACCTTTTACTTCAATTAAAAGACGGATACACGCGTTGATAGAGCCAAGTGTTCTAAATTTGTATGTGCAATCGCTGTCACTTTTCGAGTAATAAGTTTTGCAATTGCTATTTTCGCTAAAAAAGTTCACGTTATATCCCTAGTAACTATTACATAACCTTCCATTCGTCCTAGTAAGTGCTTATGAAACATAAAAGGAAAAAAATTAGAAATTAAATTAACGTACGCATGACTGATTCGGATTAAGCAATTTACGTAAATAAAGTTTGCGTACATCGAACCAGCTGCCGATTTTGTTAGTTTCTTACAACGTGTCGTGTGAACAGGAAGTAATTAACAATTAGAAAGTAGTAATTAAATCAGCAAAGGAAGTATATCTTACCTTTGAAACATGAATTTGAAACTATAACAGATTCCTCCTTTTGTAGAAATTTTCAGAAGTTTCTAACATTTATTGTGTACACGTACGTATGGTTACTACGATTACGGACTTACAAATGAAAATAAAATAAGAAAGGTTAGAAACAAGGAACATTTGGTTTCACTATTAATTCGTGCCACGCGGGCTTATCGCGTGTAGAAGTTGAACATAGCTGCGAGTACTAATCCAACGATCTGTTATACAACGTAAATTATAAGAATATATTCATGGTAAACGAACCAACATCTACGAATCTTGTAAGGAATATTCAACGACTGAAGCACCGCACACTGATTCCATTGTGATATTTACAACACTTCTCAAACGAGTTTGAAAAACATGCCCACTACCCGAACATCAGTCACTCACGATCCCAACGCGACTCAAGCAAGCAGTGTTACATTAGAACGATAGGGAATCACGAGATGTCGTATCGAAGCACCGATCATTGACAATGTCGTAATTTTGGTGTATAAGCGCCATCTAGCAAGATTTTATATGCATTAACGATTAATTAGTTGTAGGTAAATCACTTCGTCTTAAAATAATTTTATCGCTTTTACTTTATTAAATTTTATTGTTCCACTTCTGAATGTATATACACTGTTTAATTTGTTTAATTTCTTTTTTTAATGTGAAACAATATAAAAATCTATATTGATGTATTGTTTATTTTCTTACAAAGAATTTTATAAGATCATTTGAATTAAAATTATTGTTTTTTTGTTTATATTAATTATATTAGCGGGATATAATATTTATTTTTTGTCCATTTTTCAATTCTTCCTGAAAATATACAGATAAGGTATACAATTCATATTTTGTCGGTGCTTATACTGCAAAATATCTTCTTTATCGACATATGATCATTTTGTAACTATACTACCATCAAATATTAAATAATTTTATTAAAGGAATATTAATTTAATTATACTTCCTTATTGATGTTCCTATATATAATAAACTATTTGAAAATATTTTGTTATACAATATTACTATAATTTTTAATCATTTAAAATATAATTTGTTGTAAAAGATTTTTTCTACAATTTATTAAGCAAGAAAATTATTATTTAATATCATAAAAATAATTTTGCAAACATTATAAGAAATGAGCGATAAATTCTGTATTTTATGAATTAAAAAATTCGATATTTTGTAATAATTTTTGACTATTGACCAGGATTTGTGTTTTTTACATATTTTTACTAGTATTACGTTTAAAATAATTACTGTATGAAATCGTAAGAAACTTCTTTGAAATAACATAATAAAATATATCACATATTTAATCTCTAACACATGTAATATTTTTATGAAATATACAAATTTTTAATCATTTCAATACTTAATTGAGAAAGTATTTAATAATGCTCAAGTGATTTTATCGTATATATTATTATATATTATTATATATAATAATATATAATGTTAGTTAATTATTTTATTTTCAAGGAAATACAATTTTATTTTTCGACGATTCTTTTATATATATTAATTAGGTAATTTTCACTGTTCGATTAATTAACGACAATTATAAGATTTAGGCTGTACAATTATAAGATATAGGCAATACACACCGTTGTTTTGATTTATCAAATAGTAATTTAGTTGGGCATGAAAGGACATATTGGATATAATCGTTGCCATTCTGGGAACAAAAATAATATTTTTTGCAATTGGAACCTAGGATTGGAAATCTTCCATTTGCAACACATGGAGGTACTGTTGTCGATGGTATTTGCGTCGAACTTGATATTGTACTTGGTACTGAACTTGGTGTTGAACTTGATGCTGGACTTGATGATGAACTTGGTGTTGAACTTGATGCTGGACTTGATGATGAACTTGATGCTGAGCTAGGTGCTAAACTTGGTGTTGAACTTGATGCTGGGCTTGATGATGAAGTTGGTGTTGAACTTGATGCTGAACTAGGTGCTGAACTTGGTGTAGAACTTGATGCTGGACCTGATGATGAACTTGAAGCTGGACTCGATGTTGAACTTAGTGTTGAACTTGATGCTGAACTAGGTGCTGAACTTGGTGTTGAACTTGATGCTGGACTTGATGATGAACTTAGTGTTGAACTTGATGCTGAACTAGGTGCTGAACTTGGTGTTGAACTTGATGCTGAACTAGGTGCTGAACTTGGTGTTGAACTTGATGCTGAACTAGGTGCTGAACTTGGTGTTGAACTTGATGCTGAACTAGGTGCTGAACTTGGTGTTGAACTTCCTGCAGGTGTAGTTTGTTTACAGTCGTAGTTCGAGGATGACGTGCAGTATCCCAATGAAGGATCAAATACCATTCCAGTTGCACACATTAAATCGTAGGAATTAAAGTTAACTCCATTGAAGGTACACATGTAGTAATTTTTACACGTTCCATCATTTATCGCAAACATGCTTTGCCCGCACTGTCGATTGGAAGAAACTAACTGAAGTAACCCCATAGGGATCAAATTGAAGATGAAAATAATTTCAAATGCAACGAAAAGTACTTTCATCTTGTATCTAATGAGGAGTACTATACTGGTTCGTGAAGGATGAAGTTCACTTCGAGAGAATCGACGAGAGTATGATCCTTGATTTAATCATTGCGGTGAATATATTAACCTCGTTGAATTTATTGCTTTATTGTGGAGTATTATGAACATCTGTTCAGTTCTTAGAAAATGCAAGCCGATCATATCCGATAATACTTTGTTTATGAGTAAAAGATATGGTGTCATTAATATTGTCTTATGTACAATGTAGAAATGTACCATTAACTTTATATCTCTCAAGTTCTTTGAAATCTTTTCAGCCATATTGCTGTGAATAATTTAAACTCTTTGACAACAAATAATATACAGTGACATTTAGCAAATATTCTGAATGGTACAGTTAGCATTTACAACCTACCATTTTTCCATTTTATATGTGACTCATTATATTTTTATATTTTGTCATTGATATAAATTTAAAATTTTATTTCGATTGCTTGGTACGTATTTAAAATTGCTTTAATAGATTTTGATTGAATAATTTTATTTAAAATATAAATAAATTAAATTAAGCTTATAGACTCATAATCTCTCGATATATTTAAATAATATTTTATACGAATGAAATTGTTTAATTTAATTAATAAATAAATCTAGCAAATAGACCATTAATATTTTATTATTTATATTACTATACTGTAGGTGAGTGGTTACACATACATTATAGCTAGCAGAATTAATACAATATATTAGGAGCTAATATCCTTTAGATAAGGTGAGACATTGAAAAATTTGTTGTTGGATATTTATAAAAGGTACATTATTTCTGCATAATTTAAATATTTTTCGATAAGTAGAAAAATTAATAAATCTTAAGTTTTTAAGACCACTTTCATTCCTTTTTTAGGGTTGAATTATTGAAAACCAAGGGATTCAATTGCTTAGAGTATGCAAACGTAAATATTACTAGCTGATCGTTACAATGTAATTTTACAGTTCAAACTCCCAAACGAGACAATAATTCTTCAATGATTTCATTTACGTATTTTTAATTACGTCTCAACGTTTCTATAATTTCCTAATGATTTTGCAGATTTACCTGTTCTAGTATTTTTCATTATTTTGAAACTCGAGTGCCGACTAATTTGTTTTGTAGCTATAAAGTTAATTATTTTGAATTAACTTTCCATCCTTAACATAATTGAATCACATTTCACAATAAAATAGAAAAAGAGGGATACGTGAAAATATTTTCATTCTTAAAAGAGATATTGCAAATTTTAACAGATACATTAAAAATTTCCTATATTTCAAGGTATTGTTAGAAAACTTACGAGCTACTATCAGGGTTAAAATCAAAATTCTCTGATCTAGGTGATTTACCTGTTAATATATTTTGCAAATACATTCTCATTGCCACAGTATGTACGCATCAACAAGGATAAAGTGAAAAGAAAAATTGGATTTACTTGCAACTACACGGTCAAAATCACTGTTGGGTTGGTCAGTTAGGCAGTTCCATGGAACAACCCCAACAGCCAGGTAGGATTCCCTCGACCTAGGTTTGTTCTTCAGCAGGGGGTTCGCAGGTAAAAGAACTTTCGTAGAGGTATGCATTGTGGGAGAGAGATTGGTAGGTAGAAAAGGAGTTCGATTCCTCGAGAGCAAGAGAAAGAATGAAGAGCTGGAGAAAGAGGGAAAGAAGAAGACGCTCCGATGGACTCTCTCTTTGACCCTAGTGAAGCGTGCACCTTTCTTCCCGTTTTTTCCTTGTTCTCTTCGAAGTTTCCTTCCACGAGACACCTCTACCCGGCGTCCTTGTTCCTCAACCTTCATCTTGCCGCGAGGAAGCGACCGTTCCTCCGCATCGTGCTCATTTTGACCGTGCGTTACCAATGACGAAACGTTCAGTTCGTATCTCTCTCCTTTTTTGTTAAACTATTTCTTTTAAACGATATCGCGGTCACGTGGTCTTCGACTAATTGTTTTTTCTTTTTCATTGAAAAGTGTGATCTTTAACCTGGTTTCTGTGATATGTTCCTGATAAGAAGGACCTAAGACAGCCGGTGAAACATGAACATTCTTCGAGTGAGTATTAGTAACGTTGCAATGTAATTTTAAAGCGTTTAACAGATTATTGCAAAATAAGATATCAGTTTAAATAAATGAGGATTTTGGTTATTATTCGAAAGATATCTTTTTGAATTTCCAGATGGGGTGAGAAAAAAGAAATAGTGATATCAGAGATTCTAGTTTTTGATTTTCTATATGTTATTATCTTTATTAGTGATTTAAAGATATTTGTTAACAAACTATTTACATATTTTTATATATAATTCTGTACTTCTTTATTACTTATTATTAATTTATTAATGTTACATTCCTTTTGATATTTTTTATTATTATTATTATATTTATATTTTTTCGCTCATTTGTAACATCGATTAATGCCATGAAATAAAAAATAGATCTTTATCTTAAATAACAAATTAAGTATTAATGAAACGCTTTAGCAATAGAATTTGAGGAGATTCAAAGATGGAGGTAATTAGTTTCACCTGTGAACGATTCACATACATATGAGTCAGTTTTAATTCGATATATTTATGGACGAATTAAATTTGATAAAAGTTTGAGAAGAATAAAGGAGAAATATTTTAAACGAGTAAAATTTGCAACTTTACACTTAGCATTTTTACAATTTTTTACACAAACTTTTTATTTCGTAATTATATATTGAATATTTACTTGTATGTTTTGTATATAATTATTTAATTATCGCAAAAACGTATCAACATCGTTTCACAATTTATATTATTAAAAAATCTAAATTTAGTATAATTTTGATTAGGAATGATTCATAATTATTATTTTATTTATTTATTATTAAAGAAACAATCTTTGACAATTGTTTATTTTATCAAATACTTTTCCCTACTTTTGTTCTAAAAAATTTAATTTCCTACTTCCTACAATTAAACAAGGTACAAAATTCAATGTTAAACAGTTAAAAATATTTAAAAAAGATCGACTGTTATTTAAGCAGAATTTTGTATTCTTTTTTTATTGTTATAAATATATTTTAGAAGTCTTATTTTTTATATTTAAACTAATTCTAATATTAATTAACTCGATAATAAATAGTATTAGATACTTTTTTTTATACCATTTAAAATGCATTTTCGTTCAATTCAATTTTTCGTTTATAATTATTCACTTGCAGTTAGAAATTAATGGTTAGAAACTCTATACATATGTATTTCATTGATTTTGTATTGTACTTGTGAGAGTAGATGTTCGACTTTTTAACCATAGATCTTATGGGGCGAAAGCTGTACTGAAGAAAATAAACTGTTATTCTCAAATAAATTTATTTATATTATAAAAATACGTTTTCAACAATTAATGACCTACCAGTGAATTTATTAATTAATTACGTTACTCCACTTTTATCTTCGACAAGGAATTTTCTAAACTATTTTTTCAGTCATAAATTAATCAAAATCGTTTGATAATACTAATTAGTTACCAATTTTAGTACGAAAATGAGAAATTAAAATTATCTTATTACGGAAATAATTGTATTATAATAGAATAATGCGGAAATATAACAAGATCGAATCCATTTTGTAATATAACTGTATCTTATGTGATAAAAAAAATATATATTTATTCACTTATATATGAATTAAAAAAGTTCATGTGGAAATAATTTAAAAAAGGAGTGATTGTCTTTTCCAAATTATTAAATTGTGCATAATATTATACGTGAATATAGACATATGTGTAATATATTAGAGCAATACATGTGCGTTTATATTTTTCTTTAAGTAGGATTCTGTAAAAGCACTTCTCGATTTATCATGCGAAGCATAAGAGGCGAAAGTTAAAAATCACTAATTCAAAGTCTGGTAGCACGACGATCCAGCGACATGACCAAATTTAACTATTTTAAGAAATCCACTTGCGATTAGTCTACTTCCAACTTGAAATTAAGTTAGTTTAAATTGCCCATATTAAGATAGGATATTATTTTTTCATTTTACCTATTTGTGAATTATGATATATTATTATTTACGATAATATTATAATTATTACTTAAATTTGTCAAATACGAATTTTGAATAAAACTGAAATACTTGATATTAAAAAAATGTTGAATTAGTTCAATATTCGTAAGTATTTTTCAAAATGATAATAAAAGTAAACCTTTCCTTTTTCAATTCTCTTTACAAAATTCATCAATTTCACTTCTATAAAGTTTCTTACGTTCATAAAAAAATTGGTATTAATATTATCATCATTTTCTCTTGTTGTATCTTTATTTCAATAACTACATTTCTATAGTACTTTTGTAATTACAATTAATTACATTGTGCACTTGTGCACTGATATCAGTAATTAAAAATTCAGTGCAATAAAAATAGAAATGAAATACTAATTCAGACAATGATAAAAATAAACATATTTCCTTGTATCTAGAATATTAAAAATTATTGAAAATAAAATTATAAAATACAACCTAAGAGAGAAATAATTAATATTTATTGAAAGATATGTATCTAAATTCAAATTTTAAAATATACAATGGTATAACAAACTTACAAATCCACTGAAATTTCCTGCAAAATGTTTGATACAATTTTTCATGTTTCATTAAATCATCATCACAAATTTATCACGTAAAAATGTATACAACAGTTTTAAAATAAAATATTCTTCCATACAAAAGAAAAAAAATTATATATGTATAATATCCAAGTATAATTTTATAATTTGTATAAATATCCAATGTATTTATGTACATAATAATTTTAGTATTTTTATAAAGTGACAATTTCCGCAAAAAGCGAATACAAAAAAACAATTAGATATACATAGATGTCACAAGATCTTTAATACATAGAATTAGTAAACGTTTATCATTTTCAGTTACGTGTAACATACGCGAATCATCTTTTTGCCAACACACGCCTCATAACCTCTTACAATGTAACATTTAAAGGCTCGTTCGGAATTCAGCCACTACTAATAAACTACTTGGCAAATTTTCAAGGAAGGATAAATTAATCCACAGACATACCCGTTTGCAAAAGCTTTCGAAAGTTAGAACTGATTTGTATACACCGTGAATTGCCAATCGTACATGATCCAACAAGGACGCCGTGAACGAATGCGAGGGAAACATATGCTCGACGCTTTCGAATGATCCTCGCCGTTTGGCATAGTGCCAACATAGGAGCGAAACTCTTCCGTCTACGACCTGAATCTGTCGCTTTCCGTTTGCACGTTGCTTCCTCTTATCAGTGTCAATACCGATTTTCTTCGAATATAAGCTTTACGACCTTCTTAAGTACTCGCCTTGATATAACGTATTTCCATACTCTAATAAATATCAGTGCATTAGATTATACAATATATAGGACGTTTAACGACATTTATTTTCTTTTTCCTGTCAATTTTTCATATTAAAGGCTCATATTAAATTTTTCATATATATTACGAAATATTATATGTACCAGTGGTTTTCAATCCGTGTTACATATATCACTAGTGATACGTTGAATATTTCTAGGTGGTGCATAAGTTGAACTAAATTATATAAAATTTTTAAATTATACGCGGTGGGGTATGCTATAATGAATAGATATTACTTATAACGAAGTGATTTAATGATATATTGGTTGGTGGGGTACGGGAAAAAAGTTTGAGAATCGCTGATATTATAACATAATAAAATCATAAATTATGTGTACAATTATAATTTTGATTAATTAGTACTTAAGGCAAAAACTCGTTTAAAATCTTTATATTGATTAAATTTGATCACTGAGGAAAAATAAGCATAGTCCCTGATGAATATTTATATATATATTAGATAAATGTTACTCAACATATGTGATATTTAATGTCACTTATTTTTCCTTTCTTTTTGGAAATTTTCTAGTATCGAAAGTGATTTTCGCGTGTTAAATCATTGTTTTCATTGTTTAGTATTTAGAAAAAAGATTTAACTTGATAGAGAAAATAAAAGGTGTGATCCATTGATAGTGTTAGTATTGTTTAAATTTTATTGTTGAGAAGCAATTAAACTCTTCGGAAATATATTTTATATTTTTATATACAATTTTATATGATAATATTTATATTTAATTTCAATACTTACATTAATGTTTCACGTAATATAACAAATTATATTAAAAAAGTTATATTAAAATTTGTATTTAAATCAAATTTGGTTATATAAGGATTTATGTAATTTAATTAAATTCAATTAAATTCGATTTAGTTAAATTCAATTCTTTTTGTTGCTTTATTGCGTCATAAGGATAATGATCTATATAGTATGTCAATCGATATAACGATCAATAATCGATTGGAAAATTGAAAACATAATTAAATACGCATCCTCCATTTTCTGACATTTGTTGAAAAAGCGGAATACGTCTAACGTGGGCGATAATTAACTCTCATTATCAAGGTATTCCTGTAATTGTCTTTCCCGTTCAAGCTGCTTCGTTAAAACCGTTAGAGCCTGTTTCTTCTTAAGAGTAAGATTTCAAGATTTTCACTTTATCTCTTCTCACCAAGTTTTCAACAAATAGAGTCTTCCTGTTCGAAAGTTTATTTCTTATCACGATTACCTCACAAAAGAATTGCAGGAAGACAAATTAAAATAAAATTATTGATATGCATATGATAAATATTCAATTATTTTATACTATCGTTTAACTATTTACTACTTGATTGTATAATTTAATTATGTACAAATTTTAACTATTGCTTCATTCGCATTCATTAAGATTATACATCAAAGTACTATATATGCAATAAAATTCGATATGACCAAGTTTTATTCGCTACTAGTAATATTTTTATTTTTATTATATCATTATTATACATATTCACTGTAATGTTATATTATTCACTATATTAATTTTTAATTAACTGTGATAATCGAAACATCAACAATTATGAACATTTTCTATATTAGTTTCTTTCATCGACTATAAAATCTGAAATATTCACGATTGTTCATCACGTTCTGTTTTAATATAATCAAAAACTAACAGAACTTCTAAAAATCAAAAAGAGATTAAGAATTATTTGTTACTTTGAAATTCCCTTTATAAACGTTGCGACTTTAACAATTTTAAAGATGACAGTGATATCATGTTCCTCGTGTCATGAATTATTTTCGAAAAGAATAAAAATTCTTCTCTGCCAAAACAGGATTTTTAGTACATTGGCTCGGAAATGTTCTTAATAAACGACGATATTATTTCAATTTGTGGTAGTAAGAGCAGAAGAAAATTGCAGTCTCATTATTGGCATTGGTTAGTCTCGATTAGCGTCGGCACTCATTCTAGCACACGTGTCCCTCACACAAGCACACCAACACCTTGCTGAATGCGCATTATACAGATTACATGCAACCACATATTACATCTTCTCACTATAGGTCGACTCTCGTAATACCCACAGCCCACTTACCTACATTATCCCTGCTACGCGAGTGGCTCTCTTTATATACTTCGTCTATTACAGTGTGAGAACCACCTACTCTTCAATGAAGAACAGATCTATCTCACAATCAAACATGGCCGATTACATACCACTTCTCGACAACCGAAATTAGATGACAATGTAATTTTAATCACTCAATTATTTGCTCGCAGTAAGAGTTTCATTGGACAAATGTCACAATTGAATTAGGGCATATTTTCATCTAAAAATGTAGATGTTCGAATCTTTGTTAGAAGGTTAGTAACATTAATAGTGTGAATATTATTATATGCAGTATGAACCCTTTGCACTCGAGAGGCGCCTTTCAGTCGCCATTTGTTAAAGTTTCGAAGCTCGATATTAATTAATATATCAAATTTAAAATAATGTAACAATGTGCGAGGTATCGAAATTGAATAATTCTACGTATTAATTATTATACGATTTCTTATTTACTGCTCAAAAGATAGCTTATAGCAGAAAATTTGTCAACTAGTAACCTTCTTTAGCTAAAAAATCGTCGAGCGCAAAGGGTTAAATATACTTTATACCGTGATAATTTTTTTATGTACTATCCTAAAATCTCTAGCACCCTTTTTTGAAATTAAAAACATAAATTTATTCGTATAATAATCTCTTTTTCTCTTTCATTTTTTTGAAAATGAAATTAAATAACATAATACATGGACAATGTCTAGATGGGAACGTTAGTGGAGTGCAAATAGATAAATAATAGTTCATATTTAATAGTGTATTATTATATTAATTATGAATTATTAATTATATTGGTTAATATTAATAGTATTTATGGTATTAATGCTACTAATAGTATTAATTACAAATTTAGAACATTTTTCAACTTGTTGCCTTTTTGTAACAATAAAAAATTGACAAATATTTTTATCTTGAAACATTTTGAAATATTGTATTGTTATGAAAAGTAGAAAACACGTTACTTCGAATAGCAATAAATGGAACATAGGAGATAACTAAATTATTTAAATACTCGAATTATTTTTATATATATTTCCAAAATTCATTCAGAAGAAATACATACATAAGTATGTATCATTGTATAAATATCTCATCTTACTTCTTTTTTTTCAAATGTCATTCAAAACCAGAAAAAATCATTTTTGGAAGAATAATATTTATAATTAAATATCTTTCACATAATTCAGTAGTTAAAATTAGAATACTCTAGAATTAGGGAATTTTTTAGTAACAAATAAAATAAATACTTTCAGTTTAATTTTTCTGTAAGTATAATTTTAGACTTCGATCAACTGTAACAATAAGAGTAGCTAATAAATAAGTCTAAACTTTTTAAAAACTTTTATAAAGTCTTCTCAAATCTTGTATTTAAAATAACTACGTACCTCGTTTATACCACTTACAATAACATGCAAAGAAAAATTACGTACAAATTTAACGCTAAATTATCTATTTATTTATTTATAAAAATACGATAAGAACTCGACTTGTTCCTGGTACACCTTCAAAAGCGACAATGCAAAGTGATACTGTTTGCTACTTTCGCTTGAGTAACTACCTCTTATCCGCTGCTAAAAATATAAAGCACACTGACTTTGATGTTAGTAGGTTTAAAAGTGATATGAGGGGACTGTATCTTCTTTTTTCCGTTTGTTCACTTTCTTATGCAGTTCCGGTTCTCGCGATAAGTACGGTGATCCACGAGTACTCTCGTTCTCTCTCGCACGTCCGCATATTTTACGGTAAACGTAAAATAGCACGTGGAGTAGCACGGGAACACCATTGAATTTGTGCCCCGTGAGAAACTCGTAGGCGATAGCTGGTTGCTCAAATCTTCTCTGCACTCGATTTTATGCTATACTTGCTCCCCTTTCACTCCTGACCCTCTGTTTTCGATAATTTAGCTGAATATTATCTAGCAAACGCAGTAATGAAGGCTACCAATTATTCCTTGCTAAAATTTTTACTTCGTTCTTTCCTGGAATTTCTATTGAATTAATTTAACGATAAATTAAAGTGAAATTACGAGGCTTGAATTAGACGATGCTTTCGTCTTTTGACTCATGTCTATCAATCTTCTTCACTGCAACAAGTTGGAACGAAGAACTTGTCACTTTTCGTTAGTCTTACATTTTTGATAAAACATGGAGAATAAGGGATTGATAAAATATGATATATAAGAGTAAAAAGATTTACGTGGCTGATAGAGAAATACAGAATTAGTATAATCGTTTAATTCGAGTGAAATTGTATAGTTCTGGCATAATTCAAAGCTGTGCTGAATGTTCCTCAGGAAGTGGCCCACTTTGGTCTACCCTGTGTTTATTTTCCATGGTTATTGACTACCGTGAGAAGTGTACGATGTTCTCTAAGAATATGATTTTAATTCGTTCATGAATTTTCATCTCCTATTAGAAATGTGATATTTGTTGTTAATTATTTATTATTAATTATTGAATTAGGAATGTCTAATTTCTCGTGATGCCTGTTCAATTGTTATATTAATTGCACATATTCGTTGCATATTCTAAAATATCGACATAATTAACACTAGAATTACCGACCTGTAACCTGTACCTAAATATAGTATGATAATTAAGGAACAAACATGGATAACACTAATTAAAATCTCTCGATGAAAATAAATATACGAATAATAAACATAAATTAAATATATGATAAATAAATAAAGGCGTATATAATTACGTTTCTATTTAAATAAAGATCGATGTTAACTCAAAAGTTGCAATAAATTGCATTTGCAATAAATATAAAAATAAAAAGTTTGAAATCAGTCATTGTGATTAGTTTTAGTGCGTTTAAACTCAATATTCATTCGTGACCTAATTAGCTCATATGTTTGTAGGTTACGTTAACACTATCACTGCTCATCTCTACGTACAGTACATCATCCTGTTTGAAAAATGAACGAAGCGAATCAGCCTTCAACAATGGTCAAAACATTCGACATAATCGAAGAGTCGGATTAAACGAATATCTAGTTCCACCCCCAGTACCAAAACCTCATCCAGTGAGGTCAGGAAGAGTAGTGAATCATCAACCAACGGAAGCTCCAGGATACCTCTCGCAATTCATGAATTGGTTAAATCCTTTCAGTTTCGGTTCTTCGACTTCTACACCTCAGAAACTGCCACCCCACCTTGAACCTTCGTACCCTCCACCCCCTCAAACTTATGGTCCAGTACCATTTAACGTACACTCTGCACTGCAACCTGGCCCGTCTCTTCATCCTCCACTTGGATCTCAAACTAGTCTACCTTTGCATCCTCCTCTTAGTCCATCTACTCCTGCTCAACATCATGGTATTCTTCTTACAGCTCCCCCTGGTGCACATCATGGTCCACCTCTTAGCCTTCCTCCTGCTACACATCCTAGCCCACCTCTCAGCCTTACCCCTGGTGCACATCCTGGCCCACCTCTCAGCCTTCCCCCTGCTGCGCATCCTGGTCCATCTATCAGCCTTCCTCCTGGTCCACCGTTGCAACTGTACAACGTCCCTTCACCTGCTTTTCACGATATACAACCCATTCTTCCAAATCCAAAAGACAGTCGCGGTCTTTACCTACCACCTAACAAAGGAAAGCAGTGCAATCCCTGTAATAAGATTCCTTGGATTCCCATGCAAGGTTCTGGATTTCACACAGAAAAGCATTCTCACCCTCCACAGTCTCCAAATGCTTATCTACCACCCAGTAACCAAGCGAATCACGATGTCCAGTACGCGGCTTCACACGAGATCAGAATCCCTGATCTCTCCCAAGCACCTATCGATCAAAGTCCCTTCAACAACCCTTTGCCAAGTCCACTGTTATACCCCGGGCCAGTGCCACCTCTCTACAAAGCAGAACCGTTTAATCGACCATTCCAAAGTCCTCCTGCGATAGAGAATGTGGGTCACTTTGAACCACCACCATTGCCTGTGACACCGTTAGCTGGTCAAGAGCATAGAGGTCCTGAAATTAACGACCAAGGCTATAACATTCACGGCATCGACGAACTAAGGTCCATTGGAACGGTAGTTAATCAGGGACACGCGAGTATCGTACCTCAGAATCATGTAACCGACGCCAACAAAGGCTTTACTGATCTCAAGGAATCATTCGGTAGTTCGATTCCCGACACTCAGTCTTCCCTGTCTGTATCATCCTACCAGGATCAAGAGTATCATAACAGCCCTACAATCGTGAGCCAAGGAAATAGCGGTGTCATAAATCAGCCTGTAGAACAGGGCCAGAGTACCGTCAGTAGTTTCGGGCTTTCGAATGCCGAAAGTCACGAGTTCTCTGGTCAGAGTGGTAACGAGTACCGTGAGCCGTATAAATCAAATTCAGCATCTAATACCGAATTGAATTACTTACCGCCAGACTTGAATCCCTCTGCTAGCTTTGGCACTTCCACTTTTCATAATCAAGACACCGAAAATTCGAATTATCAGTACTCCGATGACCTGTCTCCCAGTGGTAGTGTCGTCAAAGATTCTCACGTGACGACCCAGACACCATCTGTGAGCTCCTTTTCTTTGAAGGAAGAGCAGATACATTTTGAAGAATCACCGCTGTTAGATCTGACGAAGAAAGGAGAGAGTCGAACCGACGTACAATGGTCTACCTCTACTGTAGGGTATAACGATGTGGCTGAAACGTCGCATAATACCTTGAAGACTACTACGGATTACGGTTTGGAAACTGACAACATATATTTCGAAGACTCGTCCAATTTTGTCAGACCGACAGAATCTTATTCCTCATCGGATATTCAAAATATTAACAGCATTTTTGGACCCACGGCGTCTACCACTGAAGATTTTCCCACTGGTAGCAATCGCAATATAGAGACGTCAACAATTGGTACGCAGTATACAAATCAACAAGACGTTTCATATATACCGCCATCTGGACAGCCAGCGTACCTGTGGCCAAGTTTGCTTGTGCATGCATCAAATTTGAGGAACGATTCGACGAAGAGTCAAGTGTCCTCGAATCATCTTGCCGAATGGAATAATTCTTTTCCGGAGGTTGGGAACCCTGGAAAGCAAGATAGTGGGGGTTCGAAGGATGCAAAAGACACGCTTCAGAGGCAGCAGGGCACGAAGCGAAATAAGCAAGTAAGTAAAGTCATTGGTGCAAATTTAGTTGTGTTTTTGCAATCGCAAAATATAGGGACGTCTCTAGAGATTTCGGACCCAGGGCTTAGTCGTGATTTTATGTTTAATAGCTTAAAATGTAGTTTGGAAACTTGGTTTTTTGGAAATTATAATTTAGAGCACATCCTAATTCTGACTATTTCAGTCCAAAATTAAATTCATTACAAGGATAACATAGTCTCGGAATTATTTATTATAACGAAGTTGTGAATCGTTGTACATATATAGTAATCTCCGTTGACACCGAAATGACAACGTAGATGTCACTGACACCCAAGATCATCTGCAGTTCTTAACGCCAAGCAGTAAATAGGAAAAATTGTTAATTAATCTTTAATTTTAATTTGGTTCATTAACAAACAATTTGTTCCTACTAAATTCTGTTTAATATTTCGAATATTTAGAAAAACGTTGATTTTTTATAAACTATTGTCAGAAATACCCAGAAACGGAAGAACCCGTTCCAAACCAATATCGTACGCTATTGATTGACGTTTGAATGGTTTAAATATTCGTTGTTTTGAAACTCAAAATATCCGTACTTTAGGACTTTGCTATCATCCGAACCTACTATATGTTTGAAAATTGCATACTTTAACAATTAAAATTATATTTAAGGGGATCTTAAATCTGGGTCAAGGAAGGACTTCTCTAGGAACTTTTTTTTCAAGGAAACTATAATACTTTTTAGTATGAGTTTCTTGCCCTCTTACTTATTCACTTTTAGAGAATACTTACAATTTTTTTCAATACAAAATAATGAAAATTGTGAGAATTATGTAATAATGTATACAAGCAAAATTAGAAAAATTATTCGGCAGTGGATTCCCGAATATCCAGTTTCGTTTTAACCAACCACATTTTCGTTTATAATAAAAAAAGAACAATATTTCTGATACATGATATGTACGATCGATGATTAATCTATATTCTTAATGATAAAAATCGATCATCACTCTATTCATATTCTCCAAATTCTTTATTTGTTGATTTTGTATTTTATCTTACCTAAGTTTTCAAAATTTTGAATCACGAAAAAAGTGTACAGTTTTAAATTTTCAAAATTTATAACTCTTGGATTTCGAGAGGTTTCGCGAAATCCATCTGAGAATCATGAGGAATATTAATTATTTACAAACGACTGAATTTTATATATTAATATTACTTCTAATTTTACAAAACACAAAAACATCGTTATCAGATCAAATCGCATATATTACTGTCGAATTTTAATCTGTAATACCCATTGGGTAATTCTTGTAGAGTTTACATTCCTAAATAGGAATCCGTAATAAAAATTGCTCCGTCACTCTCAGTTTTAAAAAATTGTAAATTTTTCTAAAAACGCAAGATTTTTTAGTAAAATGAAGTATTATGTAAAAAGTAAGAAGGTTAGGGAGTTCATTGTTATCTTACAAGTTAGGTGAGAGTATTCCAAATTTATCAATGCCCATAATTAAAATTATTTATGCTTCTGAATAACTATAATTGTTGATTAAAGTTTAAAAGTAAGTCTCCATGCGTCTTTTTTACGCATATTTTTGCATTTTTACAAAAAGATTTTTATCTGGCACGAATTTGCTGCACAGTAGAGCATTCTGTAGGCTTTTCTAATGGAGAAATCTAGGAGCAATATTAGGATGATGTTGAATGTTGACAGGACGGTAAAATATATATCGAGAACCCGTAAGCGGGATTTTCCCGCCACGCGGCCATTGTTCGCAAATCTAGCTTCGTCAGTGCCGTAGTCACGCGTAATCGATACCAAACGCATCCTCCAGTAGATCTCATCTTTATATATATATCACATATATTTATATATTTTCATGTACTCTTTTATGCTAATACAAAATTATAAGAAATTTCTCTAAATTACTTGTAATTTGAAACAGTTTCATTATACGATAAATAAATACGAATGACTTTTTAATATACGGTTGTTAAAAAATAAACTTCCAACCAACTTTTAAGATGAGAATGAATTCTTTATCGTTCTTTCTTTTTATTTATCTCATTTTAGTAAAAAGTCTTGGGTTTTTAGAAAAATTCACATTTTTCTTGAACTACGGGCGATAGAGCAATTTGGATTATCAATTCGTGTTCAGAAAAGTAAGCTTTACAAGAATCGCCCATTGGATATTACAGATAAGAGAAAAAGTTAAAATTTGTTGGACAGTATTGTGAAAGATAAACATCATATAGATACAATACATGGACAAATACGAATTTAACTTATTAAAATATTAGAAATACAATTTAATGTCATGAAATAATATAAATTTATTAAAATAATTGTATTTTAGGTACAAGTTATTATACCATATACGTCAGAGTATACACCAATTCCTTTCCAACAATCCTATGGGGACTGGAGTGTCAGAACTAATTTCGAACGAACGCAGCCAAGAAAGATCCCACCACGAAACGAATTGAACGTTGATAACTACCTTCAGCAAGAATCTAGGAACGATATTCGAGTAGTTAATCAATTTCAATCGCAATTTAATTTCAACAATTCAAACAGATCGAACGTGCAATCGATAAGACCATCTTCAACTATAGTTGAAGATTCAAGAAGCGGTACAACAAAAGTCAACACTTCCATTGATGTACGCAGGTTGCAAAAGAATATCGATAACTGGACGATACAAGTAAGCTCATACAATCAATATTTAGTATATACTATGTTCATAACAAATTCCTCCTTTTCCTTGAAATCAAAATTTAGTTCATTTATTATTTTTCTTTAAGAAATAAGGAATTACTCGATATAGTGATTGAGATTTTTATACAGTGTTAATTTAACATAATTAGTTTAAAATAGTTCAAAATAACTAAATTTAAATAAATTTTTCAAATGTTCCATATAAAAAATTTTCTTTGCTTTAATTTCTAAATTTAAAAAAATTTATCTATCAAATTAATATTTTCTGCTTAATTTTTTATTTTTTTCTGCTGTTAGCTTCTTTTCCACCCCTTTTTTGCACGATTAAAAATAATATATATGTATAGTATAATAATGATAACAATAAAGTATTTCTTTTGCAATGTATGAACACAGCAGTATTAGAACAGTAAAACCAAGAAAACAATAATTAATATAGTAAATTTATTTAGGAATATTCAAAACCTACAACATCTAGCACAATTTTACCTAGTTCCTTACACCCTTACCTTTCACCATCAAAGAAAATTCCAACGGAGTACCTAACAACAACAGAGCCAGGCGACCATACCAACGAGGCGAAAGATCACATTGAAAGTGTGAAAACGTATTCTTTGGCTGGATTTAGTTTCAACGAAGTGGAACACGAGGGCTCTGCTAGTAATCGCATTGAATCGACTCAACCGGTAATTTATTGCGTCTTGATTTCACAAACTCTTCATTAATTTATCTATAACAATCTCCAGACCACTATTTGCTGTCATCTAACTCATTAGTAATATCAGCCAGTGATATCATGTATCTAAATTAATAATTTATAATACACTGTAAATAATTATTTAACGTTATTTTATTTATTGAGTATATTATCTAGGAATATTATATATTGATATCTTATTTAGTAATGTACAATAATCCCTAAATCATTAATTACTATTATCTAATATATAAGTGATATTAATTTATAATGATATTAAATAATTTCTAAATTACGGTTTAGTGTCATTTAATTTATTAATGATTCTTGATGACGATATTATATATTAATATACTAATATATTAGAAATTTACAATACTCTCTAACCATTATTTAGTATTATCTGGTATTGATAATATTAGATACTGATATATATTATAGTTAATGATTGCTCATATTGCTTAATAATATATAAATTCATATTTTTATTTTCACCAAATTTGTTTTTATGAATACATGAAGTATAAATTTCCAGGCCGCAAAAGTGGTACGAATAGAGAGCCCAAAGGCAATGGCCAGCAGTGGCGTACACACCGTGAATAAGTCAAAGATGGAAGACAAGTCAACATGGCGGGCCCACTCCGTGTCAATATCACCCGTGAATAAAGAACGAGTTTACGTAGTAACGCCACAGCCGGTAACAGAAGTAACCCTGAAAAACGACTTCGAGAAACAAAAAAACGAAAGGCGAAGGGAAAACTCACGGCGAACGAATGAATCGATCGTCAGCGACGTAAATGACAACAAGAATAATATCAGTGAATTCGAAGCGATCGAGAAAGCCTATCAGGTGCTTCCACAAGCAGTAAATAACCTTGCCGTCGCATCCACTGGAAAGGAAAACATTCCTTTGTGGGGAATTATGGAACACGAGGAATTTGCTTCGTTGAATTTGGACGAAAACGACGATGAAATAGCTGAGGATGTCGTGGATGGACCGGTACTTTACTCTGGACACTCTAAGGTGATAAATTATTCAGAACGTTAATCGTTTACGTACCATGGAACACGATCGCGCGAAACAGACTATATAGGGAACTATAGTGTGCTCGTAAATTATTGTATTGAGGGGCTGCTTCGATTAATGCGAAAATGACATCGTAGTCACCGAAATTCAAGACCGTCGGAAGTAAATCAAGGAGTAAAATGAAAAATATCGATGATTAATTTGAAATTTCAACTTTGTTCGTTAATTACTACTTGTTACTAATTTACGATAATAATGTGTTAAACATTTTAAAGAATTTAATCTTTCGTAAATCGTTGTTGACAACACCCGGCAATAGAAGAATTATTATCGTATAGTACTACTTGATTCGTGACCACATCATTTCTCCCCAAATATTTCAACTTGCTATTTCGAAAGTCGCAACTTTTTTACTTTTAGGTTTGATCTATTTTACGAACGCATTATATTTCTCGCGTGGATTATGTCATAAATTACCACTGCATTAAACTGTGACGCGCAACTGACACTGCATTTCTAGATTCTACCGCAACGCCACCTGTCTTACTAACGCTTATAAACACAGCGTGACCGCGCCATTTGGAATTTTTCAACATGAACTAAACCAACGCGATCGTGTTACTTGGCACCATGCGATAAAAATTTTTCGAACACACATAAATGGTTAAAGATATTCAGTCATATAGATTTCTTTTATTTTCCTGTTGCTTTATCCTTTATAGAAAATTTTGAAATTGTGTTAATATTATGATTTATATTAAAATCAATAAATTCACAAATTTATTTGAATAGTTTGAAAAATAGAACTTACTAACAAGTTTACATAATAATAATGGCATTATCTATAGGTATCACGAGCTAAGCGATGACATGCAAGTATTTCTTAAACATGGAGGCTGAAGAATACAATTTTGCAATTTTTGTGGACAGTTGACTGTTTGGTCGTAACTTCTCGGTTTTAAAGACTTCCTATTACTTCGATTTCGCGTAGAGGAACACAAACGAGATAATTTTAGTGTTTTAAGTGCACGATTAGAACTTTATTACGGCCAGTGTATACTTATATGTACTTATATTAAGTCAAGTTAGTTATTTGTAAAATAAGTAGCTACTTTTGTAAAGAAAAGATGCATAGCGTGCTAATTCCTAATTTGAATTTATACATTCGTTCTGTATACGAAGAAATACTATAAAAATACCTTTTCATTCATAGAAATATCATTTGATCATGTGTTATTTTTGTAAATATACGTAAAGTTAAATATACATTTAGTTCGATAAATAAGATTAAACTAATTATAAATGCCTACTAATTAGCTTATGTGTAAATTTTCTAATATTAATAATTATAATTGTACAATATTAGAAAATTCAATAATAATTTGTTCCAGATTGTTGAATAAATTAGTACTCGATCGATAACACGAAATATCTATGGGGCATTAATTTTGGGTTTAAACTATAATTTTTCAAGATTGTACCATGAAACACAGAACATAATGTATACATGTAAAATGTATAAAAATAAATATGTTTTAAGGCGGTACAAACTATAATTATAAAATTATAAAATTTGCGTTTAAATATTCAAAATTAAAATACATTATTTCTTATTAATTTACAGAATTTTTCTCCAAGTACATACACTATGGGCCAAAAATTTAAATGCACATAAAGCATTTATATTTTATGCTTGACACTGAAACTACTGACATATAACATGTATCTAAATGTAGTATACATAAATACATGATACTAATTAAAATATGATGAAATTATTTAAGTATATACATTTATGTTATATTATCAATATAATATAATAATACTTCTATAAAAGTCAATGTTAAACTTGCTCAAAGAATCTACATGGTTTTAGTAATTATAATAATAATAAATCTGAAAGCTATCATCTTGACTGATTTGATAGTTTTAATGTCAACGTTACATCTATAACATATATCGAATAACATTAAAGTCATAATGTATACTTAAATATACTACACATTAACAGTTATAGCTAAAATGGTATAACAAAAGTAGATGAGCATACATATATAAATGTATTTCTATTTCAGTAAAAATTGATATTAATTTTAATTTTAATATTAAGTTTTGAAATTTGTCATCTTGAAATGTTTATTAATTCTAGCATTAAATGAAGTCATCATTGTTACTGATTTTGCTAGTAACAAGATACGCAATTTTCCTTCAATTGCAATCAAATATATCACCTAACCTCATCTACTAATAAGAAGGTAAAAGTTTTCTTACTGGTACATTTAATCCATACTTTTGGTCTCCTGTGTAACTACTACTTACATGTATCTCTGTGTCATCACTTTCGTTGATTTTGCATAATTGGAAGTCGTCCAAAAAGACCTAGCTATTTGTATTCACTTGCTACTGTGATGCACATTCATACGTATTCCGCGTACCGCTTGTTTGACAATGTTTAAGACTTTCCCGATTATATGGTGAAAGGAGATCGTACCTATTCCGGTTCACGTTGTTTCATCAATTGAAAAGTGCGAGCATTTACCATGAATTCGTGACTGAAATTTTGAATTACGATACTCTCTAATTTTATCACGCTTTAAAATGCCAAGAGATAACAAAAGGCATTTAAACACACACGTGTTTTTATATACAAACATCATTATACGAGTATGCATTAATCGTCACACAATTAATTTCTGGAGAAAAATTTCTGGGTTATAATAAATGTCTCTTGCATAGATAACGTGAATTAATTAATAAACAAATTTTTATAGCAACAGTTAGGTTATATAGCGTGTTCCACAAACACTGTTGTTTACCATTTCGATCATATTTAATAACAGAATGAACAGAGTCAAACATCAAAAACGTTATTTTAGGATAAATGAAATACATTATTAGTACTTCCTTATTCAAAATTTTAATATAAAATATCAAACATTTTATATATAAAGAGAAAAAGAAAATTTACTTCTAAATTTCTTTTAACCTCCAATTGTAAAAAAAATTGCATTAATTATGTCTGTTTTTCAACCCTGTATCTTTAACAAATAATACTTTAGCTTATTGTATAAAATAATGAATACATTTGAAATGGATAGAATTGGTGGAACACCACGTCTAAATATTTAAAAAATAATATACTCATAATTATTTGAATAATACAAATTTCATACTTTACTATTTTTACATCATAAAATCTAATTTTTTGTTAAACCAATGGATATTATAATTATCATTTATCGTCGATTACAAATTGCACTATTTTAAATTCAAATTATTCAAATTTTTATTTTCTAATCTTCTAGTATAATAATAATTAATCATTTAAATTATCTAAATTATTTCACCGATTTTTAAAATCATTTAAACAATTATGAGCTGTAATATAAGTATATTTTTATACAAATATTCTAATAATGCGAAATTCAGAGAACTACTATACGGATTCGTTTCAAAATTGTTAAGATGACTCGTTTCAAAATTCTCAAAATGACTCATTTCAAATATTTCACTTATGCATATTACAGAACGCATTTAGCTACTTTTGACAATTTTCACTTAGACAGAAATCTAATTGTATACAGAGTGATTCATAAATTTATGTTTATCCCTCAAAAGATGAAATGACTAAAATAAATAAAAAATATCATACCTGCATATATCATGCATATTTTAGTTTCCAAATTGAGTGATTAAAAAAAGTTTTCTTCTAACACCAATCTCTTAGATCTTTACTTTTGGAACCGTTTAAGGTCTATTCTGTATTCAACGCAAGTAAACTACGTGCACGACCTAGGAAAAAGGATATAAAATAAATTTAAAACTATCGAAGAATACTTCCAGTTTTCGAATAAGTGTATAATTAAATGGTAAGGAATGCAGTAGCTAGACATTTAAAAATTTTTTTTAAGGAAACTATGAAAGCCTTACAAAAAAATGTTGAGAAACTGTGGACAAGATCCAATTAAGTGAAACACCCTGCACAATAGCTAAATATTAACACTAAATACTAAATAATTAATATTAATAGTAAATTAATGAAATATTGCTAATATTAATACAGTAATTAAAACTAAATATTTCTTCAATACACAATTTTTTACAATTATACACGTTTTTAATGCACATTTTTTTATAATTTTACTTTTTCAATGCACTAATCTTTATCCAATTTAATGATAGTGCAATTAGCTAGTTGAAACTCATAATTTGAAAATAAAGATACTACACCGCCATACGACACCTTTTTATTTATTACTTATATTTATGTTCATGCATTAGTGTATTAGTGTAATTATGCATTTGTATGTAAATTCATTCTCAGAGTATGCATATTCATTTATGAATCACCTTGTATACTTATTTATCTTTATCGTATCACTTCAAATGTTATTATTTATATTCAATATTGTTATCACTATTAATAACAATCATAGTTATTATAATGAGTTATTCAAAAGAAGTCGGTAGATCTAACATTAAAAAAGTTCGGTACAATTATGCATATTTTCGAATATTTACATAAATCCGTGTAATCGTCTTCTCCAAACAAAACTTTGGATCCTTTGTCTAATTCCTTTAACGGCCTGTGAGAACTCTTACCGGAAGATTCTGAGAAAAAATGATCCATTGTTGTCGCGAAATATCATGATTGTTAACAGGCCTGAGCTGCCGCAACGAAACACTTCACGTCATTAAGTCTGTTCCTGTGGCGAACGACATTGAACAAGCACACGGCCTTAATTAAACCTGAGATGATATAGCAGTTGCTGTTCCATATAGAAAGTGCCGCAGAAATTTTTATTTCATAAACGCTAGACGTATAAAAAACTGAGTACGCTGAATTAGGTCTTCCTCGAAATGAAACGGCGTCGTAGAAAAAGTATAATCTTAACGGCGCATACTATACTTATAATAATTTTTATATTTATTCATGAAACATTTTTCAAAATTGCAATTGGGTTGTTCGGAGTGGAAGAATTCGTAGTGGAATTTCAGGAAAATTCGCGATACGAAATTTTAAAAAATTCATTTTGTATTTTTATGAATTATTATGCATGGAACAATACCAAAATTATCAGTTTTTTAAATAACATATCATTCTTTTCAGTAATGTTGTTGTTTTGAAAATTTTTAATTTTTTTCACGTTATGTGGCATTTTCGAAAATTTTTTATTTTTCTCGATAACTTGACCGTTTCGAAAATTTTCTATTCCTTTTAATGACGTAATTCTTTCAAAAACTTCTATTTTTATTTTCAATGACAAATTCTTTTAAGTATACTAATTTGTATAAGTATCTGGAATATTCAATTTTTGATCGTTAAAATGTTTTATGAAGAGTTCGTGAATCAAATGAAACGTAAATGAAATATTTGAACCGAGATCCAATTCTTCTTGTCAGTTCTTTATTGATTTATGAGGTAAGAAATTGTTTTCTTGAAAAATATTATTTTTATTAACTATTTTTCAGTATATCTTCTTAATTTCTGCATTTAACGTCCAATTAGGAACGTTTGCTCAAAAGCATTATACCACCTCGTTATTTGTAAGAAATAAATTATTCTGTTTTCTAATTTAGCACTTTATAATTTGGCAGGAGTTCATAGGCAATAATCTTATTTTCTAATTTAGTATTTCAGTATTTGACGGAAGTTTATAATAAATGATTCTATTTCCTAATTTGTCATCCTAATTCATTATTTGATAGAAGTTCGTAGAAGTAATTTTGCTTCTCAATTTATCACTCAATAATTTCGCAGAAATTTCATAACAAATAATTCTGTTCCTTAATTTAGCATTGAAGAATTTGGCAAAATTTTCACAGTGAATGATTCTTTTTTCCAATTTAACATTACAATACTTGGTAGAAGTTTATAATAAATAATTCTGTTCCTTAACTTTCATAATTTGGCAATAATTCATAATAAATAATCTTACTCTATCCTTATTAAGTAAACAAGAAAATTTAATATCGATTACCAAAAATGTTACGAATTTTCTCAACAACCCAATAGCAGAAGAAAGTCATTTCCATAAAAAGGGACAAACATAATCAGAGCTCTCTCCTATCTTCCTTTCCACTCAATATTTTTTATCTTCAAATTTGGGATATCTGTTTTCGTTACATATTAAATGAAACTTTTTTTACGATACCTAATTGCCTATAATGATCATTGCTGTACTATAAACACAGATTGATTCTTTAAATATTGTTCAGCTAGAAAGTATGTAGCATACACAATCAAGAAACTTCTTGTTGCTCACTTTGTTTTCGTAGGTTTTTTCTTCGAAGAATTAGAATTTCTATTATCCACATTGTTACTGTGAGTGCCGTAACAAAATTGATCACTATTATGCAAGGCCTGTAACTTCCAAAACTATCACGCATTACACCTGCAACGATAATAAAAATGAAAATGTGAGGTATAATTGACTTAATAAATAGCATGCAAAAATTATTAATTAAATTATTGGACATTATTATGAAATATGTTATATATTTCTTATTTTTGGTATAATATAATTTGTTTAGAAGTTTTTTGTTTTGGTGATATAAGAGAGAGTAGACTTAAAGACACAAAATGTTGAAGAAATTATTAAAAATTTTACTATCTATTTTTGATCGTGATTTTATGCAAACTTTGCCGAAACTGTGGTAAAAAACTTAACTTGTAAAAATGATTGAAAATAATGGAAAATATCCTATATTTCTATTATGTTTGCATTATTGTTTTTCTATACAAACGAATGATGGCCACAAGTATTGTTTAGCTTCCTTTGTAGTATAATATATCCTTTGAATTCCCTAATTATTATTTTTCTAATAAAATATTTACTTCCAATACTACGTTTATACCATTTTTTGTGTAAATACGATATGATTTTAATTATATTACTATAAATAGTAAATAATAAATTGCACATAGTGTGATTTTTATTATAATTAATATTGATATATTCTGAATAAAGAAACGTCATTCTTTTACTTCTTCTATGTTTTAATACATAAATAAATCTTCTAAACATTACTTAAATGTTAGTAAAGATTGGATCTTTAATAAAAACCATTGATTTATTTTTATTGTACGTACCGAGCATGGGTCCAGCACTTAAAAGTATGACGCCATTTACAATCATTTGAATGCCAGACGCGTTAGGTAATTTGTGAATTGGCACGTAACATGGTATTACCAATGTCATGTATATCGAACGTACCCCTTTGGCCGCTCCTAACCCAATGGCCACGGCTATTACTGATGCAAATCCATCCACTAACAATAACGCTGAATCGCAATGAAATAAGTTTACGTTATGGGATGAAAAAAAGATATTCAGTAATATTCAACAATTATAAATGTAGTATCGGAATGAGCGGAATATGTAGGAGCGGAAAATCACGCAAAATTGTACATAAACTCCAAACAAGATACGAATTAACCGAAACAAACTAAAGTTCACCGATAGTGAACCGATATTTTCCAAAATATACCCCTTTCCTATCATATAGAACCACATTGGAATGACTATGGCCTTGAAAGAGGGTCGAGTCGGGAGTGTTTGAGGATCGAATGGATCTGTATGACAGAGCCGAGTGCAATAGAAGATTGGAAGTTAGTTTATGAAAGCAGCATGTGTTTGAAGTACCTAGTCCACCGAACTTGCGGGGAAAGAGGCATGATTGGGAAGGAAAGCCTGAGTGTGAAAAAACGACAGAATGAATGGTATAATAATGCAAGGACGCAGGCGAGTTATTGTGTCAGACAGTGTGTAAGAAGTCTATGTCAGTCCATCAGTCACTCTAAGAATGTCCAAAGTCTAAGAGTTTTCAGTCAAAGACAGTGTGTCAAAGTCTAAAGTCAGTTTATAAGAGTCAGTTTAACCCTTTCGTTACTACGGGTGGCTATAGTCACCAGCCACGAGACGCCATCTACACACGATGAGTGATTATAGCCATCGGCCGCAAAAATTGAGTAAAAAACTGAGACAAGTGCTACCGTTCCTCTCAGCTCTCTTCGCAAAAAATTGCAAGCTCTTTTGCGATGGTCAGTTCTTCCTTTTCTTTTTCTCTTCAAAAGATTTGCGTCAAAAGACCGAATGCTAAAAACTGCATGATCGTAATGTTACCATCTTTGACACCGCGCTGCCTCCTACAGAAGAGACTTCACGGAGACGCTCGTCGTAGCAAAAGGGTTAAGTAAGATCAGAGGAGCGTGTTGGAACCCGGATTTCTATATACAATACGGGTTCTAGCAACAAGGCTACGTCGGAAACATACAAGTCGGTGGAGAGGGAAAAAACTGGCCTTTCGCAAATTTTGTAGATGCTTATATAATGTTAGTTTTTGGTGGGGTGAAGATGATCATTGGCCCTTAGTGAAAGTATGAATGTGTCAGTTGTTTTTGGATTTTGAAATTGGTCTGCGTTTATTAGCTAGACCCTTCTAGTGACTAAGAGCCAAAGGATCGTTAGTCATCCAATAAGCGTGCCCATAGCGAATCTCTCTTGTTTCATATCCAGCTGCCGTCAATACTATCACAATACTATCTTAACCCTTTGCGCTCGACAATTTTTTAGCTGAAGAGGGGTACGAGTTGAAAAATTTTCTTCCATAAGGCTTACGATATTTTTTGAGCGGCAAATAAGAAATCGTATAATAATTAACACGTAGAATTATTCAATTTCGATACCTCGCACACTGCTACATTATTTTAAATTTTATATATTAATTAATATCGAGCTTCGAGATTTTATCAAATGGTGACCTAGAGGCACCTCTCGAGTGCAAAGGGTTAAGTCAATCCACCTAAAATCCGATCCTACATATTTTATATGTAATAAGCTATATGATGCGATACTTACATGATCGACTGAGAATCAATAGACATAGACTTATCAGATACATTATCTTCGGTGGTTGATGAAGCCATTCTGCGATAAAAGGGGCAAGAATCCTGAAAACCAGATCTACACTGGCAATGACACTCATTATAGTGGCAGTTTCCTTGGTTGTTATGTTCATATCCACCAGGAAGAAGGGCGTTAATTGAGAGAAGTTTATTTCAGCAAATATAGCAATGGACATTCCCAACATCAGATTCACATAAATTGGATCTCGCAATAAGTCAAAATCGAAATATTCCGATATCGTCGTGAATATTTTCCATTTACTCGACTCCTCAGGCCTATAATAAATTAAGTTTCATGTTAACAATTTTAAACATAAATGTTTATTCTTTATGTTAAATTGTTTACAGTCATTGAATTACTTATATATTATTTGGTTAATTAAGAATGCTACTTAGTTGATTAAAAATTAACTTAAATACGGTGATTTATACGTGAGATTAGTTAAAGCAAATATTCTCTTAAAAAATTCCCTAAAATTATTAAAAGGAATAAGATAAATATAAGATTAATTTAATATTAAAGAAATAATTCAATATAAGCTAACATGAGAAATAGTATTAAATCAAAAATATCTAGGTAGTATTTATTTAAAATTGTAGTTTATGTTAACTTTTGTGTTAATTTTGTATAAATTTATATTTCTCTCATTTAAAATGTATATTTTTACATTTTAACGATATATTTGTATTCTATATGTATATGTGTTTCAAGATACTCTACATGTGTTTCCTTTTTACAGAGATCGAGTTTTATTATTATAATAAAAATTATATACAGTTTTTGAAAAATAAAAATTGTACATAACGAAATAGGACAAAAATGAAGAGTAAAAAAATTATGAATGACTTTCTGCTTTCAAATTTCAGATCTCATTGAAAAAATTTTATATTAGGTTTACATGTACATACTTTTCGTTGATGTCGACTTTTGCATTTGACATTTTAATTGCACTATTTTCTGCTAATAATTTGTCATTCTCTATTGTGTTATTATAATTATTCATGTTAATTGTACTTATACTAATACATTTTTTCATCGGTGCTTCTTCGAATATTTCAATACTACTCCCAAGATTGACTGTATCGACACTTTTAACTAAAAAAAGAATAGATTTATATATACGTTTTCATTTATTTACGTTCTCGAAATTATATTAACATTTGTAAGTTTGAAAAAGTTTATATATTTACATCGACGATTACGATTTGAAAATCTTGAACGTTCCTTTTGCATTTGATCATTTTCTATCATTGTATAGACATCGAGATCCTTTTCTCCTATGGAAGCTGCATTAACACATTTTTTAATTAACGCCAATGAAATAAGGAACAACGATATAAATAAATAATAATTAATATTGAAATTTTAATCAATAATTTTATACCTTTACAAAAATTAATTCTCATATTTATATAAATTACTAATTAATATATATATAATTACTTTATATCTTTTATTTTGTATTATATCTATAATTCTAAAGAAAATTTAAGAAAACTTTGTATATAAATTAATTAGGTGGCAAAAAATATGATTTGCGTATTTCTAAAATAAAGAAAAGAGAAAAAATGGATAAAAATGAATCTTACATCTTCAAATAAATTATGTAATTTAATCGAATGCTAATAAGAAACATCGATATTCCGAACTTTATATTTATATATAGATATTTTATATTATATTATATTTTATTTTTTATATGTTTTATATATTAGGTATATCATTGTTTATTAATTACATACAAAAATAAAAAATAATTTTTCCGTGAAAATTAATTATATTATTCGTTTATGAAGTAACATATTCAAAAATCACTATTATTATTATATTCGAAACATAAAATTATTAAAAATACGTAGCTCTTCATAAATGGATATGTATATCATTTTATAGTAAATAAAAAATTATTATTTTATGGTAAAAAATGGCTTTTAATTTTTATTTATGTTACTTCTATATATTTAAATTGAATACTTGACACCTAAAATAACAAATTGTGATACTTGAAGAAATGTGTTATACATCCTTTTACCATTTAATGTTTCTGATAGTTGTCGAGCATAGGGTATATCAATTCCATATATACTTCCAATTTCTGCATCGTGATCGATACTTGAAATAGTTACTTTCCTTTTTCGTTGCATGTTTGTTAAGTCAAGCATTGAATTCTTACAACTGTTACCTTCTTGCAAAGAATTTTCTTTCAAATCTAAAATAAACAATATTTCAATTATTTTCATGAACCATTCGAATTGAAGTTCATAATGTAATAGTTATATTGGTATGATCTTTTATTTGATATTTAATAATTGTTAATAATTATTATATTTTTTAAAAATAAATTACATGTACAGGGTGTTTAAGAATTGTAATTCAATTGAGACAAGAATGAAGACATTAATGAAAAGAATATCTTTTTCAATAAATAATAGATAAATTTATTATCTGACTAATAAATATTCGTACTGAATACTACGATATTTATTTACAATAAGGGGATAAAAAGGAAAGAACGAATGTATACAGGAAGAAGAATGCATGTATGGAGGAATGAGGAGTGAGAGAGAGTGAACACGGAATGACTATACAGATAGAGAAATAAGAATAGGCTAGATGAAAGGATAATAAATAAATAAATAGTATAAATACATGAAAATCAATGGCAATAAAGAAAAACCAAAGAAATGTAAGATATAAATAAAATAGTTATATTATACCATGCTAGATTAAATCATATTACGTTATGTTATATTATATTATATTATACTGTATAAAATATGTAGGTGTATAGAGGTACGGGTGGGTATGTATGGGTATGTATGTATATATGAACGTTTGTATACACAGGGCACGTGTGTATGTGTGAATATATATAGGTCTTCTATGAACGAGATGATGAAGATAGACTTAATGTAAAACCGAGTCCATTTCCTGGCAGTATAAGCTGAAATAAATAAATCTATCTATCTACTACGATATTTCTGTATACATTATATGTATATATGTATATTTTTTTAAACTATTTTTTTTTATGCTAAACTATATTTTGTTTATTTAATACACGTGACTTTTTATATAAAAGGTGATAGATTAACCAATTTTTGAATTTCATATCGCAGAAATATTTGAATATATAAAAATAAGTGCAACGTTTAAAGAAATTAAATATACACGTAGAAGAAAATAATACTTTTCAATACTTTGTTAGATATTTCTATTCATTAATATTTTATTCATCAATTTTCATTATTAATCGTTTGCACCCGAAGACTTTTTCCAAGCTTTCTTGCCATAAACATTATGAAGGTATTATAAACGTATTATAAACGAATGACATTTCTGACATGATATAAAAAGGAAATCGTGTGCACATTAACGTATAAAACGATTTTATTCCAGTATTCTGTGCATCGTTGCATTATCTTAGATACTGCAACTTAAATATAGATCATAAATCTTTAGAATCTTTCTGAGTGATACTTCTAGAGTACAAAGGATCAATTCACCTAACTCTTAAATAAAATAATCGTATAAATGATAAATTAGAAGGGAAATACTAGTTATTTTTAAAAGAAGATATTAATTATTTCGTATAAAATAATTAATGATATTAAAAATAGATTATTATATTACTATTCTGTTATTATAGAATAGAATAGAAAAATAAAAAAAATATGTATATAATTAAATAGGCATGTCTGGGTTTGTTAGATGTTGAAATAATTTTTACCTGGGACTTTATTCTCTTTTTCATCCTTCAGTAATTCCTCATTCTCAGTTTTCGATTTAGTTGCGTCTTTCGTGTGCCATTTGAGCGGATGAAGAAGTGTACTAGCTACTAAGGAATGCAAAATGAAGGCTCCATATAATAGTATCGTGCCCTATAACATACAATTAAGAAATAGCATTTTTGAAAGGTAACGTAAGAACGTTCAGTTCTTACTGAAATAATTAAGAATAAATTAAACTTGTAAAATTAATTAAATTTTTTCCAATAAAAATGCTCTCCAATATGAAATTAAGAATTACAAATTAAAATTGATTTCTTACATTCAATATACACCAAATAAAAATAAAAGAAATTTCGAATTTTATTTACAAAAAAATTGAAATTTCTCATTTTTATGAACCGAAAATTGTTACAATTTCAGAAAGTTCGTTCGGTTTGAGAAATTTCGTATTGTTCAAAACAATTGTCTTTTCATATCGAATGTAATTTATATTAAAAGTAATACTTCTACTATAAATAATTGAAAAAGAAATCAATTTGTAGAGAACGAAAATAAAGGTGGGGATGGAGGACAAGTATTTGATTACCATTGTGTTTATTTGCCTTATCTCATTGAAGTATAGTCACTACTGTTTTGGTCTTATTAATTCAATGCCAAGGGAACAAGATTAAAAGATATCAGCAATGACAAAAATTCTATAGTATATTTATAGTATATCTATAAACGATCAATTGTAAAATCTTTTTAACTTATTTTTATTAGGATACCGACAACATATCAGTGAATGACTTGAGCCTCAAAAGACCCGAGGCATTAATTTTTGATATATTAATACTAATAAAATATAGTAAATCAGTTATGCACATATAACGCATATGTTAATTAATTGTGCATATATTAAAATTAATAAAAATGCTTCGATTATGTACGGTATACGTGTATATTTTATTTCTGTAAAAGAATGGAATATATAATTAGGACAAAATTCATATCTGTTAAAAATATTATGATAAAGTTCAATATGAAAATACTAGAATAAGATTCTTTTCAATTGTATATGCAGAATTTTCGACTAAATGGTACTGTATATGTTTATTGTGACATGAACCCGTTATTTTATGGGGTCTCACAATACACCAGGATCACCTGTATTGCTTGTAAATTCGCTGCTATAAGGGATTGTTATGAATTTTTTAATAAAATTAATTTATTAATTTTCTAATAAAACCAAATGATGTCTTTTAAATTATTCTCATACTATCAATAATATTGATATTATTTTTATTCGTTTTTTGCGATTTATTAGTTTTATAATAAAACCAAATGATGTCATTTAAATTATTCTTATATTATGAATAATATTTATATTATTTTTATTTGATTTTGTGCAATTTATGTATAATATAATATTTAATTCAAGATTAACTATATATTACACTAATATGAAGTATAAAAAATTTAACGTCCTTGGATATATTTTTATTATTCAGATCTGATCTATCTTTTAAAAATATCTTCATAGAGATATAATATAACGAAAAATAGAAAATTTTTGTTAGTCTTTTATAGTGACAATTCATGAATAAATTGATATTCTATTACCAGCAATTAATTCATTAGACAGTCGGTGGTCAGTCTTCCAAGTCAGAACAAAAGAATATTAACCCAGTCACCTCATTTGTCGAATTATGCCTGTCATGTCATTATGAGGCAATGATAATGCAAAAAATGTGACGTTGTCTTATATTTACCAGACTGTTTTCAGCTCTATCACGTAAGTATGTTTCTATTTATATAATACACGTGATATTTTAAAAATGTATATACAGTTTTGATTTCTGACCAAATAAATAGTTTCGATTTTTGGAGTTATAGATTTAGATTTAATATGGTTTAGGACTATCTTTTACTATTATTTATTATTATTTAATATTATTTATTTAAATATTACATTTTATTTAAAATACAAACATGAAAATAATGCCACAGCTTGAAAAATATTCGTTATTCAAAATATTTTCGTAATCGTTATGCAATACTTAATCATACATAGTGCAAATAGTCGATAATTGCTATGAAAGCAAATTCTACGAAAAATACTTATTTCTAATGCCAAAACGAAAGACGGTATTATATTCATTACATTCCATACATACATATATATGAGCCGTTCACTGCACAAATCGATTAACTCCACTTTTTGAAAAATCTTAAAAATATAAGTGTCAAAACACTTGGTATAGTCGTAACTTTTTATATTTATAATAACTTTCCCTGATAATTAAGATTAACACCATTAAACGACAAAAATTTTTTGGCCACTGAATAATAAATAATTTATTTCAGAGGTCACTTTGATTAACTCCGTACTCTAATGTAAATCGTTGCAATAATGCAACTCAAATGCACTAGCAAGCCATGAATGATAACGGTGAATTTTTTAGTGCCGTCTTATCAGAATTTAAGTAAAATTTAGTAAAATTTAAATTTATTACCTTTTTCACTTGCCGAATCGATTAACTCTTCCAGTAACATAAAAATGGTAACATTACTAACGATTAACTTTTGGCTATTTTTCTTATAAATTTGATATACCGTTAGATGAAAGTTACATTTGTATTTATGCATTCTACAATATTTATTTCAATTTAAATTATAAAGGGAATTTTAAAAAGCAATATACATTATTTCATTGTATTTCCCCACTTTGTGTTTTATGGAGTTAATCAATTTGTGCCGTGAACGGCTCATATGTTAGTATACTAGTTTTTGAACATATCATATATTACCATTTTGATATATTAGTACTCTTGGGTATGTATTTCACAGCAAAACTAATGTAATATATACATATAATACAGCATTTACAAATAACTCAAAGAGACATGTAATTTTTAATAAAGGAGTTGGTAATAATAATTATTTATTTCGAATGTATATCATTCCAGTAATAAATACTATTGTAAAAGATAAACATATTTTTTTCCTAGTAACGTTATTTACTAATATCAATACTTACTGATATAATTGTTAGCAGTAGTAATATGTTTCTAATTCTATATATTAATATACTGATTTATATAAATTAAATATTGATATCAGTATATTAGTAGCTAATCTTACTGTAATATTAATATAATGTTGATATACCTGAGATCCATAATACGAAATCGAGAGGGTTGTAACTTGAGGTATAATTATGGGGCCCAGTCCAATAATTGTCATTGCCAAAGACATTGCGCGTCCCTTTTTTGTCGTAAAGTACGAGTTCAATGCGTATGAAAATGCAGACATCGACATACACGTACCCAATGCTAAATAAAAGAATATTCTTAAATGAAAGATGCAAATATTCTGTATTAAAAAAATATCATTTGGTTACTGTGTAAATTGTGACTACTAATTCCTTTTATTAGAAATATACGCTGATTATTTACAGTACAATGTAGTGTAGATAGAGAAAATAAGGTATTACGTATTCTCACAGTTTATCATCAATTTGGAATTTGAACTATAAAATTCCCTATCATCAATATCGATACAACATTGATACCCAAGATTTCAAATATTTCGATATTGGAAAATTTTATCTTGTTCCCTCGGGTCATCACTTGATTCAAGAAAGTAGAAAAATTGTCATAAACGATAAGGGCATATATATAAGAGAAATCAAGGTGAGTTGATACAGAATTTAGTTATATACAAATATTTTGTTGACGCTATGTATATACATAATTTATCTAAGACATGGTATAAAAACATGTTTATTTGATCTTTATCACGACAGTGTGCACGTGTGTAAATATGTGCGCTAGGAGAAGTTATTTAAGTTATTTAAGAAGCTATTTAGGTGAAAAGAAAATGTTTATGCTGATTCTTAAAATTATATGAGAACGCTGTGTGAAACTATACTCTGTATTAATTTGACGTCATTTTATGTTACTTGGAGATGAAATGACTTCGTTATGACTATTACTTACATACAATGCTTCATTGTATTATTTCAATTACTTATATATTTTATTTCATTTCTTGTTAACTATTTAAGCACGTTGATGTACACAATGAGTAAGACTGTGGTAATGAATGATGATAATAAGAAAAAGCAATATGTTGGTAAACCTTTCACTGAAATAATGAAATAAAGTAAAGAAAGAATTACTAATAAACCTAAAGGTGATGAAACAGATGTCAAGAAGTATCTTTACTTAACTTAAGTCTAATTTATCTCAAACAATTCTCAGAATTTAAGTATGATGACATATGGATTTCATGCATACTTTGCACAATATTGGTTTAAAATGATTCAAAATAATGTTGACTTAAACTATAGTAAAAATATTCCTAATTATACTTACATGAACCACATTCAGATTTACAAATTTAGCATAACAATAAAAGTAATTAATTCATTAACATTTAATATTCACTTCCATAAAAATTGTTTTTGAAAAACAGGTTGGATTACAATTATAACATTAATAGCACTAAATTAGTCTATCCTGATTAATAAAATGATTATTAGAAATCACGATATAAATTATTATGTAACAATAATATTTTATTGTCCAAAGTATATTGAAAAATATTTGAAATCAAGTACGTAACTGGAATAAAACTAAAAATTGTATCAACTTTCTTCGGTCTCTCCTAAATATAACTTTATATAAGTATAATAACGATTCAATTACTGATACGTGATCACTAGTTGACAAAATTTACACAATATAAAAACTGAAATTTGCTTTATATAAATAATAAATATACGAACAAAAATAATTCTAAAAATTAATATTGACTAAAGAGTAATTAATAAATTATTTGCAATTATACATATTCGCTGATTTATATTAAGTGTTATAAACGTGTAATACGTCTAAAAAAATATAAAAATAGGATAAAAGTATTGTAAGCGTACCATACTACTTTAGTTATCGGTTTAAAAAAGAATATAAACAGATAAAGTTTATCATAATGTTATGAAAAATAGAAAAAGATATTTTGAAAACTAAGACCGAGAGGCAATTATTGTTAAAATAGAAATTGTTTAGAGTTTTGCCCCCTATGACGTACTTCAAAATTATTCTAAGTTATTATTATCGGTCCAACATTTTACAATTTCTTCAAATTTTGTTTTTTACAAGAAAATAACAAAATTATTATTTTTTTTCGAGCTGTCCCGATCCATATTTTTTTATTAATGCTAGAATACAGTGTTTTTTGGAGAAAAATGATTATTCTCGGAAGGAAATAAATACATTTATAGCAAAGTCACTAAATTTTACCATAATTATTTATAAGCATAGTAATTTACAAATTGTTCAAAAAGAATGGTAACTTTTCCAATCATTGGCAAAGGTGCAACAATATTGTTCCATTTATCATAGTGTCCCATAAAACAATAGAAAATGACTGCTACTAGCGTTTATGGCTTTCAGTAAAATGGTTTGTAACACTTTATATTGCTCCAATAAGATGAAGACATTGCACTCACTTATGTACTCTTTTCATCGTCATAGACTGGATAATTTTTCTGTTAAGGGGGCAGACCAGTATGATATAACGTCTATCATAACCTTTCTTTAAAAATTCGTAGAAAATTATTGGAAGCCATGTAAATTTTTCACAGACTTTTCTTTTAACCTTAAACTACTTATAGAAAAGTTGAGACAAAAAATATCAGAACAGAAATGTCCGGGAAAAAATCTTGAATTAACCATCTGCAAAATGGAGCGGATCTTGATGGTGGACAGGATACAGCGCAGAGAAAAACTCTGCGAAGGATGAATAAATATGGAGAATGAAGGCAAACAATATGGCTACCGCACTAACCACAGTTGTGAAATTTAGAGCTACAAACAAGTTCAAAGAAAAATCACGAAATTGAAGATGATAGAAAAGGACAAATTGTTCCTAAGAAAATTTTGTCGAAAAATTTTTCGAATTTTTAGGTTCCCAGTCAGTGATTAGTGCCAGAGCCACGCATCATGGACACATGCTCAACAAAATTCACAGTGATTGGAACTTCGGTTCTTTTGTTATGCTGTCCACCATGGTCAGAAGCGATGTTCTGAGAAAATTGAGGTTAACCATTTAGTTGACAAAAATGTTTGCTCGAATCAGAGGCAATTCCGGGCGCACGCTAGCAGACAGAAGGCACTGTAATGACGCGAGTTTTTCGAATTTCGACTTCGGATTTCTTGCATTCTACGCAGAAAAAGACGGAGAATTTTTTCAAGCAATAAGACAAATCGAATTTTTCAAGGTTATGCACTGGTCTGCCCCCTTAACCCTTTCGCTACAGTGGGTGTCGACGCGGAGTCCCTGCAGTAGAATGCAGCGCTGTGTCAAAGATGGAAACATTACGCGTGCGCAGTTTTTAGCTTTCGGGGTTCAGTCTTTTGGGAAAGAAGAAAAAAGAAAAAGAAAGACCAATTATCGCAATAACGCTTGCAATTCTTTGCGAAGAGAGCTAAGAGGAACGGTAGCACTTGTTTTAATTTTTGGCTTGATTCTTGTGGCCGGTGACTATAGTCACCCATAGTGTGCGAAAGGGTTAAATGTCGTATACAATGTACGTGAATCTCACTTACAGGCGAATATACCATAGAAGATTATTAAACTGGTGAAAGTTTTGGCAAATGTTGTCATAATTACTCCACTACAGAAGAATAGACTGCCAATTATAGCCATTTTCCTGTATCCAAAAGTTCGTAACAACGGACCATTTATCAATCCAAGTATCATACCAAAAGCTAAATTCGTATTAATAATGATCGATGCATCCGTTGCAGAGAATCCAAAACGAGGAAAAGTATCTTTAAATATCAGACCAAAGCCTTGCATAACGGACACGGTGCATATCTAAGAACAATTTAACATCATTAATAATATGTTATTAATACACATTTAATATATTATTTAGTAAGCTATTTACTATACTACTTAACGTACTATTTTATAATAATTTAACAGAATTCAATACTATAAATATATTATTTTATCTTTTAATAAGCTATTTACTATACTGTGTGACATACTATTTAATAACAATTTAATATAATTTAACGCCATTAATATATTATTTAATATACCGTTTGATAATATTTTATTTAATAAGATATTTATTCCACTGTTTAAGTATAGTGCTATTAAAGTACAGTAAAGAGCTTATTATGACGTACCAGTTTAGAATATTATTATAAATAAGCTATTCACTACATTATTTAATTGTAGTACCATTGAAGTACTTATGGATATAACTTATTATTATGTAGCAGTTTATAATATTATTATAAACTATATTATTTTAGTTTGTAGTATTTAACATACTATAATATTCAATAATAATTCAATCTAATTAGGATTATTAATAATGCACTATAAATAAACCATTTTGTTTAGTATATTGTTTAATATACTATTAGTATAATAGTCGTTACGTTTGGCAAACAATTAGTAATAATTGCTAAATGACCAATACCATCATTATTGATATGTGTAAAAGTATAATAGGCTTATATTGTGTGACGAAGCTTCAATATAAGTAACGGAAAATTGTAGGACAGTTATCGCATTTTTAATAATTGGGTATTAAAATTGCTTATATCAAATTATCGTTTATATGATAAAACAATGATACGAAATCGTCCATAAGTGGTGAAAAAGTATATTAATCGAAAATGAATGTTACCATTGTTGACATTGAACCAGAGATAAATAAGCATTTTGACGGAAATCTGTCTAATTTTATTCGAAAAATCATCATTACAATAATTACTTAAAGAAATATGTTCTCGCTTCTCATTACAGTTTCATAATATGTCGCAAGTCATTAGCGACTTAATTTTGCTTCAATTTTCTACAATTATCTTTTATCGCGAAGTTAAGCAATTCTTACGCGATTGAAAGTGTTTTTTATGCAATCATTGGTTGATAAAATTTTTATAAACGAAATGAACAATGGTTGCGAAATCATCTAAAAAGGACGAAAAAGATATAGAACATTGAATTCGATTCTTAAATTTAAAGAATAATTGAACAATCATTTTTATTTGTACAATTAGAGTATGGAGAGAAATACTTAATATCATTTACTTTCATTAATTTCCATAATTAATTAACTATATTATCACTTACTATGTTAATAACATTATCAATTATCACGTTAATTGCATTACTAATTATTGTAATAAAATAATTGAGCAATAATTATTATTTGCACAATTCCAGTATATAAGAATTATTTAATATGAATTACTTTCATTAATTTTTATATTTAATTAACTATAGTACCACTTGATATGTTAATAACATTATCAATTATCACGTTAATTATTTAATATGAATTACTTTCATTAATTTCCATAATTAATTAACTATATTATCACTTGATATGTTAATAACATTATCAATTATCACGTTAATTATTTAATATGCATTACTTTCATTAATTTCTATAATTAATTAACTATACTATCACTTGCTATGTTAATAAGATTATCAATTATCATGTTAATTGCATTACTAATTATTATAATAAAATAATTGAACAACAATTTTTATTTGCACAATTCGGGTATATAAGAATTATTTAATATGAATTACTTTCATTAATTTCTATAATTAATTAACTATATTATCATTTATTATGTTAATAACATTATCAATTATCACGTTAATTGAATTGCGAATTATTATATTATCTATATCGTCAATTATTGTATTAAATATATCGCTAATTACTACATTAATCGCATTAAGATTAATTAATAATTGTTACATCGGCTATATTATTAATTATTATTATGCAGTGTATTAATAAGTTAAACATACCCCATTTAACGAATATGCCAATACAATCACCCAGCCAAATTTTCCATTTGGTGGTACCTTAGTAGATTCTTGCGTATTCATTTTCTATTTTCTTTGCCTTCTTTAATGTAAAATGTATTATACCATAGCAAAATATTCTTCTGATAATATCTTCGCTCTTGCACTAGCTTTATTTTCCAACGTCACCAATCAAGAATGCAGAAAGTTTCAAATAATTTTTCCCTTCGCAGCTATGTTTGCATATTTTTAATTCTATCACCTAGCATTAAGTTCAATACTCTTATGGTATTTACTTTCAAATGAAATTAATTCCTAATAACATCGATCGAGGGATGTTAGAAATGTTGCACTATGAATTTGCTGTAAATTTGCTTAATTCTTCTATTAACACAGTGTCACTCGTTTTAACATAGGATACACGTGTTATAAATCACAGACGTCACTCTCACTCTTCAAAATGTTATACTAAATAGAGTATTGTTCGTGAGCGAAATTAACATAAATTTATAATACAATAAATTAGTTAAACGGTGGTAACTGATAACACTGATGTCATACAGCACAAATGTAACAGGTACCAGAACAGGCGTTTATATAAAACGAATTCCCAATGTACCGTGTACGTGATAAAGCCATGTACTATTGATTAATCTAATCAGTACCGTATCTTTTGTATTTTATAATGCCGTGTCATTATTACGTATCGCAAAAAATGTTCCAGTAATCGTTAGAAAACGTTGTTGCTAATACACGTGTATAAAATTTCATTATTAATTCTTATAACTGTATCGTATGCTACTTTGAGAGATAGACGCCGTTTCCTAATAGTCCTATGTGAAATTAAAGTCCTTCTCATTCGAATTATTTAAATTTTTCAAAACGCATGGTTTAATGTGTTCATTATTGAATGAATTTGTGTCAATGTTGAATGATAGTAAATAATTTTTGTGAGCGAATTATGTCTATATAGTTAAATTTTAACAATATCTATACTTCTTTCCAAAATTTTCGAAGTTTACCGATCTTATTAATTATTAATTTTCCGCTTTAATAGACAATAATTTAATAATTTTATCACTGTTATGAAAAGTTTACATTCTAAGCAATTTGTTAATAATAATATTAATTTGTTATTAACAATCAGTGCGATAATTTATGAACTTCTTGCAAATTGTAGGTACATTTTTACACAAGTACGTCATTATTTCAATTAATAGCCAATAATTTATTAATTTTTTCACTTTTATTATAAATTTATACTGTATATAATTTGTTATTAACAATAAGTGTAATAATTTATAAACTTTATGGAAATTATTGATACATTTTAATACAAGTACGTTATAAGTTCAAATAATAGCCAATAAATTACTAACTTTTTAGTTTAATTATAAATTTATTTATTTATGTTTAACTTTTAATAATTTAATTTTTAATAATTCATTCCATTTATTTATTTTTAATATTTAATAATTCATTCCATTTATTTATTTTTAATTTTAAATAATTACTTTCATTTATTTATATATTTATTTATCATTAATTTTTAATAATTTATTTCATCTACTTATTTATTTATTTCTAATTTCGAATTGTTTATTTTATTTATTTACTTTTAACATTTAATAATTGTTTGGCATGCTTTTTCCACTATTCTTACGACTTTTAAAGCGCCGTAAATATGTAACACGTGTCCCATTTTTATAAAATTATTTCTCATTTCATTGCACAGTAATTTTATGCAATTATCAATATTTTCTTTCATTTTTTATTTCTGTCTCATTATTAATTGTTCTTCCTATGTTGCAGACGTTCCATAACCAATATCTTGTAATTTTCTATGTAACTTATTTTGCAACAAATTTTTTATTATATTTTGTACTGTTTCATTTGATTATTTCCTATAATCATTTTGAGACACATTTATTTTGCATGACATTTGCTACTATGTTTTGTACCATGTTTTATATTATATTTTAATTATGTATTTAGGCCCGAGGCTCGATTGCGTAGCCACCACCACGTGGTGAGACTATGAGAGTATCTATAGATATTCCATAATAATTCCTCTTTGATAAACGATGCCAAGCTAACAAGGAAAGTGCAAGTCCTTCGTTTCACCGATTTAGTTGAAACCTTGAAGATTTGCATATATCGTCATGCAGTTTAAGAAAATATATCATTATAGCCACAACTACTCAATAGTTTTTTAGATATTTGCG